CAACCAAGTCAGCGAGCCTGACCACCCGATCCCGTTAGTCGCCTCTCACGCCAAGGATAGTCACCTTTTACGGCAAGCATGAGTTGCTGAAGACCTATTCTACCCCGGAATCTTCACAGGTCGATTATAGAGGTGATGTTGAGACATGCATGCACGTGTTTGTGTGGCTGCTTGTATTCGTCCAGACATAACTGTTACATAGTGCTAGACCCGTGAAGATACGGGGTAGAATAGGTCTTCAGCAACCCATGCTTGCCGTAAAATGCGATTATGCTTGTCGTAAGAGGCGACTAACGGGGTTGGGTAGTCAGGCTCGCTGACTTGGTTGATGCACTTCATCGTATCCCAATTGCGTTGATCGATGTTCAAGATGTCAATCACTGGATTGTCTGCTGAGTTCGGCGTTAAAGAACAAACAAACACATCATAGTGCTAGCCCACTGCCTTAGACATTTCGGCTGATCTGTCCCTCTTTGGGACTCCTGTGTGTGAGTAGGATAAGCGTATCTATTGTGAGTTTGAGTATTGATTGGATTTCATTTTTCATTTTTAGAAATTGATAGAATTTCTTTGACTGCTCTGTTTATATACGTTCGAGTAGCTGTCCATCTCTCAGAATAGACTTAGTTTGGCCTTCGCTATTGCCTCTCTTGGCTTTTGGAGATCTACGACAGAAAGCGGATCTAACTGCAATTCTTGTTTAACCGAGCCCGGGCTGGGGCGTGGTCTTGACCATCTTCCCGAGGCAAGGGAGTTAACGGACTATATATGTCCAGTTTCCACCCTTGCCGAACTAGGCTGGAACTATGGTGTTATAAAATGGCTGGATTAACGAGTCTATGCATAGTTCAATCAAAATCGCGTAACGAAATCGACATCCGGTTCCCATACTGCAGTGCAGATTTCGGTCGATTGTAGGATTTGCAAAGCATGTGTACCGTCAACATGCCGTCAACAGAAATATTCCAAATCTTTTCATGTTTTTAATCAAGGTGGTCGCATGATTTGATGCACTTCGCAAAGTAAGACCCATTTTGATACAGTATATATCTTGATTATCGATCAGATCGTCTTGACTGGGCGCCGCCATTTTGTTTGAAGCAAATGTAAGTGATATGTGAGGTGGAATCCGATTTGCCAATAGGAGGGACATAAAAGGGACATAAAAGGGACATAACTCGTAATAGCCACTGGTGGCGCTAGGATCGAGCCCAGAAATTGCAGCCTAGTCAGGCAAGGCTCGAAACTGGACTTTTTCAATCAGTTAACTCCCTTGCCTCGGGAAGATAGGTCTTAACATTCAAGTATCAAGTGAGCAATGGATTCAGGGTGATTGCAAGATGGACATACCTTGTCTTAGTGCTTTTTGAGCCGTGTCTCAGACGTGAGATGGCTACTTAAACTACCCTTTCATTTGAGTATGAATATGGCTTGTTGTGGATGTTGGGTTGATATGAAATCATGGACCTCATTTTATAGTCTTAAAAGTACTTGAAGCATAACACATTGACGTCGGAATTCTGGACTGGCTGAAACATACAATGTGTCCTTTAATTACAATTTTGATTGCTTGAAATAGATAAGGTAATTAACAAACAGGAATTAGATTGGACAGGCTGAAATTAGTTTTTATAGGATGTGTGACCGTGACACGATTATAATTGCGTTAATTACGTCAGTTTAATTATAGTTTCTTTTTACAGCTGTTGTCTGGATGTCTGATGAGGTTTTAGAACAGGTGTCACGTGACCGTGACACGATGATAATTGCGTTAATTACGTCAGATTAATGATAGTTTCTTTTTACAGCTGCTGTCTGGATGTCTGATGAGGTTTAAGAGCAGGTGTCACGTGACCGTGACACGATGATAATTGCGTTAATTACATAGTCTGGATGTCCATACAATGATCAGTTAGTAATCCACAGCTAAAGAAAATAACAGAATGGACTTTAAAGTAGACACTGCCGATAGCATATGGTTGATGTTAATTAGCTTTGCAAGGTGAGCTATCGTCAGCTGGGCCTTGACATGATCGGTAATAAATATTGGACATTTCAATATAAGTAACTGCAAATAATTAATTACATGATAGATATGGCAAGTATGTACAAAATATATACATAAATGTGAAGTATTTATTAATATATTGAGCAATGTCACAGAAGCCTCGGGTGATTACAAGCTTTGTCCTCATAAGCAAATGATGAGGGTTCAAAGTTGTTCACACAAGAATATTATAATGTTCATATGATGTTCGTGGTATGATATATTGGTGACACGTACACGAATAAATTGTTGGTGTCCGTGGTCACCTAGCTTGGGAGTCTGTTATGTATATTTGACTGTTGTCGGATGAAGAATACTGTACAAACCGTGATGTGATATAAAAACAGTAGCTGAATAAGGATTGAGTGAGTGAGTTGAGTTTAACGCCGCTTTTAACATTATTCCAGTTATATTACAGCATGTCAGCTTAATGTGGGAGGAAAGCCCGAAGTGATTCAGGTCTCAGACGTTTACCACTTCGGTGAAACCCACGAGCACGGTTGTGGTGCTGACAAACCTAGAAACATAATCTGGCCAATCGGGATTCGAAACCACATTCATATCTGGCTTGCCCCAGGATTGCGACACGGCACATCGAACTGTGGCGCCTTAGACGACTGGGCCACCACGGAAACATAAACCCGGGGGGTGGAGATGGTGTCGATAAGGGAAATTATGACCCACGGTAGGGTGACAACATAGATCCATGGGGGTCCATCCGGGTGCTGCTGCAAGGGGGATGGCGTCTATCATTGCCTACAGTGCACATTGCCATACAGTTTTATCCAATAAAAATCACGCACCGGCGATTTTTGTATATTTTGCCGATATCCCTCTCTGGCTGTTCGTTCATTCCGTTCTTGTTCGTTCTTGGCCTTGGCTTTCATGGTGGTTCGGCGTGCGGGACAGCTTTCGGCGTCATCAAAATCCGACCGCGTCGGTGGTGTAGTTGATAGAGCGTCTGCACGGAGAGCGGAAGGTCGGTGGTTCTATCCCGGCCGCGTCATACAAAAGTACGTTAAACGATGGTAAATGTTACTATTGGACGGATTGTATGATGTGTCTGAGAGGGGTATCCATGGAAACTGCAGCATGGTATCTCAGTGAGCTAAACACTATGGAACCAGCATAAATCCATGCACACACATGTACCTGCACGTCATTATGAAAGAGCGATAATCTTGAAATACGACGTTAAACCCCGTCCGTTTCCGAGACGTTTCATAACAGAGACATGCCTTTCCCAAATGTTGTGTAACAACAAACAAGGTTTATACCTACAGTAGTCCTTTGTTGTAAACCCAGTTACGTAACGTAAGGCAATTGGCTGCAGGTCGTATTAAAACTGTCAGGGACCGTGTCAAAGCGAGAAGAGGGTTTGGATTTCTTAAACGCTCGAGGCGTGAAAATAATTGCTTGAATGGACATGAACGAACCTACACGAACTTGAACAATTCTTCAATGTAGGAACAGAGATACATTGTAAACAAATAACATATAACAACCTCAAACAACGTGGTTTAAATGCCCGCAAAACAGCATGATTCGCATTCAAGATGACAAAATGGTATTCGTTTCAGACTAACTCGGATATGCTGTGGAATTCTAAACAAAGGTTCAGAAGACTTTTGATAAGACCCCCACCCCAAGATCAAAGTTGACATGTTTGGGCGTTACGTAATGGCTCTCACATCTGGACAATGGCCGAAATTGCTCATTGTATGGTAAGTTTAATCAGTGTAATTGTCCTCAACCAGTGCTCTCAAAACTGGTCGGTTTACAAGGATCGAGACGAACAACTGTGTGTGTCATGCATGTAAAACATCGTAAAACTCAAACCACACGCATGTCATCAAACAACGTAAAACTCGAACAACCATGTAAACAAACAACGTAAAGCTCGAACAACACGCGTATAATCAAACAGAATAAAACTGGAACAACACACATATAATCAAACAACGTAATGCTCGAACAACCATGTAAACAAACAACGTAAAACTTGAACTACACACACATAATCAAACAACATCAAACAACACGCATATAATCAAATAACGTAAAACTCGAACAACCATGTGAACAAACAACGTAAAACTCGAATAACCGTGAAAAGAATGTAAAAGAACGTACAGACATGTGAGTCTTATCAATACCAGTGTGTGTGAAATAATCAATACCAGTGTGTGTGAAATAATCAATACCAGTGTGTGTGTGTGTGTGTGTGTGTGTGTGTGCGTGCGTGCGTGCGTGGGTGTCTGTTTGTGTTGTGTGTGGGTTTTTTGACAATGCGGATGATGGCATATTTTTGTTAGGATTTTAACAATATTTCTTTTCTCGAATATAATAAAAAGATTGTGATCTTTTTTCTCATCTAATATAATAATACACCATAACCTGTCATTTATAACTTTGGATAAAGTGGATAAGTTATTACACTTAGAAACAGTCTTTTTTCATAGTTCATTTTTGGAGATGTTAATTACACAGAATTAAGTGATACAATTTTACTGGTCAACAGGTATGCAGTTCTCCTTTGCCTTCAATAGAACAAGAATTGTGGCCATATCTATTGAGAATAAACCTGGCGGTGTTATTAGCAATCAGAAATATATCATCCTTTTAGATTTTAAATCTTTATCGAATAACGATTGAGATCATTTTGGTGCGTTAATGAGTCGAGGAGGATAGGAAAGAAACGGGTTTGATTACATCAGCAAGAATCCGGAACCAGATCGGGTTAGTTTATTTATATAGGGGAGTGAATTTCTTTTGTCCGGAGCTACTTTTATATTCTGAAAAATAACATTACAATTTATTCAAATGCTACAAATATTACGACTTAAAGTTATAACATACACCACATCCAGTTTTAACCGATGAGCAACATTCACCGAATCACACAAATGATATGTCTAATAATTGAGCTAACACCCTTTCACAGAAAATGAAATCGTCCTATGACCTCTAAGTGACGTCACAGGTCTTTCATAAGGCAGCCATCGTTGTAGCCAGTTTACCGGTATTTCGTCTAGGCTGTTTGAGGACATACATGTGAGTTTTTATTAAATCCGTCCCATTTTCGTTAGCTCAGGTTAAATACTTGTGTGTTTTAAAAAATGACGGTCATGTTTTAACGGGTTTTTTTTAGACCTATGTGAAGTAAATCTGAAGATATCTCGAAATTTCGTCGAACGCTGCCTGTTGTCTTCTGTTCAATGACAAAACTGACAGACCGGCTATTTTCGGAAATTTCGTTATTACTATTCGTTTGAATACATTATTTTAATTGTAAATTACTTACAATAGAGAAATTATGTCATATTTGGATGTTTGTTTCGTTAATATATGTATACGTGACAGCTTTTAGAGAAGGTCACGTGGGTGTTTGCAAGGTCATGAATGAACCACGTGTGAATTTGCGTAAAATACGTAGTATTTGCTGTCAAAGATGTGTACTTAACCGTCTAGGGTTGAATACAGCTTGAGTTACGGCGTTGTGGAAAGCAGAAGCCATTTGTTGGATTAAGTCATGTCGATTTTAATTCAACAATAGGCCACATCATTGTGAGCTAAGCCTACCCGGAAGATAAGTGTATGCATAGAGTGTGGGTCGACCAGTCCACAGAAGTGACTGGAGAGGCCCAACAAAGCCACACAGCTACAGAAACCAATCCAAATTCGCTAGCAAGATTTAACCGTTCGAGCATACTGGCATGATACTTTTTGAGTCCATGATCTCTGCAATATTGTTACTAAGTTGTTCAGATGTTATTTGTCTGACGTTTTGCTAAATTATTAGATACTTGTAATAAAAGTTTTCATAAGTAAGTGTCATTTTCAGTCACCGAAGTTATATGAAACATGTTTGTTGAAATGTGATCCCAATTCATGTGATGTCACTGACGATTTTGATATTCAATTTTGTGGTTTAATCATATTGAATCTACAAAAGAAAGCAGGGTCAGTTTTGGTTTATTTTGAGCTTTATCCCAAGCTTTATTCCCATATGCGGTTTCAAATAGCCATGCTTCATGTGCCGCTTTAATTACAAGCATCAAACAAATATGTCGGACATGAATGAGGTATGAGGAAACTGGTAGAGGTGTGATGATTCATCTAAGAAGGTCATGTACCAATACTTTTTTGTAAAGTATAAATGTCAACATGGTCAAGGGGTTTTAGCCATAATGTTAGAAGTTAAAGGTTTAGGGGTCCTTAGATTCAAATACAAACCGCAAGGACCCACCCACCCATCAATTTCAAACACCAAATACAAATTGATACGTATATTTGAGGATAGCATGAAAAATTTGTAAACATTGATGTTTTCTGCTGGTATGCGTCATTGTGCTGTATCATACCTGATTTGTCAGGCTGTGTGTGGTATTGCGGCAAGGTGAATCATTACAGCCCTAGATAAGGATCGGGTGGAGTTTCCCTGACAACTTTAACATTAATAGCAGTATTTTGTTGCCTACATTATTCTCATTAAAAACAATTTATTTTGAATTTTCAGTTTAGAAAATGGCAGATGTACCAGCTGGAAATGCAGAGAAGGGGAAGAAGATTTTTGTTCAGAGGTGTGCCCAGTGCCACGTTGTAGAGAAAGGGGGAAAGCACAAGACTGGCCCCTGCTTGAATGGGCTTATTGGACGCAAGACCGGACAGGCAGCAGGGTTCTCCTACACAGATGCTAACAAGAGCAAAGGTGACCTTGAAACTGCCTCTATCTACATCTCCTTTCATGTATTAAGTCATGATCAAGTTGAATTTCACAATATTACCACTCTGTGCCAAAAACTTTTGAGTCTACTGACTCGAACTTTGGTATTAGCATGATTACTAGCTTGCTTAACAGACCTAACAAAAATGTACTGGATTCCAGCTTCGGATTAGTGCCAAAAGTTCCAGATTGTTATACTGTTATATTCAAACTTTATTGTAACTGCTTAAACTTAAATTAAACCCTGGAAATTTAACATTGTAATCTAGATTATTCCAACTATTTGTATTCAATTGTTGATACATGTAGTACAATATAGTTAAAACCACAATGACATGTCATCCAAATTGTTGAATTGTAATCAATGTACGTGCATGTAGAAAGAATGTGAACAAAAAGCTGGAGTTTGGTTTCAATTGATTGCAGAAGCCTTTCCTTTTTCTTTGTAAATCATGCTAAGTGTGCTTGTAAATCATACTAAGTATACATGTAAATCATACTAAGTGTATTTTCATTTTGTTTTGCAGGTATCACCTGGTCCAAGACTACCCTGTTCGAATACTTAGAAAACCCCAAGAAATACATCCCTGGAACAAAAATGATTTTCGCTGGACTCAAGAAGAAGCAAGAGCGTGCCGATCTTATTGCGTACCTGGAGGAGTCGACAAAGTGATAATGTCAACTCTAGGAAATTATGAACTGTACAGTCTTATATCAATTTGCAACTAGTGTGTCCGCGGATGAACTGGTGAACATGTCTTATCTCTATCATTTTAACCCCGCAAAAGGAGGCTGTGCCCCAATTTTGTGGACTTTAGAGCATTGGTTTTCATTAGCTGTCATACTTAAATTTTAACTCTCTTGATTTTTAAGTTATTGCCAAGTGGCAGATATAGAGCGAACAGGTGTGAATGTTTGTTGCAAAAAAAATATTAAACCAGATCAACATTTTAAAACTGATTTTGGTTGTTTTTCAAGCTAACAGAAAATTTAAACCTGGTCAAATTAAGTTTCTGCTTTTTATCCAGAACATATTACACTATGCTGCATAGAGAGGGATAGACACCATTGGTCATACCCAACAGGTGCATAGCTTATTGCGGACAAGTGGTTTACGTAAAACTAGTCCTGCCAGATTCTCACTAGTCTCAGACGAGTAGCACCATGCAATACCACAGCATGCCAATGAGACATGTACTAAAAGTGCATAATTAACTTTATCTCGAAATCAGAAAAGATGTGTTTTTGTGATCAAGTCCATCTCCAAACACATCTTATGAAGACATTGTTTGATTATTTCATGGTGAAATAACCAGGCCCTGATTTCTTAAGTCATAAAACAGAACACTTTTCTTTTTTTTAATTTACTGACAAAAACATCATGGCAACACAGGTACTGTTTTTGATCTTAGACAATACCTCAAAAAAGTATGGAGCTGCAAGATTAAGTAAACGAGTTAAGTTTGATGTTTCATGTGAAAATTTTCCTTAAAGTCTCTACTTGGCATGATCAGTAGCGGGTATGACCCCCACGTGCCTGGATGACGCATTCCACCCCAAGTCTCATGCCTCCAGTCAGACGTTGGATCTGTTAATTGGTCAACAACCACTCCTGATGCAATGCTGCTTCCGGTTGGCATAAACCTTGTACAGGAGGATCTCGTGCCTGTACGTGCCGCCCCAGAATATCCCAAACATGTTCAAGGGTGTTCAAATCTGGGCTCATTGCTGGCCAGGGTAGAGTTGTTGTTGCATTGGCCCTCATGTAATCCATGCGAACGATGAGGCCTGGCATTGTTATCCACGTACTGAGGATGCTTGTCAAAATGAGGAAGGACGACTGGCCTCAAAACGTCCCGAATGTACTGAGCCCCTGTTAAGTTACCCCTTATGGCGTCCAAATCCAGCCTGCAACCAAGAGAGATACACCCCCAAACAATTACTGAGTCCCCGCCGTATGCAACAGTCGGTGTAATGTTCCTGGGGGTGTAGGCCGTGTTCCGGTGCCTTCAAACTTTCGTTCTTCCATCAGTGACGTGGAGCAGAAAGCAACTTCGTCTGACCAATGGATCCATCTCCAAGTTCTCAGATTCCAGTTCTGTCGCACAATACACCATGCTAAACGAGCAGCTTTGTGGTGATCTCAACAAGGGATGCTTTATGACTCATCTAGCCCTCAGTCCTCCTTTCAGCAGGTTCCTGACGGTTCTGGTGCTGAAACGATGATTGGGCAACTACAGCTGTTTCAGACGAGTACTTGTTAAAAAGAGTTTTGGCGTATGAGACGAAGGAGGTCCCTGTCTTCGCGAAATGTCGTCACAGGAGGTCCCCCGGATCGACTAAATGGCTTCCGATAGTGTGATGATACCCCAAATTCCGACCAATGGCATTACAAGACATTCCTGCGTTATGCATGCCGTTATTTGCCATCTGGTGGCGTTTGATAATCGCCCTGTGCCATGGTCACACAATGTCATGGAATAACTGTTTAAAACCAAGCTTAAGAAAGCAATTTTAACGTTTGGATATATTGCTTTTAGAGATACTCGAGGGTAGCATGCTGCAGGGGCATACCATGCATGGCACGTGAGCTTTCATCATGCATGACTGTTTACACCATCTCGAGAAAACATTCTTCCCGACTGTTACAAATATTGCGACCAAACAATAATGAAATATATTAGGGTATGCCTAACTTTTTTCTTTGTGTGTATATATGCATGGTCACACAAATAGTCCTGGTGATTCAGAAACATAAAGGTATCCATCTCAATAAGAGGACGTCGTCAGATTTATCTGCTTCATGGTAGGTGGAGTTCAAATGACATTCACCACAATCAAAGATTGAATTTAGATTTTGGTCTTGGTTTTAGTCATGTTGCACACACATTCTTATTTTAAAGCGAATGAGAGTGCATGCTGCAGTCTGAAAAATGTTAATGACTTTCAGAGCCAAGAAATCTTTTTCTCAATCATAAATTTTAAAAACATGCCATTTAGCTTTGTGAAATGGGATTACCCAGTTCATGTTAATTAAATCCTGTTTGATCAATATTTATTGGAACAACTTTGATTTAGTTTTTCCCATATTCTGCAAATCAGGCAAGGTTCAATTATGACTGGAGCATGTGGTGTCCTCCACTGTATCATGACATCAATGCTATCCAGGGTGACATGTAAACTGTATATTAAACACCACTGGTTCCAAATTATTTTTCTGGACATCCACTACTAAATATTAAGACCCGCAAAACCTGAAAACAGAATGTTTATCTCCTGGATGGCACCAATTTATCTGAGAGAGTCTGTGGCGCACTCAGAGATATGTGTTGTCTCTCCCATCATGCCACCAGTTTCAAAAAGGGTTGGGATAAAATAAACTTAATGTTTTTCACTTGGTGTAGTTAATGACTTAATTCAAACCAATGTTGTGGTACCTATGCCGTGTTGAGGACTTGGGTGCTAAATCTGTTGTGGTTTGGGGGCACGGGTGGCCCAGTCGTCTAAGGCGCCGCGATTCGCTGTGCAGAGTTGCCCCTTGGGCATGCCAGAAACCTATGATTTTGGGTTCGAGTCCCGGTTCGCCGCGATCATGTTTCTAGGTTTGTCAGCACCATACCCGTGCTCATGGGTTTCACCGAAGTGGTAAACGTCTGAGACCTGCATCATTTCGGGCTTTCCTCCCACATTAAGCTGTTATAACTGGAATACTGTTAAAAGCGGTGTTAAAGTCAGTCAGTCAGTCAGTCAGTGTTGTGGTTTAGTCTGAACCCCTCCCAAAACTTTCGTTGGATTAATGCAAGAACCCTATGCATTCTTCCCTTCAGAATGTTCAGCAATATAGGTTTCAAAGTTCACATGCCTGACAGAACAGAAGGTATTCCTGCAATGTCACTTTAGTGGCAGGGCTCAAGAAGAATTTGACATCATTTATCAACTTTCAAGAAAAAGAGGCTGGGCAAGTTTATATTCACAAGCATCAACTGGACACTCCACTGCAACTGTTCCTTGAGTTTTGCAATGCATCATTTGTGGGTTTTTTTCTGTATAAGCCCACATGGCTAATGAAACCTTTGGTTGATTTCTCTGCACTCTGCTGAGCATATGCCTGTAGGTATTTCAGGGTTGAATGGAGATCCCGAATCATGTGAATGATTACGTGGTCTTGTCATTAGCAAATGTTGCTGTCACATTGTATAACAGACACCCCCGGAGGACATCTGGACCTTGAGGCACCAGCTGTATGTTCTGTAATCACAATGATGGTCTCCATTAAATGATGACAAATCTACTGGCTACTTTCACCGCCTCTGTGGCCTAGTGGATAGAGCATTTGCCTGGAGAACCTGGTTGTCCCAAAAGATGTTAAAAGATGGTACTTGTTACCCTGTCTGGCCTTCGGCTTGGAGGGGGATAAAACAAGGACTTATCACCCAGTCAGTATCATGTATTTGAGTGGCGTATCCATGTCAAACTGCAGCATGGCATTTCAGTAGGCTAGCACTATAAAACCTGCATAAGTCCGGTCTAGTACAAGCACACACACCAATATACATGGTATATGGTCTCTGTAAATATGAAAAACATAGGATGTTTAAGCTTTTTATTTTTTGCCATTTATATACACAATGAGAAAACAATAGAATCATTTTGTACCTATCACGTAATACACTGTCAACAACAGTTTTACACAAATATTTACACCTCCATAAACCTGACTGAACAGTCACAGCGCCAAGACTGTTCTGTTGACGAACTTGATCCACACACCAATCTCAGTGCTATGACTGTCCAGTGGAATAGCAACTATGTTGCACAAAAATAAAATATAGCTTTAAAAAATGTATGATAGTGTGTTCTTTTACCCAACTAATGTTTGTTTATTTGGTGTTTAACGCCGCACCTAGGAATATTCCAGCTGCATGACGGCTATCTGTAAATAATCAAGTCTGGACCAGACAATCCAGTGATTAAAAACATCATGAACATCGATCCATGCAATTAGGATGCGATGACATTCAATGACAAAGTCAGTGAGCCTGACCAACCGATCCCGTTAGTTGTCGCCTTTTACGGCAAGTTAAGCATGGGTTGCTGAAGACCTTTAGAAAATTCTATCCCAGATCTTCACGGGATGATGCTGCTTTTAATGATAAGATACACAATGTCAGCCAGCAATGACAAGGCCTAAAACAAATGAAATACAACTATGACCAGGCCAAATGTGATTGAATGACACAGACAAAATTAACCAGTTGTGTGAATGAGACAACCAGCAACAACCTTTGTCCGCCAGCGACATGGAACATCGAGAATTACATGAAAAAATGACCCAAATTAAATATAGGAATACATATATTGACTGAAGCATCAAGTATTGATACACAAGGCTGGTTTATTCTGACAGGGCCAACACCTTGTAACATCTGTACCTTTGACACTCCATACCGACTGACAGACAAATGACTAGTTCATGCACTGAAACTTAAATACAACAGAGATCCAGGTAAGCTACATATTTGCGTAAAAGAATCAAAATGTATCACAACTACCCTATTCATTTTAAGTTTTGTCTGTTGTTACACTCCACACAGAGCTATATGATGGTGGTCTGTAAATAAGTCTGGAGTCTGGACCAGACAATCCAGTAATTGACATTATGAGGATCAATCTACGCAATTGGGATTGATGACATGCATCAACCTAGTCAGCAAGTCTGACCACACGATCCCCTTAGTCACGTTGTGACAAGCATAGTTGTCTTTTTACTTAAGGGCGGGTTGCTGAAGACCTATTCTAACCTGGATCTTCACAGGTTTTCATTTTAAGTAGTTTGCTTAGAACTCTTAAAAAACAACAACAGTATAACACTGTGTACTTACCCATTGTAAAATGTATCCTTTTCAACTATTCAAAGAAAACTATCAATACTCAATGTATAACACGTGAGCAAATACACATGGGCTAAAATGGTACCTGGAGCCCTGCTACAACAGTTAATTTGTACAATATAGAATATTGAAACTGACATCATTCCACAATTACCACATCAAAATTATCCTCCATTCAATTTCACACATCCTTGTTATCATCCATGCGTTATTGCGTTATATACAGATGGAGCAAACATTCCGACATGATGCAGGCCCTCTCATGCCATAACTGATGGCCCTCTCATGCCATAACTGATGGCCCTCTCATGCCATAACTGATGGCCGATGGCCCTCTCATGCCATAACTGATGAACATGCACTATCCACTCCTCCAAATTAAAGATGACACAATCTCATGTCATCATCATGATAAATATTCAGTAACATGTTCAGCATAACCTTTTATCATCAGGGTACTCAACTATCCTAAGGCCGTTTTTTCAGTTTGGTTTACAGATTCCCCCCCAAAAATAATCAGTTTGGTAGAAATAGAAAAGAGAAAAATATAATAATTATGACATGAGTAAGTTTTTACGCAGCTTTTAGCAATAATCAGGCAATATAGCAGTGGGGGACACCAGAAATGGGCTTCATACATTGTGCCCATGTGGGGAATCGAACCTGGGCCATTAATGTGACGATGGCTTTAACCACTAGGCTACCCTACAGCCCCAATTATGACATGACAGTGCAAGGTACCCGGAGGTGGTTGAGTTACTACCCTCACTGCCAACATTGCATTGTCATCACTGCAGAAGTGAGGAAGTTCTGATGGGAAACTCATCTTGTTACCATGTTGCAAGATTCCATCATTTATTAATTTCATATAAACATATTTCACGGTGGTGGTGACAAAAATATTTTTCAAAAAATGATTTTATGAATAACAAAATAATTATTTATATTTCACCTCCGTATTCCCAGTATTGTGGCCGGCGCACCTGTAAACCAAGGCCTAACTTCCTTAGACATCCCCTTCACAATAGTTTTCTCCACATCCTGCCTATCTCACTTTGATGGATAATCGCTGGACTTCCTCATCGTAGGATCAGGGAAGTCACTCATCTCACATAGGAGGGGGTGGTGGCGGTTTCGGAGGTTCGTAATTTGGAAGAGGGGGTTGAAAGTTGTAAAATGTGTTCCCTGAGTTGTAATCTGGCTGCCCAGTGCCCCGAGGGGCATGGCTGGGGTAAGACATTACAGACCCCTGGGGGTACAGGGCACTAGCCTGAGGGTACAGAGCACTAGCGTGGGTGGCAGGGGCCGAACTGTAATCCATGAATTGTGTGGAATCTTTGGGGGTGCTGTCCGAAGTCAGATTGAACATTCCAGAGGTGTTCGTCTTTGAGGGAGCAGGAAGAAAAGATGCAGCTGCCAAGGGGCTACTTTGGGATACACCATGGGATACGTTCTGTTCAGGCGGTGGAACACCTCGAAATAAGTTCTGGTCTGGTGATGGTACACCTTGAAATATGTTCTGGTTTGGAGGTGGAACACCTTGAAATATGTTCTGGTCTGGTGATGGTACACCTTGAAATATGTTCTGATTTGGAAGTGGAACACCTTGAAATATGTTCTGGTCTGGTGATGGTACACCTTGAAACATGTTCTGATTTGGAGGTGGAACACCTTGAAATATGTTCTGGTCTTGTGGTGGAACACCTTGAAACAGATTCTGATTTAAAGGTGGAACACCTTGAAGTATGTTCTGGTTTGGTGGTGGAACACCTTGAAACAGGTTCTGATTTGGTGCTGGAACATCTTGAAGGTCACTGTGTGGTGAGTTTGTGCTGACTGCTGGTCGCTTGCCTAGTTTGAAAGAAGCAGACCTTTGTGTAATCTGAAAAACAGAAATAAACTATATTTAGTAATAGGACAACAAACACCACCACCACCAACAGAAACAGGCACTCCAACAACACATTCTTCAGCGGATCCTAAAACTCAGAAGAACACACATTTTTTACATTTACATCATAATTAATCATTCAATATCATAATTAATCACTCAATACCAGACAGAATTCCCTAAAATAACACATAAGGTATCATGACATTTATTAAACTCCAGCCATGTCATTCCATTGTTCTACACAAGGTTCTCTCCTTTGAGCAAGTACTTGTTCTCAATCAAGCTGAAAGCCATGAGCAGCTTTGAATATACATAGGGAGGCTTTCCTTTCTCTGTAAGACCTACTTTGGGGTTTACAGTTTTCAAGTAAGACCTAACATTTTAGTTTGAATCATAAATACGACCTGCTTTGAGGTTTCATTTTTGAACTATGTCAATTAATTTGCATTTGATGTTGATTTTGGATTGTTTAATTTCCAGCTCAACAACTGTGTATGAAAGTAGCATTAGCAGATAAACAATATGTGTTTTCATGGCAACCATTTTGCCAAGCCGAAGTACAAATATGGGACTGGAAAAAAATGAAAAGTATTCATACACAGTGAAAAGTCAGTTATCAGATTACAACACAAATTCCTTTTACAATGTGTCATAATGTAACTCTGGCACACATTCCCTTCCATACAAAGCAGAGTGAGTGAGTGAGTATGGTTTTACGCCGCTTTTAGCAATATTCCAGCAATATCACGGCGGGGGACACCAGAAATGGGCTTCACACATTGTACCAATGTCAGGAATCGAACCGGGGTCTTCGGCGTGACGAGCGAACGCTTTAACCACTAGGCTACCCGACCGTGGTCTAAATGATCATGATCTAAAATGCGGATGCAACTTTCAGTTGATTGGTTGTTTTACGCCTCACTCAGCAATATTCCAGCTATATGATGGCGGCCTGTAAATAATCGAGTCTGGACCAGACAATCAAGCATCGATCCACACATTTGGGATCGATGACATGCTTCAACCAAGTCAGCGAGCCTGACCACCCGATCCTGTTAGTCGCCTCTTTCGACAAGCATGGGTTGCTGAAGACCAACTCTACCCTGGAATCTTCACGGGATGGTTTGTAAAGGTAAACATTATTTCCGACACTGGTACAAAGACACCTACATTGATGGCACTGGGGCTGTGTGATGATGATGCCGAGCCAGGAGAGCTGACTTGCATCTGTCCCTGGGGGGTCAATTTCTGGACAGACTTGATCATCTCACTGACCTCTCCGGCGTTGCTACGGAGGCGGAAGGACAGCAGAGCCTGGGTCAAGGCGTTGGACACCTGGAGTGCCACAGCAGCCTCATCTTCTGTGGAGATCATTGAGCTGGACTGAAACAAAGAGACAAGGAGACATGATAGATATGCTGTGAGAAATCTTGAGATGAAGATAAGGTCATCTTCGATTATGAAGGGTGATATATTTTTTAGTATGATAAACACCCTGGACACAGGGTTTTGGAAGCAACAGCACCAGTTCCAACTCTCTTATCGCTAACTTCACACAGAATTTCTCTCACTCTTGAGCTTGAAATCAACAACCAATCAAACAAGAGTTAATAATTCCTCTAGAAAGCTTCCTCTATTGCATCACTGCCATAAATCCTGCACTAAATCACATTATAGAATTGTCGACTAAATACAGCATTTAAAGCTGTGGTGTAACAGAGCAGGATATTTGCAGGAATGATGGCTCTTCTGAATAAGAGTTTGGTACTTAATCATAAACTCAAAATTCCAGGCTGTTCTCAGGCTAATCAATGTATTGAGGACCTTTTTAAGGTACTATTACACATAAGGACCTTTCAAAATGAGCCTCAATATTCAGGGTTATTGTGCCTATTAATGATGTACTGATGAGTTATCATTGGGATGTGTGACCACCTACCAGAGTTTGCAGCATTTCTCCAATCTGACCACCAACTGCTGCTGTAGCGTCACCCATCTGGAACAACACATTAGAATTAAAAGCAACATCTTTGGCAAGCATGTAACAAGTTATGATGAGACCAACCTATTGATATTCAGTTGAAGGGGTCGGGTGGGGGTTATGACCTTGAAAATAAGGTCAAGGTCACCATTATCAACATGGTTCGCTAACAACAATTATGTGCAGACTGAGCCTGAAACTAAGTCTCCTGCTGTTGTCCTGGTAACAGCAAACCAGATTAAGTCTACAGCAAACGTTTAGAGCCAATCTCATTGAAATCAGATCTTAGTTCTCGCTACCACTAAACAAAGATCTGAGGACATCCCATTACGGGTCACGCCAGACCGACCTTGCGCGAACTCTGACCGACCAATGGATTGACCAATCAGAAGGGAGCTTTCTCGTGCTTTACGGCACGAATTTCAATTTGGCGACTACGCTTCGAAACATATTTTGACAAATTTTCGATTACTAATTTGAAACCTGAACAAAAGAACATTCGGGAATGGCTGATAGATGATCTAGATGGTATGGATTCAGTCATTAAACCCGTAACTATCATTCGGAATACCCCGTGTAATGCATTTCAAGGTAGAAATCACATTCCGACTGTCACTTTCATAATCTGGTAAGTGACGCTCTGATTAGTCGGATGAAAGGTCGTTCTGATGCGCCCCTTATAGGATGTCTTCAGATCTTAGTTCAGCGGTCTGATTTTAATAAGATTGGTTTAGAGCAAAAACTAAAACTAAAACTAAAACTAAAAAGGCGTTTACACTACCAAGTTAAATCAAAATTATACTATTCATAAAAATTCAAGATGTTGTGTAAACAATGCCTTACTTTATGCCTAGCTCATACCGGGTGACTTTGACCTTACATGTCCCCAAGTCACATGTCATAAGCAGGTGGTTGTGGAAACCAATTGCGACGACAGAATTCAACCTTCAGGGAACATAAAGCAGTCCCCTTAACAGAAGACTGTTAAAATAGGCAGCCTGCTTGAACCATATGGCCCGAGAGCAAAGCAATAATATTTTCACACTTATTACATCGAATGGAGAGCGGAAGGTTTGTGGTTCGATCCCATCTGCATCATACCAAATACGGAAAAAGATCATACTTGTCGTCAGCCTGTCTGGTGCTCAGCATTAAGGAAATAAAACAAGGCCTGGTTGGATCAGAGTCAGTATACTGTGTCTCAGTGGATTATTGAAATTAAACAGCACAATGGTATCTGAGTGGGTTGCATTATAACATCGGCATTGGTCTGGGCTAGTACAAGTGTGCACTCACATGCATACACTCAATCACACAAACATACTTCACTACACTATAGGTGCAATACTCTTGAACGCGCCGTTCAACCTCATTTCACCTCACCTAGTACTGGTACATCTAACACACAGTACAGTACAGTACATCTAGCACAGAGTACAGTACAGTCAATCTAGCACACAGTACAGTCAATCTAGCACACAGTACAGTCAATCTAGCACACAGTACAGTACATCTAGCACACAGTACAGTACATCTAGAACACAGTACAGTACATCTAACACAGAGTACAGTACATCTCGCACACAGTACAGTACATCTAGCACACAGTACAGTACATCTAGCACACAGTACAGTACATCTAGCACACTGTACAGTACATCTAGCACACAGTACAGTACATCTAACACAGTACAGTACATCTAGCACACAGTACAGTACATCTAGCACACAATACAGTACATCTAACACACAGTACAGTACATCTAGCACAGTACAGTACATCTAACACACAGTACAGTACATCTAGCACACAGTACAGTACATCTAGCACACAGTACAGTACATCTCTCACACAGTACAGTCCATCTAACACACAGTACAGTACATCTCGCACACAGTACAGTACATCTAGCACACAGTACAGTACGTCAAGCACACAGTACAGTACATCTAGCACACAGTACAGTACATCTAGCACACAGTACAGTACATCTCGCACACAGTACAGTCCATCTAACACACAGTACAGTACGTCAAGCACACAGTACAGTACATCTAGCACACAGTACAGTACATCTAGCACAGTACAGTACATCTAGCACACAGTACAGTACATCTAACACACAGTACAGTCCATCTAGCACACAGTACAGTACATCTAACACACAGTACAGTACATCTAGCACACAGTACAGTACATCTAACACACAGTACAGTACATCTAGCACACAGTACAGTACATCTAACACACAGTACAGTACATCTAGCACAGTACAGTACATCTCGCACACAGTACAGTACGTCAAGCACACAGTACAGTACATCTAGCACACAATACAGTACATCTAGCACACAGTACAGTACATCTCGCACACAGTACAGTACATCTAGCACACAGTACAGTACGTCAAGCACACAGTACAGTACATCTAGCACACAGTACAGTACATCTAGCACACAGTACAGTACATCTCGCACACAGTACAGTCCATCTAACACACAGTACAGTACGTCAAGCACACAGTACAGTACATCTAGCACACAGTACAGTACATCTAGCACACAGTACAGTACATCTAACACACAGTACAGTACATCTAGCACACAGTACAGTACATCTAGCACAGTACAGTACATCTAGCACACAGTACAGTACATCTAACACACAGTACAGTCCATCTAGCACACAGTACAGTACATCTAACACACAGTACAGTACATCTAGCACACAGTACAGTCCATCTAGCACAGTACAGTACATCTAGCACACAGTACAGTACGTCAAGCACACAGTACAGTACATGTAGCACACAGTACAGTACATCTAGCACACAGTACAGTAGATCTCGCACACAGTACAGTACATCTAACACACAGTACAGTACGTCAAGCACACAGTACAGTACATCTAGCACACAGTACAGTACATCTAGCACACAGTACAGTACATCTAACACACAGTACAGTACATCTAGCACACAGTACAGTCCATCTAGCACAGTACAGTACATCTAGCACACAGTACAGTACATCTAACACACAGTACAGTCCATCTAGCACACAGTACAGTACATCTAGCACACAGTACAGTACATCTAGCACACAGTACAGTACATCTAACACACAGTACAGTACATCTAGCACACAGTACAGTACATCTAACACAGTACAGTACATCTAGCACACAGTACAGTACATCTAGCACACAGTACAGTACATCTAGCACACAGTACAGTACATCTAACACACAGTACAGTACATCTAGCACACAGTACAGTACATCTAACACAGTACAGTACATCTAGCACACAGTACAGTACATCTAGCACACAGTACAGTACATCTAGCACAGTACAGTACATCTAGCACACAGTACAGTCCATCTAGCACAGTACAGTACATCTAGCACACAGTACAGTCCATCTAGCACAGTACAGTACATCTAGCACACAGTACAGTCCATCTAGCACAGTACAGTACATCTAACACACAGTACAGTACATCTAGCACACAGTACAGTACATCTAGCACACAGTACAGTACATCTAACACACAGTACAGTACATCTAGCACACAGTACAGTAGATCTAGCACACAGTACAGTCCATCTAGCACAAATAAGTACATCTAGCCCACAGTACAGTACATCTAACACAGAGTACAGTACATCTAGCACACAGTACAGTACATCTAGCACAGTACAGTACATCTAGCACACTGTACAGTACATCTAGCACACAGTACAGTACATCTAGCACACAGTACAGTACATCTAGCACACAGTACAGTACATCTAGCACACAGTACAGTCCATCTAGCACAGTACAGTACATCTAGCACACTGTACTGTACATCTAGCACACAGTACAGTACATCTAGCACACAGTACAGTACATCTAACACACAGTACAGTACATCTAGCACACAGTACAGTACATCTAGCACACAGTACAGTCCATCTAGCACAAATAAGTACATCTAGCACACAGTACAGTACATCTAGCACACAGTACAGTCCATCTAGCACAGTACAGTACATCTAGCACACTGTACAGTACATCTAGCACACAGTACAGTACATCTAGCACACAGTACAGTCAATCTAGCACACAGTACAGTACATCTAGCACACAGTACAGTCAATCTAGCACACAGTACAGTACATCTAGCACACAGTACAGTCCATCTAGCACACAGTACAGTCCATCTAGCACACAGTACAGTACATCTAGCACACAGTACAGTCAATCTAGCACACAGTACAGTCCATCTAGCACACAGTACAGTCAATCTAGCACACAGTACAGTCCATCTAGCACACAGTACAGTCAATCTAGCACACAGTACAGTACATCTAGCACACAGTACAGTACATCTAGCACACAGTACAGTACATCTAGCACACAGTACAGTACATCTAGCACACAGTACAGGACACTTACCCCTGGAGCTGCCTGGGTGACATCAGCAGCAGACTGTGGCTGATCCATCCTCATCAGCTTCTCCTCAGCCTTTGGAATTGCTCTGTAAAAATAACATTATTCAGATTTCTTCACTTAATCAAAAAACATTGGCTGTCAGAGAAACAAAATGCAAGTCATTTTTTTTTTATCACACTCTAACTTATTTTGATGAGTGAGTGAGTGAGTATGGTTTTACGCCGCTTTTAGCAATATTCCAGCAATATCACGGCGGGGGACACCAGAAATGGGCTTCACATATTGTACCCATGTCGGGAATTGAACCCGGGTCTTCGGCGTGACAAGCGAACGCATTAAGCACTAGGCTACCCGACCGCCCCCTTATATTGATGAATGAACTGTACTTTCTACATAATGTGAAAAATAATGCACACATTCCTTTAACCTTTTGAACTTGTAATTCTTAAAAAAAAAGGAACCTTTTTTCACATTTTATTCACACTCAATACCATCAAAAAGAGTGGCTACCCATTATCAATAATTCACAGGTATGCACTAGGCTCCTCCATCACCCCAGGAATTCATTGGACCATATGTGATGTCGTCTCTATTTTTAACCAATGAATTAAGCAACATCCTTGTTCCAGCAAGAGAGCAACCGATGGATACACAGACCAATGAACACTCACACGAACAGAGAGATGTGTGCACATCGAGTGTAACATGTACAAAACCTTTTGGTATCTGCTCTACACACTGCATCAAGTCTTACTTCTTTAGCTGCCTGAATTAAGACACACGTCACCACCACAACACAAATCAGCCCAATGTATTCACGGGTGATGGAGGAGATTAGTGTGTACAAACCTGTGAAATATTGACAATGGCGGTTATCATATCATTATGATTGAAGCAATATGTATCATCATCATCATACCTCTGAAGCTTATCCCTGGATAGTGGATAGTGCCCCTGTTCCTCTCTCCGTGGATAGTGCTCATGTTCCTCTGTCTGTGGATGGTGCCCATGTTCCTCTGTTTGTGGATGGCGCCCCTGTTCCTCTCTCCGTGGATAGTGCTCATGTTCCTCTGTTCGTGGATGGTGTCCATGTTCCTCTCTCCGTGGATGGTGCCCATGTTCCTCTCTCCAGGGATGGTGCCCATGTTCCTCTGTTCGTGGATGGTACCCATGTTCCTCTCTCCGTGGACGGTGCCCATGTTCCTCTGTTTGTGGATAGTGCCCCTGTTCCTCTGTTCGTGGATAGTGCCCCTGTACCTCTGTTTGTGGATAGTGCCCCTGTTCCTCTCCCCGTTGATAGTCCCCCTGTTTGTCTGTCTGTGGATGGTGCCCATATTCCACTGTCCGTGGATGGTGCCCCTGTTCCTCTGTCTGTGGATAGTGCCCCTGTTTCTCAGTCTGTGGATGGCGCCCTTGTTCCCCTCTCAGTGGATAGTGCCCCTGTTCCTCTGTCCATGGATGGTGCCCATGTTCCTCTGTCCGTGGATGGTGCCCATATTCCACTGTCCGTGGATTGCATCCCTGTTCCTCTGTCCATGGATAGTGCTCCTGTTTCTCAGTCCGTGGATGGTGCCCATGTTCCTCTCTCAGTGGGAAGTGCCCCTGTTCCTCTGTCCGTGGATGGTGCCCATGTTCCTCTGTCCGTGGATGGTGCCCATGTTCCACTGTCCGTGGATAGCGCCCTTGTTCCACTGTCCGTGGATGGCGCCCTTGTTCCTCTCTCCTTGGATATTGCTCATGTTCCTCTCTCCGTGGATGGTGCCCATGTTCCTCTGTCTGTGGATGGTGCTGTTGTTTGTCTGTTCGATGATAGCTACCTTTGTCATCATAACGGGGGTAGTTTCCTTGGTCCTCTTGAGGATAGTGCCCATATTCCTCTCTCTGTGGATGGTACCGATGTTTGTTTGTTTGAGCGTAGTTACCTTGGTCATCAAGCTGTTGATAATGACCTTGACTGTCAGTCTGTGCGTAATGACCTTGGTCATCAGTCTCGTGATCATGACCTTGGTCGTCAGTTTCTTGATAGCAGCTTGGGTCATCATCTGGTGCATAACTACGTTGATACTGATAGTATGGATCAGTTGAATATGGGTCAGGGTCATACTGTCTGGACTTTTCTTGGTAGCTGCTGTCAGTCCCTTCCCTGTTAAGAAAAGGCAGTCATGCTAAAAAAACACAAAATTTGTTCCCTTCATAAAGAGCAAAAACCATCAAAGAGAAAAAAAATTAAAGCAATTAATCAAAAGTTTGGACAAATTAGCAGACATACATTTTACTTCTTGATATCATCTGATAAATAGCATGTGACCTGTCTTCAAAGATTGAGTGAACAGCCATGACGGAGCTGTCAGTATTAAAAATGCCAAGGCAACAACAAGGCATTCACGGTGGGAACACAAGTTGAAATTACTCATGAATTTGCTCAGATCACAAACAAATCAGCCCCATAATAACAGAAATCATTTGAAAAAATGTTACCCTACGCAGTTTTCCCATTGTGCAAACCCAATTTTGACAATGAAAAGCTCTAAAAAACATGTTCAATAGACTGTTTTCGACGAAGTTTTAGCATACTAGCGTATGGGGTCTTTCTCTCTCTAATGTTTTTTTTCCTATTAATGAGTCAAGGAAAGCAGCATAAGGCTTGGTAAATCTGAGTACCATCCTTGTGCCTCTTCTGCAGCTCCTCCAGAGAACATCTTCCGTGCTCTATCTTCTGCATCTCCCCCAAACCTCCTGGCAGTGATGTTAACCTGATGCCTCAGTCTCATCTTCAGCTGTTCTGACACTCCTGCAGAGTACACACCAAGTGGGACATTTATCACTCAACAGATTAAACTCTAGATATGTTAGATCTCAGAGTCAACCCGCTGTAAACAGTACTATGAGTCTAGTGTTACAGGTGAAGGTCGGTGAGGTAAAATGGAGTTTAACTGCACTTATATAGTAACCTGCATGATTGTATGTGTATGGCTGATATTTTGCTGGTCTGGACTTTTACAGTGTTAGCCCACTAAGATACCATGCTGCAGTTTAACATGGATACCCCACTCAGACACAGTATACTGACTCCGAGCTGACCAGTCCTTGTTTTAGCCCTTCAATGCCAAGTGCCAGGCAGGGTAAAAACAAGTACAATCTTTTAATGTGTTTTGGAGTGATGTGGCTGGGGATCAAATCCCAATGAAATCATCTTCAGGACTTCATTCCACATAAGCTGACTGTTATCAATACACCACTGGATTGTATACATTGTTACACCATCACTTGTGAATACATGATCACTATCATTAACCAGTGAATCTAGCCAGAGTTCTAGCGGGAGGGAAAGTACTGGGTGCTCAGACCAATGAACACTTCACACCAATTACATTGCACAAACCACAGTACTTCTCGTTCAACATGTGATACTTGTGACCATCTACTCTAAACATTGCTTGAATGCAAGGCAACGGTAGGGTTTGCTCAAACTTCATGCACAGAGTAGGGCCCATTTGACATCCATGGGTTACAGACTCATTGCATAACTTGACATACAATAGAAATAAGTCACTATAGCACCAAATACCGGCTCTATATTGTCAGTGTTATTTTTTTTTTTATGTTTAACGGCACACTCTGCAATATTCTTGCTATATGATGGTAATTTGTAAATAATCAGGACTGGACCAGACAATCCAGGGATTGACATTATGACCATTGGTAGACACAACTGAGATACGATGACATGCGATCAACCAAACATCAGCACCTGATCCATTTTGTCCCCACTTATGGCAAGCATAGGTTGCTGGGGACGTTCATTCTAACCCAGAATCCCCAGGGTTTCCACGTGTATATTCATGGGTGATTGAGGACGCAGTGGACAGTATTGATTATGTGAGCTGACATGATATGCTATAACTTAAATAGTGTTAGAAGCATCACAACACACAAGTGAGTGAGTGAGTGAGAATGGTTTTACGCGGCTTTTAGCAATATCCCAGCAATATCACGGCGGGGGACACCAGAAATGGGCTTCACAATTTGTACCCATGTCGGGAATCGAACCAAGGTCTTCCGCGTGACGAGCGAACGCTTTAACCACTAGGCTACCCGACCGCCCCCACAACACACAAAACTAAACCACAGCTGACAGTATGAAAAGTGAACATTTGTTTGTTTGATTAACCCTTCACTCAGCATTAATCCAGCTATATGACGACAGTCTATAAATAATCTAGTCTAGACCAGACAATCCAATTATTAACATCGATCTATGCAATTGGGAAACGATGAATTGCATCAACCAAGTCAGCAAGTCTGTCCACCTTATCTCATTGGTCACACGGATATTGCATCCTCTTCAGTTGGCTTGCACGTCAGCAGCGTTCAAAATACCTGCCTGCCCGACCGTCCGAGACGGGTTGATTTAAACTCGGGCTGCCAGATTTTCAAATCCCCCTGCCCGACGGTCGGGTTATATTTCATAGGTGAAAATATTCTAAATATTTCCCGATGATAAGCAATAATTCACATGTAAAGATGAATGATAAAATGTAACCAAAAAGAAACCCCGTTAGCTTTTAGACAACCTAACATTTAGCGATGCGCTTATGCTACAAGCAATCAGTTTCCATATTTTCAATTAAATTATCCTGAGAAACATATGATTATAGTGGGCAGGCAGGTTTTGGTCAGGGCTGGCAAGTATTTCAGCTAGCCAGTCCTGTGGTCTGGCTGAAATTTTTAGGAGTTTCATACCCTGACGTCAGGCATTGAGGACCTTATATACCCTGGAGCTCTGATAAGGCCAGCATCACACAAGATCAGATACGTACCTGTGTCTTGTGCTGGACGCACATCATGTTTTGATGGACCTCCATATCCAGGTCTGTGGAAGACAAAATATGTATTGGATTAATGTATTCCATGAAATGTCCGACCATTTGAAAACAGTGAGACATGTGAATGAAGAAATTCTCATAAGTAATTCAATTAAGTTTATCACCATGACCATGGTCATCTGTATATAAACAGTCTTGTCAGACCAAACCAGTGGTTGAAAGCATGAGCAGCAGTAGCCACAGGACTATAATTGTCACCTCATTTGTACAGTATTTATAGAAGGGTGTGGAAAATCAGTGTCTGACTTGCCGGCCTTCTTACATGTGATCGTGTGTAGTAGTGGGACGATACATCCATGCTTTGATAACAAGATACCATCACACTCGCACACTAAGTAAAAAGTATTGATTCTTACTTAAATCTATTCATTAAAGGGCAAGTTCACATGGAAATTAACCTATTTTTCTTGTACTTTTTCCACATTAAAAGTGTTAACCTAGAAGTGTCATAGACAAAAATATAAAAATATCACAATTAATTAACATATTTTTCGCATTAAAACGATTTATATTTTTCACATTTACCAAGTGTTCTATTTCCACAACAAAAACACCATGGCTTATGCCCCTTGCAATATGACGTCATTGGTGCCAATTGATAAACATTATGACGTCATCATGCTTTGTTAGAGCCGATTCACGTGGTGTAGGTCTAGGTGTGTGATTCTAGCGTCTCAGATGCCAGCCAGCATAGTGTTATGCTGAGTCACCACTGCGCCGGAGTGTGTCGTAGGCCATGTTGTTTTACCGCAAACTGGTACTTGATATCTTTTGCGTTGAGAATAGACAGGGTCCCAGTTGAATTGGCACCAATTACGTCATAATCTAAGGGGGATAACTCAGGCCTGTTAAGCTCGAAAAACAAAGGCCTCATAACGGCATATCATTTTCACACTATTGTGAGCTTCCTACTTTCACTGTGAAAAAAATGAGTGTATATTTTCAAACACAGATACTAATTAATTCTAAAATTGCGTTTTGTTTAGAAAAAGAAAGAAAGTGATTTTTGCGTGTACACTTCCCCTTTAATCAATGTTACACCAAACACTAATTACTAGTGAAAATGAGTAGTGATACTGATGCCATACTTGACACTGCCTACTGTAAATCGTCAGTGTGCCAGGTATTTGGTCATCCTGTCTATGAAAAAGATGGCTTCACACCATAGATTAGACCACATGCAAGTATCAGGATACGTATCGGATCATGAGCCGGATACGTATCAGATCGCACAGTTGATTTAACATCCCAACCCTAATTGTGCAACAAACAAAATCAGTTCCATTTGTCTGTGGACAACTTTATCACTTAACAGAACCGAGTCACCTCTTATGACCAGCAGAGACGGTTGTGGAGCAACTCCATCCTCAAATCCACAATGGCTGAATTTTTATTTGAATACACCTGTCATATCTTCCACATATTTCTATACATAACTTTCTTTAGTTTCAATCTCTGGGTTAACCCGTAAAAAGTTGCTAACAAATGTTTCAAGCACACAATGGTCAATATTGGCCAAACAATATCTACCTTAACTGACAAAATTCTATACAAAACTATTTCAACAAATATTTTACATGCTGATATAATCATACACCATATATAATAATATGATATAGTCATATTCACCTTGAAGATTTGTCTGTGTAACCTAGGCCTTGATCTGAATGACCTTCAGAAAAGGGGGGATGCTGAGGAGGGTGTTGTGAAGGTTCTGTAGTACAAAAACATAACATGTATCAGGTGTGAGCCATCTCTATCAATCAGCATAGCCAGCAGTGTTCCCGCTGGCTTTTGAAACTGCCAGTCCTGGTGGAGCGGCAACTCTAAATATTACAAGCTGAACAAGCTGAAAAATATACTTATATAGATATTGCCAATGTCTTGTTCAACAAAAAATATTTATAAGGTACTCAGATCTTAGAATTAGCCAATTTGTTTACAAACAAGTTACAAGCCTGGTCAGTTGTTTTGTAGAATTTTCCTATTCGGAATATTCTATAAGTAATACGTTACCACTGTTATACCGAGGCTGTTGTCTCCCACAACTGCTGCTATAGCGAAATCTACCACAGAGATCTCAATTACCTCATGCAGCACGTGCGTAGCCACCTAGCTGCCATGTGACACCCTTCACTCTTGTCTCCTGCGAGAGCAAGTGCTCGGGGGATGGACGGGCGGGCAGCAGCCCAGTGGTAACGTATTACTTATAGAATATTCCGAATAGGAAAATTCTACAAATTACATTAAGTAATACGTTACCACTGTTATACCGAGGCTGACTACCACAGTAGGCGGTGGGGAGCACCTACAACCCGAATCCTGACTGCTAGCGTTCCTTCCGACCAGCGGAAGTAAACACCAAGGCGGAAGCACTCGATGCGCATGCACCTAGCTAGGCGTTACCCTATAGGAATACCAAAGCACTGTCAAGCGCATACCGTAAGGCTCAATCGTCATTGCCAAAACGATTGGTGACTCCAAACGGCCCCACTGGATAGGTATTTCATCGCCGCAGCGGATGAGAACACTGTATCCGCGTGAGCTTAATCTTAGATCAGGTTAAACAGTCGAAAAGAGGGAAATTAATTTCATTCAGACCGTATATCCCAGAGCAAGCCTACTTAAAGTATGCATTAGGCGCGTGACCTAATTCCAGTATTTGTAAGCATGCATCACAAGGTTGGGATACACGACAGACAATTAAAGACATAATTGTCAAAATACAAATAAGGACAAAGCACACAAAAAGCCGCCCTCACCTGTGGTGTGAGTGCGCTGGTTTGCGGGACCCCAACTCCTGTACCCACGGCAGTGGGAACAATGGAGTCGACCCAGATTGACCACCGTGCAAGGTCAGACGCCTGAGGAGTTCGGAATTGCGCTGGGCACACCCCTTAGGTGCCCGCTTGCGCCGCGATCCGCGGGCCAAGACGGTGCACACTCTCCACGACGGCATCAGCGACCTGTTTGAGGTAATGATTGGCAAAAACCGAGTCAGAACGCCAGTAACAACCTCGTAATATTCTGCGAACAGAGATATTCGAGTGTAGGGCAAATGTTGCCGCTAGCGCCCTGATCTTGTGCGGGTTTGACCCCGCTACCGGTAACCCCCGAGACCGGTACGCCAGATTGATGACAGAACGAAGCCACAACGCAATCGAGTTGTGAGTTATGTCAACCGTGCGATTAGGGTTACACGATATGAACAGACGGTCACGCCCTTGTCTACGTTCATTCGAAGCCTTAAGATAATACTTAAGGGCCCTAACCGGACACAGCGCTCTGTCCTCAGTATCAGCAGGATGTAAGATTTCTTTGAGTGATCTTACAGTGAATTCTCTCTCCGTTTGCCCGACTCTCTGATTCTTGGCGACGAAGCCCATGAGCAGGCCCAGGCGGACCGCACCTTCGTCACCCCTATCGAATCGTACCTTGGCGACATCGAGTGCATGAATTTCGGATACACGTGCCGCCGTGGCAAAGGAGAGGAGAAATGCTGTTTTCCAAGTCACATGCCGGAACGAAGCACTATGCAAGGGTTCATACGGAGCTTCCGTAAGTGATTGCAACACTAGGGAAAGATCCCAGGCCGGTGCCCGAAGGCGGCCCCTCTTAAGATCGTGCTGTTTGAAACCCTTGATAATACCCCGTATCTTTGGAGAGACTGGTACCCATAGCAACGTCCCGTACCGTAGCAACGGACGAGACATAGTTGGCAATGGAACCCCCGGAGAGTTTCCGGGTCTCTCGCAAGTGAGACATGAAACGAGCAATATCCTGCACAGATACCTTATCTGGCGAATGAATGTGATGTTTACAACACCACTTCGTGAAAATAACCCAACGTGCATTATACACCTTCTGGGTAGAATCACGATGCATACTAACGTATGCCCGAGACGCCCGGCGAGAAAAAACTTTACTCCTCAGACGCTCGGTGACAACATCCACGCGTGCAGATTGAACTGCCCTGCGTTTGGATGAAGCTGACGGGTGTGAGGGTGGATCAAGAGATCCGGTCTCACAGGCAGTGGAAGTGGCGACTGCGTGACCTGGGTCAGCAAGTCGGGGTACCACGATCTGTTCGGCCACATGGGCGCGATCAGTAACATTCGACAGCGAACTCCTCGGAGCCGGCTTAGAATGTGTGGTATCAACGCTGTCGGCGGGTAAGCATAAGCGACCAAGCCCGTCCAGTCTAACGCGAGAGCATCGTGATCGATGGCCCTCGGGTCCGGGACTGGTGATACAAACAACGGGAGTTGATTGCTGAACCGCGTTGCGAACAGGTCGACCATCGGACGACCCAAACGTTCGCACAGCCACTGAAACACTACTGGGTTCAGCATCCACTCTGTGGGGCTCGGATCCTGAGGCCTCGATAGAGCATCGGCCAGTACGTTCCGCACACCTGGGATGTGACGGGCGCGTATCTGGCACGGGACACTGTCCACCAGAGCGTAAAACTCGAACGTGAGATCGAGTAGCGAGTGACTGTGGGTTCCCCCCAGTTTGTTCACATAGGACACTACCGTCGTGTTGTCGGTCGCCAGCATGAGCCGGGCGTCGACGAGACGATGCTTCCAGTGATTGACTGCGTTGATCACTGCCTTGAACTCGAGACAAGTGATGTGAAGACATAGTTCGTCTACGCACCACAGCCCCGAGCTCACCTCCCCCTTTAGATGGGCGCCCCAGGCCACTAGAGAGGCGTCTGTATACAGGGTCAACGTGGCCCGGTAGGGACGCATAGAGACTCCTGATAAGACAATGTAAGGGACCGTCCACCACTCCAGATGCGGTCGGAGCCGATCCGGGAGGGCGACGGTCGCACAGTTCACCTCCGTTGCTAACAACTGGATTAAAAACCGTTGCAGCGGGCGGAGTTGGAGACGACCCCGTGCGGTGCAGTCCTGGGCTGATACAAGTAGCCCTAACAGCTGTTCCCAAAAGTGAACAGTCTGTTGCACCGCTAAGACTTTGGCAATCATCGCCTGAATTTTGTGCCACCGGTCTGGGGGGACAAAGAGGCGATGGGACACCGTGTTGAACCGACCTCCGATGAACAGAAAGTTCTGAGAAGGGGTTAACTCGCTCTTGGGGAGATTGATAATCCACCCAAATTGCTCCAAGAGCCGACGTGCAAAATCGAGATGGCGTGACAGGGTGTCCGTCATTCGATTTGCTACTAGCGAGTCGTCCAGGTACGCGAAGTACCGGACACCCCTCCTGTGGAGGAACCCCACTATGGGGGTGGTTAACCGGGTGAACAGCCAGGGAGCGGACGTGTGAATCATTCTGAGTTCGGCACTGTCCTACTTGGGAACGAGAAATATCCTGGAGTAAAACCCCGGTGTTATTTCTGGTAGAGCTAACTCCCGTACTGCCCCTTCTCCACCAACCTGCCGATGGCATCGGCGAGGATGGGAAGATCGGTTTCCGAATCGAAACCTGCCAACGGGGCAACGGTGAGCGGCGGATTCGCTTTGAGATCAAGCCGATAGCCGTACCGAATCGTGTTGACCACCCACGGGTCGTCGAACACTTGTTCCCAATTCTCCCAGTAAGTCTGGAGTCTGGCTCCCACTGGGGAAGGAGAGGGGGCCCTGACAGGTTCGCCTAAGGGCCAACCGAAGTTGGCGCTGTCGGCATACGAACCCCTCCAATGAGAGTCACCTGGAGGGGCCCTTGCCGTCCGCCGACGACTTGGGCTTCCCCCAGTTCCCCGTCTTCCCGCGAAAAGGCAGCTGATTGCCCATACCGGAGCCCTCAGGGCGGGGCTACTTCCCAGAGGAAGAAGAACCCGACCCCTTAGACCTACAGGCCGCAGCAGCCTGGGGCGCACTCCGGTTAGGAGCAGCACCCAGGCGCCTATGCAGGGACCCAACAAGAGCAAGTGTGTGCCGAGAGTCCTCGGCAACGTACTCCAGGGAAGCATTTAAACTGAGCAGGCAGTTGTAAATGCGCTGGTCACGGTAAGTGTCTCCGTGAGACATGGAGTGCCGAGCGAGGGTGTCCAGCTGGTGCAAGGTAGCTTGCTTTACCGTAGCAGCCGGTGGGGCACGGACACCCAACCGCTCAACATGGGCCTCCGCAGTAGGACCAGCCTCGGGAAAGGCAAGGTCATGTACCGGGAATAAACCCTTTCTCCACGACGTCGGAGGCAACGGGAGACCCCGACCGGAGGCCGCCGCGAAGGCGTTCTCCAAGGAAGGCTTGAAACCGCGCAGCAAGGTCGATGCGGGGAAAGCCGTGTCGGAAGACTCATCGTATACCTCGGAGGAACCCACAGTCGTGGATTCCCCGCGGTACCGGCCGGGGCATGTCCTCAAAGAGGTCATAAACCATGGCCACGCGGTCCTAAACCGATAGCGGGAGCAACGGTTCGGGGGAAGGACCGGTGACCACGGGAGCCGCCGCCGTACCGGTGGACCCCGCGTCCGACCCCGCGGCCACCGAAGTGGCCGGGGACGGAACAGCCAGCGGCCTATCCTGAGATAAGGCCGCCAGCTTGGAGTCCACAAGTTATGCAAGTAATGCAGCGACGGAATCCCCGGACAGCACACGGGCCGCCAAGAGATCCGCCGCTTTACCGGTGGACCCCGCGTCCGACCCCGCGGCCACCGAAGAGGCCGGGGACGGAACAGCCAGCGGCCTATCTTGGGATAAGGCCGCCAGCTTGGAGTCCACAAGTTTCGACAACAATGCGGCGACGGAATCCCCAGACAGCCCGAGGGCCGCAAGGGGATCCGCCGCAGCCGAGGAGGTGGTACCCGCACGGGGACCCCGACCGGACGAACCGGCCACCACAGTGGTGGAGACGGACTTTACGTACAGCCGGTACCGCTCAAACTCCGCAGGCCCCAGACCTTCGCACAGGATGCACCGGGTGTCCCCGCAAGGAACCCTGCACCGCGGGCAACGATCGTGGGGATCCCGGGACGACAAAAACTTTCTGCACACCCCACAACTCCGAGGAGCAGGGGTAGAGGGGGTGGATACTGGGGACATTTCCATGTCAGACATTGATTGTTTGCTATAAACAAAGAACAAAACATGGTTACAACGCACGCACCACAATGATTCACAAACGAACATTTTCACAAGAAAATAAACGAGCAATGTGAACATATAACATACACATATAACTTTTATTAAAGAAATAAGTTATGTTAACACCCAAAACATACAAGAACAGGGGAAACGTAAAACACAACGTGCATACGCGAACCCCGCAAGTATATAGAAAAAAGGGCGGGAAAAATTTTCCGTTTGGCGGGAAAATTATAACCAAGCGTAGCTACCGCAACGACCCATAAAAGCACAGTTTATTAGAGAATAAACTATAATAAATATCACCAAATCTTCAAGGAACGCTTCAGCAGGAGAAAACACGTCTTGCTAAGCAGACGAAGGAGACAAGAGTGAAGGGTGTCACATGGCAGCTAGGTGGCTACGCACGTGCTGCATGAGGTAATTGAGATCTCTGTGGTAGATTTCGCTATAGCAGCAGTTGTGGGAGACAGCAGCCTCGGTATAACAGTGGTAACGTATTACTTAATGTAATATGCAAAGTAGTTTGTGGCAGTGGTCAATGTCATACTGTGTCGGATTGTGCTACACACTGGCAACATATGACATTAGTGTGCTGGGATACATATTTCATGAGTGCACTTAAATAAAATAAATCACCCACACATCCTTTTTCCACCTTTTCATAGTTTGAAATCTTTGTTAGGCATTTAGAAGTTGGGTGAACATGAATACATGACACTTTTTTATGGATAGCAACAATAAACATGATAAAAGAAGTTGCTATCCATAAAGAAGTGTCATGCATTCATTTCCATAGTTTGTTTTCAATATTTCAACAATTAAAACTGTGCCACTTCTTGTAAGACCTAGCTGTATCTAACTGGACTGAAGGGTATTCTTACCAGCTTCTTCTTCATCCTCGTAGTCATACTGCTCCAGGTCGACCTTCATGATGACCTCTCCCCTCCCATCCTGTGCCTCAAGACCCCGGGCCAGCTCCTCTGCAAATGCTGATTGCTGAGACTTCTTCCCCGCAAACTTCCGGAAGTGCTCGTAGGTTACGGGGTGCTTCTCTCTCTGGAGGGGAAAAGACACAAGGGTTAGCTGTCTGTCACGAAACAGTCAACTTTCCACAACAACCTGCATCACCCCCTCCCCTGCATCCCCTCCTCCCCACCTTCCCTGTATCCCCACCTCCCCTGCATCCCCTCCTCCCCTGCATCCCCACGTCCCCTGCATCATCACCTCCCCAGCACCACTTTCCCTGCATCCCCACCTCCCTTGCATCCCCACCTCCCTTGCATCCCCACCTCCTCTGCATCATCACCTCCCCAGCACTAAGTCCCCTGCATCATCACCTCCCCTGCATCCCCACCTCCTCTGCATCATCACCTCCCCAGCACCAAGTTCCCTGCATCCCCACCTCCTCTGCATCATCACCTCCCCAGCACTAAGTCCCCTGCATCCCCTCCTCCTCTGCATCATCACCTCCCCAGCACCAAGTCCCCTGCATCCCCACCTCCCCTGCATCCCCTCCTCCTCTGCATCATCACCTCCCCAGCACTAAGTCCCCTGCATCCGTTCCTCCTCTGCATCATCACCTCCCCATCACCAAGTCCCCTGCATCCCCACCTCCTCTGCATCATCACCTCCCCAGCACTAAGTCCCCTGCATCCCACCTCCCCTGCATCCCCTCCTCCCCTGCATCATCACCACCCCAGCACTAAGTCCCCTGCATCCCCATCTCCCCTGCATCACCACCTCCCCAGCACCACCTCCTCCCCTGCATCATCACCTCCCTAGCACCACCTCCCCTGCATCCCCACCTCCCCTGCACCACCACCTCCCCTGCAACACCACCTCCCCTGCACCACCTCCCCCGCATCACCACCTCCCCTGCATCCCTCCTCCTCTGCATCATTACCTCCCCAGCACTAAGTCCCCTGCATCCCACCTCCCCTGCATCCCCTCCTCCCCTGCATCATCACCTCCCCAGCACTAAGTCCCCTGCATCCCCATCTCCCCTGCATCATCACCTCCCCAGCACCACCTCCTCCCCTGCATCATCACCTCCCTAGCACCACCTCCCCTGCATCCCCACCTCCCCTACATCACCACCTCCCCTGCACCACCACCTCCCCTGCACCACCACCTCCCCTGCACCACCACCTCCCCTGCAACACCACCTCCCCCGCACCACCACCTCCCCTGCACCACCACCTCCCCTGCACCACCACCTCCCCTGCACCACCTCCCCCGCACCACCACCTCCCCCGCATCACCACCTCCCCCGCATCACCACCTCCCCTGCATCACCACCTCCCCTGCACCACAACCTCCCCTGCAACACCACCACCCCTGCATCACCACCTCCCCTGCATCACCACCACCCCTGCAACACCACCACCCCTGCATCACCACCTCCCCTGCACCACAACCTCCCCTGCAACACCACCACCCCTGCATCACCACCTCCCCTGCATCACCACCACCCCTGCATCACCACCTCCCCTGCAACACCACCACCCCTGCATCACCACCACCCCTGCATCACCACAGCCCCTGCATCACCACCACCCCTGCATCACCACCCCTGCATCACCACCTCCCCTGCATCACCACCTCCCCTGCATCACCACCTCCCCTGCATCACCACCCCTGCATCACCACCACCCCTGCAACACCACCACCCCTGCATCACCACCTCTCCTGCATCACCACCACCCCTGCAACACCGCCACCCCTGCAACACCACCACCCCTGCATCATCACCACCCCTGCATCACCACCACCCCTGCATCACAACCTCTCCTGCATCACCACCACCCCTGCAACACCACCACCCCTGCATCACCACCACCCCTGCATCACCACCTCCCCTGCATCACCACCACCCCTGCATCACCACCTCCCCTGCATCACCACCTCCCCTGCATCACCACCACCCCTGCATCACCACCTCCCCTGCATCACCACCTCCCCTGCATCACCACCTCCCCTGCATCACAACCTCTCCTGCAACACCACCCCTGCATCACAACCTCTCCTGCATCACCACCACCCCTGCAACACCACCTCCCCTGCATCACCACCTCCCCTGCATCACCACCCCTGCATCACCACCTCCCCTGCATCACCACCTCCCCTGCATCACAACCTCTCCTGCAACACCACCACCCCTGCAACACCACCACCCCTGCAGCAGCACCTCCCGTGCAGCACCACCACCCCTGCATCATCCCCTCCCCTGCAACACCACCTCCCCTGCAGCACCACCTCCCCTGCACCACCACCCCTGCACCACCTCCCCTGCACCACCACCTCCCCTGCAACACCTCCCCTGCACCACCACCCCTGCACCACCTCCCCTGCACCACCTCCCCTGCAACACCTTCCCTGCACCACCACCCCTGCAGCACTCACCATGTACTTGAGCTTGTGCTTGAGGCCAATGATGTGGGAGACCACCGTGTTCTCGTCACACTTGGCCTCACACAGGTTGCACACACACATTGTGACGGCTTTGGGATCCAGCTTCTGGAACTCTGTCAGGTACTCCAGTCCTGCAACAACAACAATCATCATCATCATCATCATCATCATCATCATCAACATCAACAAAGACACCACCACCATCATCACAATCATCACCATCAGCATCATTTTGATAACATCATGATTCAATACTACAGTCACATAGTTCAATGCAAGTTGACTCATCAAAGCCATAACATTAATTACACAACCATAATATTATGAAAATGAATTAATTCAAATTTGGTAATTTTTAACTCACATTTGCTGCAGAAATGGGGCTGAATGGCCTCTGAGCAGGTCCAGAAAACTCCCCGTATTGATAAACAAATGTCCTTTTATCTCTTCAAGATTGTGTGTATTTGTTCTTTTACACCGCACTCAACAGTATTCCAGTTAAAACATGGTGGTGGCGAAAAATCGAATCTAGATCAGACAACCCATGGATTGACATTGTGAGCAACGTTTCACGCAGTAGTGATATGATAACACACCATCAGCCAAGTCACCAGGTTTGCCCGCCCAATCCATAATATATTAAGTCACCTCTTATGACCAGCATTGGTTGATGGGGACCAATTCTACCCTGATATCCCCTATGGAGTTTATCTCTACAAGGGGTAAACCCAAGTCACTCACCTAGTACAGTACAGTCTGTAACTGACTCAAACAGTTTCTCGATCTTGGATGTTCGATTCAAAGATATCATGCTTGGACGGATTTTCTTCCTGCTTTTCAGGATGATCTTAGCTGTAAAACAAGAAACAAACTGAAGGCCATGCTCTAAACATTAGAAACGTCACGGTTAATCGTCTTCCTGAAACCGTTTCATTTCGGCTTGTTTCAATGATATCAAAATATATCAAAATATACAATGCAAAGTCCAACTGTTCCAACAGAACAATTATCTCCACAATAATTCCTGACTGACATTAATTGCATTATTTCCTGTTTTGCATTGATGTTTGTGACCGTAAAACAATGCTTGTCATTCTAATTCCAGAAATGTGTGCCTTATTTGGAAGACATACTGCGAAATGCAACATTTGTGACCCACCAGGAGAGAAGGGACCTTATTGGTGCTGGGATACAATTGTGCTGTGACGTCACAAAGAGGTTTGACGTCAACTTACTTCTGTGAAGATCGCCATGTGTGCATACTGTACAAAAATATGTTATTTTTTCTCTCGTTGGTTAGTAATGTAATAAAAACATTATTTCAAACTTTTTCAGCATTCATGTCTACTTTCAATTCATCATTGTTTCTAAAAACTGCAATTATTACATAAACAGTTACAAGCCAGAAAATGAGTCCAAATGTTTGATGTCATGTATGTCTGGAATAAATTTGAATTGAAGGTTATTAATTGTATCTTTGTGTTCTGAAAATACTGTGGTTTTAAAATAAGATGAAAAGTCAAAATGTGATTTTCCACCCATAAGGTCCCATATCTCAGGGTTGGTCACATTTAATGAATGAATGTTTAGCGGGAATAACTAATACCAGCTTGCAGATTTTTCAACCGTCTAGGTTTTCTAATCAAACTGTATTCTGGTCATCTGGTCAACCGTTACGACCCTACTAAAAATGCAGGAAACACAAGTTTCAGATACATCTTCAGTTATCCAGGGTATAATATTTTAAATATAGGATAAATACCCTGGACCAGCTCACTACTACAGCATTGTTTTGAGTCTAGTTTGAATGATGAACCACCAAAAATGTTATCCTATCAAATGACACTGTTTTTCATGAGTAAAACAAGCGGTGATATACATTCTAGTACACAACTGTGTATCATCTCAACTTTATCTTGGAATGCCTAGCGGAGTCCCTGTGTCATAGTGTTGGGGTACAGGTATGACGACATCAGCCTAACAAACTCAAGGTTTTTTATAAGACAAGTCCAGAGGACTAGTGTTAACCTTATTTCACTAGTCCTATAAGTTTGTAACGAGTCCTGCTTGAACGAGACATAAATGTTTACAATATTTACACTTTCTTTCAGTTTTATCCTGTTCCAATTTGCAGCACAATTGAAGCATTGAGAACTGCTTTAGAATTACAGCCCTCAAATGCTACTGGATTCTTACTTGTCCTCAGCACAATTTACTAGTCTTGGGCTAGCAGACTAGCGGAAATTTCGAAGGCTGTACATACTGCAGCAACAGTTTGTAAATGAGAGATTTGTTTGTTAACGCCACAGCAATATTCCAGCCATACGAAGACATCTGTAAATAATCGAGTCTGGACTAGACCAATGATTGATATCGCGAGCATCGATCTATGCAGTTGGGATACGATGGTATGCATCAACCAAGTCAGCGAGCCTGACCACCTGAAGACCAATTCTAACCTTGATCTTCATGGGGGCAAAGTATGATTGATAAAGATGGATGTTTTCATCCTGCTACTCATGAACAAATACAATACCTATTACTTCACAGTATTATTGAAGCATTGCTGTGAAACAATATGTCTACTGTACACCTGACAGTGTTTCATGATTGACCTGTTTACTTAATCGTAAATAACAAATCAAGTAAATATTTTCTAATCCTCTGAATGAATTCCAATATTTGCTCTCAAAGTTCAACAATACTTCACATACTGCTATATTTTGAGACGCCTCTGCCAAAATGCTCACGAATGTGTATTAGTGTCAGAAGTGTTGATCGGACAAATTAATGCATACATACTTTCATTAATGTTGTGTTTTGATCATGAACTGCTTCAATTCTTTCTCAAAATTCTGTATGCCAATCCATACAGACACATTTGAATAAGAACAGAGAGGCAGAGAGGCAGAGACTTGTGAAACTGTCATCACATTTTGCGAAATAGCATCAATCGTAGATTTCGGAAAGTGATTCTTTTAAACATATAACATCAACGTTCATTTTGGGCTTCTTGCATACTCGGCATTGTATGCTTTTCATTTGTCTTTCCGGAACGATTGCAGGGAGTGGTCTCTGTTGAGTTTGATTGACAGCTGTCAATCAATTTCCATCAATCAATCTTTCATACTTACTTCCTTTTTTAGCAGCTTCAACATTCTGTAAAAAAACACAAATCATAGTGTTCAGTTATCAGATTATTATCTCAAAACTGACGGATACAAAACCAAACACCTACCTCGCCAGCTCTCAGCAACTGAAATAAAACTGTGTTAATTTAACCAAATTTACATTTATTACATTACATATTATTACATAATTAACTTAATATAAGACGTAGAATAAAGAGACCATCATTTACTACTCTGGGCAAAATCAGTTGCTAACATTGCTAAACAAATGTAGGAGTCATTTTACAAACAGCCAATTTCATATTGTAAATAAATTTTGAATATATGTATTCTTGACTTTGGCACAAAAGCCTACATAAATTTTAAAAATATTCTATTTTCCTTCTCCCATATCTGGTAAAACTTGTTACAAGAGTGTCACTGACAAAGACACGCACATCATGTTTTTCAGAAGAAAATTTGTACAAAACGGACAACATCTTACAATTTTCTTCTAAAAATTCATGTAGGTCTTCAAACATATATTGCCATAGTAACTTTGTATGCATTTGTCACAGAATATATAATAAAAAAACTGGTTTGAACTTCATGCTACCTTAAACTGTTTTGAATAACTATGCCAATTGTGGGCTTTTGTTTATCGTGTTTCAGCTATGTTCAGCAATATTCCAGCAATGTTTTATAGGGGCCAGGAAATAATTCAGTCTGGTCAAGAGTGAGTGAGTGAGTGAGGTTTTACGTCACTTTTAGCAATATTCCAGCAATGTATTATAGGGGCTAGGAAATAATTCAGTCTGGTCAAGAGTGAGTGAGTGAGTGAGGTTTTACGTCGCTTTTAGCAATATTCCAGCAATGTATTATAGGGGCCAGGAAATAATTCAGTCTGGATAAGAAAAACCAGTGATTGATAGTAAGAGCTCTTCCCAAGCCATTGGGGTACAACAACACATGACAAGCAACTAAGTTGCTATGCTTACAAAGCTGAGGCTCCATAAGTCCCTGTGTACTTAGCATGGGGGCCTAGCTTCGGTTGCTGGTGGATTATAGCCGGTGTTTTAAACAGTTGTAAATAATATTGTTGTGCTAAAGTATATTGACAAATTTGCTTTTAAATATAACTTTGTATTTATGACGCACTTGTATATACAAAAAACAATTCTCGTTGCTAAATAGCTGAAATAATGCAGATATGACATTAATAACTCACTCACTTTGCTAACAACCAACCTATAAGCCGCGCATCTTACAACCAGCAAAGGTTACTGGGGATCTATTCTAACCCAGAATCCCCACGTGGGCAGTAACATTTGTGCCTCAGATAGAGTATTTCAAAGAGAAATTTGATCTTCCATTCAATGAATTCGTCTTTTAGTTGCATAATTCACGTTATAGCAAGAAAGTTCTTGACTTAATATCACCAATTTTGGGACGTATTGTGCATCAAACAGTCACGAAAACACACACAAAATAAACGGACACAAATTCATTTTCTCTCTACATCGAAATGTGACAAAAAATAATTTTGTGACATGAAACATAGATAATCTTCTACTCTGTGTAACGTGCAATGTCACGAGGTTTTATAAAGGACATATAAGGTCATCGTGAGGTCATGAATCTGTGTGCTGTTGTTGTAGAACACTGCACTATGTCCAACTGAATCGCTTGACCAGGTGCATTCAGTTACAGTATATATATCAGGGTATGATTTCATTGTTTTATCACATCCACTAGGCGAAACCTAGTGAATTAATCAGGTTGCACCACCAAATTATTGGCTGCACATTTTATCATAAATTGAAACACTGTATTTTCAGTTATTTTGAACAGTAACTAAATTCAAACTGAAAATGAACTAGAATGTGCTCTAGTATTTTATTTTGAGGAAATCTGTATTATGGCTTTTGACATCTTCATATCCAGTATACAAACTTAAACCGAAGTTTCAAACTATCTGTTTGTTGTGATTGTAACCACCTGAGTGACTGTTCTAGTGGTATTTGTGAAGAATTAGTTCCACAAGTTCGCTGCCTTCAGCCCTATGCATTTCTTTATTTTAAGGAACTTTTGTTTCCTGGATTCTAAAAGATTTGTAGCCGGTTCTAAAAGAATTAAGTTTTCCACTGTTATCAAATATAACTGCTGCCGTGCACTTGCGGTGGGAAATGTTATCTGCACTTGGTGCAACCTGGCAATACAAGTTACCTGCACTTGGTGCAACCTGGCAATACAAGTTACCTGCACTGGGTGCAACCTGGCAATACAAGTTACCTGCACTTGGTGCAACCTGGCAATAAAAGTTACCTGCACTAGCAATGTTTTACCTGCACTGGTGCAGCTTGGATATAGCGAAATCAATCCCTGTATGTATAGGACATAACTTGGTTATATCGAACAAGGATATAATACATTATCAGTATAAGGAAGTATTTAAAAAGTCAACTGCATTAGTATATATTATCATATTAAATTCACACGAGTAACAATTTCTTCAGAACGAGTTAACGGCTATATAGCGTGCTGATATTTTATCCCAAAGAAATATAAAACTCAATATAGTGTAACAGGAGAAACGAACCGGTCAAACTCAATCGGTGTCGGTCATCATGAGCAGTGAATCAAACAACGAACATGTAGTAATCCCATTATCTCTACAGTATATTACAGACATTCATATAGTAATCCCATTACCTCTACAGTATATTACAGAACCTCATTTAGTGACAGTAGCAATCAGAGGTGAATCAACACTTACACCAGTCACGTATGTTTATCGGTGGAATATCAACATTATCTTGACCATCATGAGATGTATTTTCAAGGATATATGTCTTAAGACTACTCATACTCACTACTGAATCCTTACGCTGCGATATGTATTCCAAAAGGTTGCCATGCCCTTGAGTACAAAATACTTCCATGATCTCTTGCACATGTTTAATAGTTCTTTACCATGTTTACAGTTCTTTACAAAATACATACATTCGGTTCACGATTGGTATTATGGATAGTGGTAGAATCATCATGGCGGACAATGTTTTGCAAATAATGAGCTATGGACATACAAACAAATTTCAACAGTCGCCTGGACTTTGTTATAACAGAGACCATATACCGAGATATATATGTCTCTGGTAAAACCATGGTTTCCTTCATCAGATGAATGAAGTCTAATCATGGCTCTTAACATCATTTTCAGTTGATTTTAGTTTTATTATATGGACTATTATTAGCTGAGCTTTCTAGACCAAACAAAATTTTATTAGACACAGGTTTCGGACAAGTGGTTGAAGTTGCAGACTGCTGTGTGCTGTGGAGAGGGCGTATGGTGGGGTTACTCTCCTGTTAGTGATGAGTCAGCAGAATATTGAAATGTACTTCTGTGTCTACATGGACATAAATTATTGAAATATTAACACATCAACTTCCTGTAATGCAGGTTCTATTTCTGCATCAGTATTCATGAAGAACACAGTCAAGTCATACAGTTAGAAATTGACACTAGTCCTATTGTCCTTGCCAAACTGCCCAATAGTTAAGGTATCACAGGGACAAGTAGAACTTTGCCACTATTAAAGGTTTTGCTATATGTCGTCATTATATGGACTAGTGGACTAAAACAGTTAGTTTCTATCGCTGTTATCAGGAATGCTTGATCAAGTTATATAACAACATGTGGAATTCTTTTCTTGTGATCCCTTAAGTCTGCACAAGAAAAGAACCTGTTTTGAAAATTTCGATTGGGTGTTTATCAAATCTGGTACAAATGACATCTATTCACCGGAATAGAATTTGATACCATCTTAAGGAATGCATCAAAGTAACAGGTTTTAGTTGACAATAAACTAGAAGATTCCTGTAAAAACACAGTGATAAGAATTGAAGACTGAAAAATCAAATTCATCCTTACTCGCTAGATCTCACAAAGCAAGATCACTTGTTTTTACTTTTCAATTCAGATTACCTTATCTCTGATGCAAGGTACTGGCCATATGTTGCCATGGTAACACTTCACAAAGCTTGCACAATCTGAGTATGTGGCATCAGATTCTGGTTGCTCTGTCAATATGTGGTAAAACTCCCCATAGCTACTGTATTATCGATGTGAGAAAGCAGTGTTAAAATTGAACGTAGGTCTGGGGTCCCTGAGATGTCAGGTTGTACTGTTTTAACAATAATATAAAGTCAAGGACCCCTTAAATTCAATCCTCAATTTGGAACACTTGAAAGTGTCACATGTACATACATTTTACTCTCAGTGAGATCATTATGCTTAAACAAGAGCCCAAGGACCTTATCACTGAGGAGATCCAGCTTGGCCAACAGATAGGGTGGGTCTGTATCACTGAGGAGATCCAGCTTGACCATCAAATAGGGTGGGTCTGAGGGTCTTGATTCACATAAAGACCTTACTAAGATTAACCAATTATTTTGTTATACCGAAATTTAAGTGCCGTATTTCACCTTTTCACAGTATTCTGTTATATCACAATTACAATTCAGCTGAGATCTTCCTCAGAAAGATAAGGAAACAGTGTACTGCTACCTGCAGACACCATGTTGTTTTCTAGCAGATAGAGTCAATATTGATCACGTGACAGGTTAATAGTGGTCTTGTGACAAGTTAATATTTGAGGTCAGTGTCTGTCACATGATCTGGGCAAACCTTTCCGGGTCGGTTTTCCACTGTTAGGTCAGCATCGAAACATTAGTATATTGTTTCATCACAATATGGATTAACCAATGAAATTCAAAGATTCTTAATAAAAACACAGCAAGCAAACATTTAGGATCACAATGTGCAGCTCGACTTGTGACTGACAAAAACACAAGAACAAACTCATTCTTAGTGAATTTTGCAGGCTGCTTGTTCTAAAGGTGAGCAAAAGTATACTACCAAGTTGTAAGTACTTTCATTTCATATCTTAATGCAGAACAAAATGCAGGACTTGGTGAGAACTCAGTTATATAATACTTGTTAGATTTAGCAGTGATAGCAATTGGCACTAGTCCTGTAGTCTGTGCCAAACTGACGAATACTTAGGTATCATAAGGACTGGTAGAAATTTGCCATTTTTAAGGGTTTTGCTATATGTTGTCATCATAAGGACTAGTGGAATAAACATGTTAGTTTCAAATGCTGTTTAGAAGACTATTTGGGAACCCACTACAATTCATTCATAGACAATCCACTGTTACAAGCACATTTCTTTAAGCACACGTAAAATTTCAGTTGGAAGTCAGTTCCGCAGCAACACTAGTACTTCAGTACTGAACTAATATTTCCTTGCACTATACACTTAGGGTGCTGTTGTTATAGTCAACAAGCAGAGCTGCACCTTGCTGTCTGACAGATGCACACAGGCTTACGTTTTTGTGTTTTGATCCAGACAGATGGGACTGGAAGGTGACGGCCGATGTGCATCTGGCATCACACAGCTGCAACAGAATACACATTTATGTCACACAAATAATGATACTATTACTTGCACAACTGATGATAGATAGTTAACAGTGAAGAGGACATCTGTTGAAAATCGTAAGACTTTTAGTGAGGACAGCAATTAGTCAGGATTAATGGCAATGCTGTAGTATTAGCGGGAATCATAAATGTAAACTTTGGGTTGTATGATTGTGGCTTTTGGCTCCATTTGGTAGTTTCCATAAACTGTCCATTTAAAAAATATCACCTAATTATGTTGGGCTTCTCACCTTGCAAGTGAACTCGGATGGAAACTGACATTTGCCAACATCATCGGGGCGGAGTTCTCTGTCTGAAGGGTTGACCTTGGGAAAGGTCATGTTGGCCTCCTCCAGCATCTTGTCTGTGATGCCAGCCTCCTTCAGGTACCTCGCCGACCTCGAAGCATCCTGCTGCTGAGGGCTGGTCACACAAAGACATAAGTAAAGTATGTATTGGGATGATGTTGTGAGGGAGTTTAGTTTAACGCCGCTTAGGACAGTATTTCAGTTATATCACAGAGTGTCAGTTTGATGCGGGATGAAAATCCAAAGTGATGCAGGTCTCAGACCATTACCACTTAGGTGCTGACAAACCGAGAAACAATTACAATCAGGGTGAATTTGGAAACCAATCTAAATGCCCTGATTAAATCTTAATTCCATTGAAGAAATATATATCCTATCAACGTATCAGCTCACTCACCCTCTTAACCTCCAGGGCTCGCATTTCAGTAAACCTTAAATTACCTGACCTTGACTTTCAATACCATTTAACCGACCAATAAAACGTCAAGATAAGGAAAAAGAAAATGGGTAAGGGAAGCAACTTGTATTACCTAGAAACCAAAGCCACCACCAGTTTTTATGGACATGAAAACATCCTTTACATCAAAAAGATTTCTGAGGGCTTTCTTTGAATGTCAGCCAGTTTTTCAATGTTGAATTTCTCGCAAACTCTATCATAATCAATGGCACTGGACACTATGTTGTTGATATCGCCAACCCAACATTAAGGCTGCTTTGTAACTTGCATTCTGAGGTTAGAGGTGAGGTGAAATTGGGTTTAACGTCGCGTCCAAGATTATTGCACTTATATAGCGACGTGCATGTACGTGTGTGTTTGTGTGGCTGCTTGTACTAGTCCAGACTGATGCCGATTTATAGTGCTAGCTCACTGAGATACCATGCAGTACCCCTTAATGCCGAGCGCCAGACAGGGTAACAACAAGTACCATCTTTTAACTTCTTTTGGTATGACACGGTCGGGGATCGAACCCCGGAACCTCTGCTCTCTGGGCGGACGCTCTACCACTAGACCACGGAGGCGGTCTGGTATGTTTGACCTGGTAGGGTAGCCAATCAAATTGGCCAAAGGAGATCAAGGGAAACGTAATGTAAGATCGCAAAAACCTTGTGACTGGGTCCAGGAGTTAGTGTAAGTTTACCTAAATGCTAACCCTGGAAATACAGGACATGCAGCTCACTGGGTCTTGTGCTTTCTGAGAGGAAGATTATTTACAATTTTCTTTTACTGGCAACAACAAATCTGAATCCAATCGTATGACATTTCTAGACCTTGTGGTTTCTTCCAAGAATATTCAAAGATTTCAAATAAAAAGTCACTTAAAATACCCAACATATTTCTGTTTTATTAACTCAACAGCAAACCTATGGTAGATGATGATGCTGGACTCCCTAACTTCAGACTCTTCCTGGCCATGGTTGAGAAGAAGAAGAGTAAACAGATGGACAGATGTACTCTCAGACCTTCTCACTAATGAGCCAATAAATGTGTAACCATACTGGATATTTATGGTAAACAATGGTTACCATGGATACCCATAATCCTGTAATACCTGTCATGTTCCATGATCATCGGTTCCTCTTCTTGATTCCTATCCTGGCAGCCTGAGATCTCAGCAGAGTCCTCAGTTCTTGCACCTCCCCCATACTGTGACACTCCATATCCGGACCCTCGACCAAATGCTGACCCTCGACCATATCCGGACCCTCGACCAAATCCTGACCCTCGACCAAATCCTGACCCTTGACCATATTCTGTAACCCCACCTCTTCTTCCTGACCCTCCTCTGGAGCCAGACCCTCTACCATTACCTGATTCTCCTTCATACTTTGACCCCCCCTCATAGTCTGACCCACCTCTGTAGTCTGCCCCCCGACCATAAACTGACTCTTCTCCATAGTTTGGTCTTTCTCCACTACCTGACCCCCCGGTTCCATAGACTGAACCGCTAAGATATCCCGACTCTCCACTGTGCCCTAACCCCCCTCTGTTCCCTGATCCCCCTCTGTTACCTGACCCCCCTCTGATCCCTGAACCCCCTCTGATCCCTGACCCCACTCTGTTCCCTGACCCTCCTCTGTTCCCTGACCCCCCTCGGTTCCCTGTCGCTCCTCTGTTCTCTGCATCTCCTTGGTTCACTGACCCCCAGCCTTGATCACTACTCCCCCTGCCTTGTCCCTGATCAGCTGACACCCCCTTTGCAGCTGCCGAATACCCCCTGCCCCCTTGTCCAAAGGCAAACGGCTTGTTTGTGTCTAAAACAAATGGGAGTTTGATATCAGTCAGAAAGTGCAGGACATATTTCCTACAAATGTGAATGAAATTCAGTGTTTTTCATGACACATATATCCTTAATATTGTTTTAGCACTAATAAATGCTAAAAATCAACTTTAATCGACATTTGCATGAATTACTATTCACCAGGTGAAGAGGAAATAAGTACCTCTGAACGTCACTACAAACAACAAAGAAGTTCTCATCTGCAAACGTTTCATGTCTTTATCTTTTTACAACTTCTAAAAGCCTATCAAAGACGACCAATATGCCAACCATATTCCAAGCCGGTATTCCACCCATATTCCAGCAGCTTGAATCATGTGGAGCAAACAAATGTTGCCAAAATGAGCAATGAATCCTGCTGTTGGGGTGCAATCAATTTCATAATATCATACCCTTTTCTCCTGTACAGTAAGCAGCACATCTAATTTCTCTTTTTTATAGAATAAATTTTCAACAACAAAATTTAATTATCACAATAACATGCCTTAAAACAACTTGAACCTGTCTGTCTGTTTGTCTTGTCCTAGTCTTGACTTGTGCAGGTTTTATAGTTCTTGCCAACTGAGGCACCTTGCAACAGTTTAACATGGATACCGACTCCACACCAACCACTCCCTGTTTATCCCCTGAATGCCCTGCCAGCACCAGGGAGAGTAGTGAGTGAGTGAGTATGGTTTTACGCCGCTTTTAGCAATATTCCAGCAATATCACAGCGGGAGACACCAGAAATGGGCTTCACATATTGTACCCATGTCGGGAATCGAACCCATGTCTTCGGCGTGATGAGCGAATGCTTTAACCACTAGGCTACCCTACCACCACTACCAGGCAGAGTAACAATAAGTACCATTTTTTAACATCTTTTGGAATGATGCAACCAGTGATCAAACCACTGACCTTCCACTCGCCGCGCGGGAGGGAGGTCATTTTGATAAATAAGCCAGGGACACACACATCCCATTGGAGAAGCATCATCAAGTGAAAACAGTTTATGAAAGCTAAACGCTCCACGTTGTCATAAAAAATGGCAGCATATGTTCTGAGATGAGGAGGCAATAATTCTATTTTGAACATTTTACTGAGCAAATATGGCAAACAAATCAGGAAATACTGGGTAGATTTCCCCCTGGCCAACCTTCAGCTGGTGCGTCATCATACTTGGTGCTTCCCCGGCTTTTTTCGAACTCAATCTGCTTCTGTGTGTGCATCAAGCCCTTGGTGTGGCGTATGTATTGCTGAGGAGATGGACATTTCAATTATTATCGGAAATTCTTGAACATTTTATAAGCTAAGAAATGGAAAACATTTGTGAATGCTCATATATTTTCCCTTGCAACAAATGACATGCTACAGCAAGTCCTAGTTTATTATTAAAAAATCAAACATTTTAAGACAAAATAATCATAATTATCATCAATAGAGTGAAACAGTCCTCGAAACTATTTGTAATATCATCACAACAGTGTCTGAATCTGTTTGCAATATCAAAACAGTGTTTGCAACTATTTATAATATCATCACAACAGTGTTTGCAACTATTTGTAATATCATCACAACAGTGTCTGAAACTGTTTGCAATATAAAAACAGTGTTTGCAACTATTTGTAATATCATCACAACAGTGTCTGCAACTATTTATAATATCATTATAACAATGTCTGCAACTATTTGTAATATCACAAGTGTGTCTGCAATTATTTGTAATATCATCACAACAGTGTTTGTAAATGTTTGTAATATCACAAGAGTGTCTGCAACTATTTGCAATATCATCACAACAGTGTTTGCAACTATTTGGAATATCGTCACAACAGTGTCTGCAACTATTCATAATATCATAACAATGTCTGCAACTATTTGTAATATTATCACAAAACCGTTTGCAACTATTCGTAATATCAACACATAAGTGTTTGCAACTATTTGTAATATCAACACAACAGTGTTTGCAACTATTTTAAGATCATCCCTTCAGCGTCTGCTACTATTTTTAATATTATCATGATAGTCAATATACGCTCCATTCCACAACCACTATGTATAACAGGCTCTCAACACATACATACCCCTTTATCCTGAAAGGATATTTTGCATGTGACACAGAATGTTTCATCATCATTGACACCCTCTCCAACTGCAGAAGCTGGTGGCATGGATGTTGCTGCTGCTGCTGCAGCTTTCTGGGGCGGTGTGGATCCTGACTGGGGCTGTTGTTTTGTTGTCGACTGAGGTTGGTTTGCCAGTGACTGTTGTGTTTCTGTTGACACAGGTTGTTTTGCTGATGGCTGTGGTTTTGTTGTTGACTGGGGTTGTGTTGCTGGTGACTGTTGTTGTTTTGTTGTTGACTGAGGTTGTTTTGCCAGTGGCTGTTGTTTTTCTGCTGATTGGGGTTGTTTTAATGGTGGTTGTTGTTTTGTTGGTGACAGTGTTTCTTTTGGGGATGACTGTTGTTTTGTTGCAGACTGGGGTTCCTTTGCTGCCAAGCTGGGATCCTTTATTGACAAGGACCCTTTTGTTGCTGCTTTAGATTGTGTTGCTGTTGCTGCTTTAGATTGTGTTGCTGTTGCTGTTGCTGGTTTCACATTTGGCCCAGAACTCCTGTGAGAATCTGCAGAAAATATTTTCAAAATGTACAATCCAAAACTTGTATGTCGACAATATGTGTTCCTATGGCAAGATCAAGATGTGACATCTCAATCATTTTTAAGATGCAGACAGTATGAAATGATATGGTGAGGTGAGGTGAAATTGGGTTTAACGTTGCGTCCAAGATTATTGCACTTATATAGCGACGTGCATGCACGTGTGTGTGTGGCTGCTTGTACTAGTCCGGACTGATGCCGATTTATAATGCTAGCACACTGAGATACCATGCCGCAGTTTAACATGAATACCCCAATCAGACACAGTATACTGACTCCGAGCCGACCAGTCCTTGCTTTAGCCCCTTAATGCCGAGCATCAGACAGGGTAACAACAAGTACCATCTTTTAACGTCTTTTGGTATGACGGGGCCGGGGATCGAACTCCGGACCTTCCGCTCTCCGGGCGGACGCTCTACCTCTAGACCACAGAGGCGGTCTGAAAAGATATGCCCAGTTTTAACAATAATGTCATGAACAGGAAAATACAGAATGTGAGTACACATGCTGGATATAGTCGCTGAAGATTGCTCATATTACCATTTTGAAGGGCTTGTTCAGCTGTCTGCTTGAAGGTTTCCAGCACATCGTTGGTGTGCATAAGCCGGGCATGGATGACTCCCCGAGTATGAGCCCTGTATTGCTGCAACCAAGCAAACAGAAAACATCACTGGACATTTCAGTAACTACGATTGTGACCAATGATCCACACCTTCGGGCTACACAATCAACGGAGTCTAAATCAACAAGCTAGGTTTGCTTTAACAACTGTTACACCAACACTAACTAGTAGTGAAAATTAGTTGTAGAAACGAATATTTTCATCCACTGCACCATACTTGACACTGCCAACTATAAATCGTCAGTGTGCCAGGTATTTGGCCAACCTATCTATGAAAAAGATGGCTTATGCACTACAGACAAGAACACATGCAAGTGTCATGATAGGTATCGGATGGTTAGCAAGGTATTGTGATACGTGTCAGATTGCTCAAGTGGAGCATAGTCCCAGCCCTAGAGTCTAATCACTCGATCATCTAGTCGCCTCTTACGACTAGCATCGGTTGCTTGTTACCTATTCTAACCTAGAATCCTATGTATATGTAAAAAACATTTTCTCACTAGAATCATCTCAATTGTACACATTTACAGTAAACACCAAACAGGTATCATACTCTTGTTTTCGTGGCTAGAATCTTACAAATGTAAAACTTGGTTAAGAATCTCTATTACTGTGCATTACATGCAGAAGGTGAGGTGTGGTGACATGGGGTTCAACGTCGCGTCCAAGATTATTGCACTCACACAGCGACATGCATGTACGTATGTGTGTGTTTGTGTGGCTGCTTGTACTAGTCTGGAATGATGCCAATTTATAGTGCTAGCTCACTGAGATACCATGCCGCAGTTTAACATGAATACCCCACTCGACACAGTATATTGACTCCGAGCCGACCAGTCCTTGTTTTAGCCCCTTAATGCCGAGCGCCAGACAGGGTAACAAGTACCATCTTTTAACGTCTTTTGGTATGACGCAGCCGAGGATCGAACCCTGGACCATCCGCTCTCTGGGCGGACGCTCTACCACTAGACCGCGTAGGCGGTCTACATGCTGTAGGGCTATACATGGAATAATGAACTGACAGAAAGTTAGGCCCATACCGCTTCATTGGCGAAGAAAGCATTACAAGGTTCACAATAGCGGGACTCTTGGCGACTTCCCTTTCCAACCAATGAAGGCGACGGGCCTGGCTTGGAGATCTGGGATGAAGATGTTGCTGTTGCTGTAGATTTAGTTGCTGTAGATGTTGTTGCAGGGGACGTGGTTGCTGCAGAAACTGGTGCTGTAGACATAGTTGCTGTAGATGTTGCTGGAGGTTTAGTTGCTGTAGATACTGGGGATGGAGTTTCTGCTGCTGTAGATGTAGTCTTTCCAGCTGGAACACATTCCTCAACTTTGTCAAGCTCTTGGGTCTGCTGTTTACAAGACGGAAGGTCTGTAGGTTGACCTGTGCTGGGTTGATTGGACTGTTCACTTGAACTACCCAGACCTTAAATAGAATACAGATTATTGTTTTGCTTGTTCCTTTGTAGCTTAATGCCACACTCAGCAATATTCCAGCCATATGATGGCGGTCTGTAATAAATCAAGTCTGGACCAGACAATCCAGTGATTGACATCATCAGCATCGATCCCACACAATTGGGATACGATGACATGCATCAACCAAGTCAGCGCGCCTAACTACCTAAACCCATTCATCGCCTCTTACATCAAGCATAGTCACCTCTTATGGCAAGCATGGGTTACTGAAGACCTATTCTACCCCAGATCTTCACAGGTCAAATACAGATTTTAACGAGAAAGCAACCCAACAAGTACTGACAATGGACTTGGAGGTAAAATGGGTCATATGTTTCTGAATCGCTTTTCAGATTCAATTTCATTTACATTTTATTTTTTATGGCTGACCAAACCTGTAAATGCTCTAAATTCTTGTCTGAGTATGCCATGTGAAGACAAAACCATACTAATAAAGATGACGACATATGAAATACATCATAGTCTCTGATCATGCTTCTTGTTGTTCATCATGTTTTTGTTGTTGGTATTTTTGTGCAGGGATAGAAATGTCATTTTTTTTCAAGTGAGTGAGTGAGTGAGTTAATATTCAACGTCACATCGGCAATATTTCAGCCATATCGTGACGAAAAGTATTACATTATTTAACACATATATCTAAACTTTAGAAAGACCTGTCATCAAAGGAAGGTACAATAACTAGAATATCACAGAGTCTATTTAAAACTAGTTGAGGAACATTTAAAAGCAGAAAGAATTAACAACACAATATAAAAATGGGCTAGAGATCGTCAGTAACTAAAGAGAGATCACCATACCAGGGACCATGGGGACTTACAGTGCCTTTGCTTCCTGCAGGTTGGATTTATATCACTTCAGTCACTGGCGATATTTTACCAGTTAAGCATATTAAAATTCTGGCATGCATATAAATACTTCGAATGATGTGAGACTTACATACCCTCTTAGGGGGACAATAATTTTACACTACTTCAACCCCCCTTGAGGGTACAGCCACTAACATAATAAGTTATGAATTTGCACTGCCAATTTCTAAAACAATACAGTAAATGCATCAATTTTATTAATAAGTTCTATTTCTTTTAAAAACATAGTATTAAAAGAGAAATAACTTTACTAAGAAGGTCCTTCACTGTTTTTACACTGAAATATTTATCCCTTGTGATGGAAAAATCAATACAGTCAAGCAGGACATGCTTGACCGTGATTCTTTCATCACAAGGGACACTAAACGGAGGATCCTCGCCTTTTAACAAATACTCATGGGTATATCTCGAGTGGTCAATACGACATCACCTTCAAATCTGGACTGACAACCCAGGTCGATGTAAGCGATATTTGGTTTAATATCTCATGTAATTTATTGATACCTGCTATGGCGTCCCACTTCTTTTGCATTAGATCTCGGATGTAAGATCTAATCACGGGTTTAAAAATCAGTGTAATGGATCAGAAGTGGTGTCACAGATTTGTTGAGTGCTGCTTTTGCAGCAGCCATTGTGTTACCAATGATACCAACATGGCTTGGTAACCAACAAAAGACGATGTCATATTGGCCAGTAGCAAGATCATTAATTAATTTGAGAATTTGGATTAAAAGTGGATGTTTGGATGACTTATATTTTTAATCGCCTGAAGGCATGAAAGAGAATCCGGAAAAATTATGAATTGTTTATGTTTACTGATATATTTTAGCGCTGTAAAAATGGCATTTGCTTCTGCAGTGAATATGGAACTGTTGTCAGGTAATCGTGAAGATATTGTTGCACTAGCAACTGCACCACCATCCTTAAATTGGATCCATCTGTAAATTTAGATTTATAAGTGTCATAATTGTTTCTTTATTGATTGTATGCTTGTTGGTAAATTAATTGGTTAGTATCTGATTTCTTTAGTTTTGTTAATGTAAGGTCTACGTCTGGCTTTACCATTTGCCAAGGAGGAGATGAGAAAAGCTGAGTAGGAGCTATATCTTGGAGTTTAATAATAGAAGCTGACATTGCAGGTTTTATTCTGATTCCGAGTGGTGGAGTGAGTGTTGATTTCTTATTGTGTACCAGAGGGCATGATACTGATGTTCAGGTGTGCACTTTGGAATTTGCATGTGCAAATAAGAAGATAAACAATATGTTTCAAAGATGAAAAGAAAACATAATTCTGTTGCTAGCGCATGTTCATCAGTTTCCATGGTTTGTCCAGTTTACATGTTAACTACATTCTCACTGGCTTTACATTGCACACATCGTCACAAGGATAGTAAGGCCACACATTTTTACTTTTATGCTTCACAGATTTATTCCAGCTTTTCCACACAAGGTTGGCCAAACTAAAAATAAATAGCTATGTCTATCATTTATTTACTTATACGAAGGTCATTCTGCTGTGGAGTTAAAACAGCAGCTGTCTTCTTGAACAACTGATAGTGATGTAGACATTGAATTTATACATAACCTTTTATATTGTATAAGAGAATATATAGTACTAGCAGGGAACAAAATAAAAATAAATATTTATTTGTTTCATTTATTTCTTGGACTAGCTGCTTTTCAGTAGGGTCGGTGGGGGCCCGTAAAACGAAAAACAAAAAATGTGTGAAAAGGTGTGAAAACTTCTACAGGGGTATTATCACCTTGGCATTATAATATTGATTCGAAGAATCATTTTAAATTATCTCACTGATTTTAAAGAAAACTATAGGAATTTTAGATTTACAAAGATAATATTTTCTAAATGCGTAAGAAATCAACATACATGCTGCCAAACCACGTCCAAGGTCACTTGGTGGTATCTTACTTGTAGATTCTTCGGCAGGTGTAGTCTTGGTAGATGCTGATGCTGTTTTACTTGGGGATTCCTTTATAGATGCTGTTGATGACGTGTCTTTGGCACCAGGAGCTTGTTTGACATTTGTTTGCCCTGGTTCATCTTTGACAGTTAAATCTTTGTTGTTAGTTGACTCTCTATTTACAGAAGTGGACACAGAACTTTTCTTATCAACAGAGTCACTCTTATTTTTGTTGGTGTCTGGTGTAGGTTTTGCACTTGAGTTACCTCCCCTTGGAATGCCTCTTGTATTGTTTTGTCCTCGGCCTCTATTTATATCTACCTTTCCCCGACTCGTATATCCATGACCACGATGGCTTTCATGAACCAATGCACTTCCTCTCCCTGCAGATCCTCTGCCACGATCTGGTCCCCCTCGACCATGCAAAGTGAACCCACGTCCACGATCACCTCCTCGTCCACGATCACCTCCACGTCCACGATCACCTCCTCGTCCAGTGGCTACTCGACTTCGTTCAGCACCCCGACCAAAGTAACCAACCCCTCGTCCACCCCGGCCATATCCCACTTGAACAGGAGCATATTCACTCCACTCTGGTTCCAAATGAGGATGATCACGATGAAGTAAAGCTCTTTTCGGAGGTGGTTCATATTCGTAATCATATTCTCTAGCATACGGCTCAAGCTCTCTTACTCGATTATATGGATCATGATAGCCGTGTGATGGTACACCAGAACCGCGTCGCGCTGGTACACCATACCCACGGCGAGGTGGTCGGGATGGACGCGGGTAAGGAGGTTCATCGTCCAAAAGTCCTCTTCTTTTCAGGCTCTCAAGTCTGTTTCGCGCCATGGCAATGGCTTGTTTTTCAAAGCCGCTCATGTTCACAAACTCGATTATTATTATTGTTGTTTGGATGTTTGGCAGGACCCAAAAGGCACTACAAATTCCCTATTCCATAGACTATTATTATTAAAGTAAACGCGAATCAGATATTGAACCTCTTGTTCATACATCGTCCACCTTGGTAAACCAATTATGCGTTAACAAGGCAGCGGTGCTTCAACGCATAGTGACATGCAAAGACGAATGAATCAGATGGTGCATTTCATTAATTATCAAAAATCTCAAAACTCGCGTCTGCCTTCTGCGGTCGCCTTCTGTCCAAATAACCGGAAGTAATCCGGTTACGAGTAAACTGGTATCCATTGTATGTTGCGCAATCCCTACACGAAGGCTCCTCACAGGGGTGTCGTTGTCTTCATATTGTCGGTGCAGTGTGAGAATGGAGTTCTAGTTGCATATCAGGGTAGCAAAAAATATATTTTACTAGTAGCCGTGAAATTATACACGAATACACGATATTCTAAGATTTAAACTAAATAGATATTCGAATACATGACACCTGTATGGATAACAACTTCTTTTTATTTTGTTATCAATTGAAAAATGTCATGTATCATGTTCTACCAATTTCTGAATGACCTTCAAAGACTAAACAAATACTCAATTTATATATTTCATTTCACCATGCATTCATTTTATACATATCTTGTTCTAACTCATTTACCAAATAAACACTGTCTTGTTATTCATGAGTGCTTGCATATCCGTTGTACCTTGGAAGCTACACTAGAATATATGACATACTTCATGTTTTATTTTAAAGAAAACCAAATCGTATAATCACAGAGTGAAGATACGGTGCCATTTTCACTCATCTGATGCAATTTCAAAATGATGTCCTGCAATGACACGTGATGGTTTTACGATAAACCACAAGTAACAACTAAGTCATTCTTATACCTATACAAAGTCATTCTTATACAAGTATACACAAGTATGTATGGCGGCCATTCGGTCAAAAAATACAAAGTACGCAATTCAGGACAAATATTACGAATAAAGAACTAAATGTTACAACTACTAAAGGTCATAATACAATATTAATAGTCAAATGTTACGAAAAGACGTCATAAGAAAAGAATGAACAATGTGTACGAAAGAACGTCATCTGGCGTTCTTTATTGTCAATGTCCTTTCGTGCTCACTGACGTTCTTTATTGAAAACGTCCTTTCGTGCTCACTGACGTTCTTTCGTACACATTGTTCTTTCTTTTCTTATGACGTCTTTTCGTAACATTTGACTATTAATATTGTATTATGACCTTTAGTAGTAACATTTAGTTCTTTATTCGTAATATTTGACCTTAATTGCGTATTTTTGTCCTTTTTTTCAACTTCGTATTTTTTGACCGAATGGCCGCCCATAAGTATGCTGTCGTGTTGATGGTCCATATGTAAGAGTGTGTCTACCTATAGATCTTGATATGGCAGATTAAAACTTATGACTGAAACTGGCAGATATAAGAATGTATATCATACCATATTGCCACATTAGACTGTGTCTGTCATAAAAGATGCCTGCATGTTTTACTTGTTTGTAAGATCCGTGAAGATCCGGGTTAGAACAGTTCTTCAGCAACCCATGCTTGCCGCAACAGCTGATTATGCTTGCCGTAAGAGGTGACTAACGGGATCGGGTGGTCAGGCTCACTGACTTGGTTGATGCATCGGGATCGGGTGGTCAGGCTCACTGACTTGGTTGATGCATGTCATCGTATCCCAATTGCGTAGATCGATGCTCGTGATGTCAATCACTGGATTTGTCTGTTCCAGATTCATTTATTCACAGACCGCCGTCATATAGGTGGAATATTGCTGAATGCGGCGTTAAACAACAAACAAACAAACAAACAAACACAACTTGTTTGTGAAACCTACACTGCTGTACGGGCGACATAAAGTGCCCTACTGCACTCACACTTTTACAAACATAACGAAGTCAGAGAAGATTGAAATTATTCATGTGTTCAGCTGATATTTATACATTGTTTATGCACAAACCAAGGAATTGTGATGTTTTTTTCTCTTTGAGTGTTACATATTGTATTAATGTATGCATACGTGAGATCTGTATTAGCTCTTACCACGGGGTCTACGGATTAGGCCTGTATATAATGCAGCCTGTTCTTTGAGTAGACTGGTAAACCAATTTATTATTAAACCATGTGAATAATCCATCAAATAACATTAAACAAACAAGCAAACAAACAGCAAGAATAAAACAGCATTTGTTCTTGTTGTTTAATGCAACAGTGCAATATTCCAGCTGTATGACGGCGGTCTGTAAATAATCGAGTCTGGGCTAGACAATCCAGTGACTGATATTATGAGTATCGATCCATGCAATGGGAGACGACGACAAGTAAATACCACTTTCTTCAGGAACCACTTTCAATCAATGACGCCATGATTTTCAGAGTCATTAAGATCACGAGGATTATAAAGACAAAACTTTATAAAGGCAATATTTGTCTCTTTTTGTAAGTAATATGTTCATCATGTGTCGTGACCTGACAGATCTGACATACCGTATTCGACGTAATAAGCGCACCGCTCTAATAAGCGCCCACGGCGATATTTGCTAATATATTGGCTCGTGAACAATCCCAATTAGCACCCTTTCCGATTGATCAATGTACACCATACTTATTTATTCGCTGATAATACGCACTCGTGTGTTAAATGCACCCTTAAGTATGGGCAGTTAAATTCTGGAAAAATATATCTCTCCTATATAAACATTTCAGGCTGTCAGCATAAACCACGACATTTATCTTTCAACTCTGTTTTTTCGACAAAATGATATTCTAATAAGATCCCCCTATTTCTAATTTTGAGAGCCCCCTGGGCGCTTATTACGTCGAATGCGGTGTTCACTTGTGCCGGTCACTAGGTCATACAGATATCAACGTTGTCAAGTCACTCTGAGATGAACATGACAAGGAAAGACATGTCCTCTCTTTATCTTCACCCACATCTTTATGATATGCAGGCGCGGACATATCTTTGGTGTGTTTGCACTCAAAATACCAAAATGCTAGTGCACAATTCGGGAAACAATTTGCTTTTGTTTGCCAATATATAGTCAAATAATTGTTATTCTTGTTGAAAAAACCATGACACTAATTGATTTTGTCAGTTGTTTCTTTAAATTGTGTGGTAGGGGATGCAGGGTGATATAAATATTCAATATGATGCTGGTACGCATCTATCGTCGGTCTTATGATAAATTGGAAAATATGCAGATACTCTGTTAACTAGCCATTTTATTTCTGCTGAAACCTCAATGATTTTTGTTTGTCACAAATTACACATTCGACTTAAAAATAGGGGATAATGTATTAATAAATAGATTGTTGAATACCATGATTCTATCATTTGCTGCGATGCATAATTCTTAAATATTGAATTTGGAAGCAGCTCGCGGTCACTATGTACAGTATAATTAACGTGTTCTGTTGGTTTGCGTGGCAACTTCGTTTTTGATGCTGCAGGGAAGACAGGACCCCAGTCTGTGATTGGCTCTTTTAATAGATTCAAGGGCAAGTAACTCTACTTTCGCTGGTTACTTCCGAGAAAAATCTTCAGCTGATTTGTGAGGACAGTCATTGACAAATGTCCCGTTAAAAACGTCTGTCACCGCTATCAATCATCGACAGTTTGTTATGCGAATGGTAGGTAATACATGCCAATGAGGTGACCACGTGTAATGTTATAAGGTGACGAATAGTAATTGTTGCCACAATTAACACCTCTTCCTCAGTCATTTTTTTTTGCAAATTGTAGGCCACGAAACATCCGTTGCGGTACACTGCTAGGTTGAGAGATTACGGTAGCAATGTAGCATTACACCAATATATATGTTTGTGCCGGACCTTCTTTCTCCAGAAACAATTGCATCTGCCTTCCCCTCTCAACGGTTGGATATCTGGACCAACTTGAGGATATCATACAAAAAGAAAAATCCAAAGGTTCCAAGAAAATGTAATAAAATACCTGAGGACTGTCATCTCATGGGGTGCAGGCTAAAACGGCACCTCAGCAAAACGTCACCGATTTCTCTGGCGAAAACGGCACCGCATTTGGCGAAAACGGCTACTATGTGTCGGGCGAAAACGGCACCTCTATTTTTAATAATGATAAGAACGATTTTTGTAGTAATATATATGGTTTATTTACATGGTATTTGATGTATTTACATGTTATTGGATGTATGTGATGTATTTACACGGACAGGTAAGAAGTCCTCGGCAATCTGAAAATATGAATAAAAGTTAAAATACAATATTCGTTCTGTTACAAAATTGCGGTTATTCTGAGAATTTATACAATAGCATAATGTAGTTTAATTTATTATAAGTAGTACCTCGAAGTCCAAAGTCCCCGGCTCTTTGGGGCGCAACAGTTCCCGGGTTCAGTTTGCCATGCGAATGAGGGTTGATACTGGTGATACTGGCGCCCGATTTGTAGATGTTTTCAACAGCTTGTTCCTTGCCCGGTGACGTTTTGCTGAGGTGCCGTTTTCGTTATAACCCCATCTCATGTAGTGACCATTTGTGTCATACAAACTGGGGCTGGGATGAGTCCAAATTTACTACTCAGGTACCCGCAGTAGCCGTCTGATTGGTAATGGTTTTACTGGGGCCAGGAATAATCTATTTTCATAGCAAGATATACACGTATAAAAGGATCAGGTCATGCATACACTAAGTATACTGAAGCTTCATCTTTTATAAAACATATTAATGTCAGAAGGAGTGTGTGAAAGAAATGCGAACATTAGTTACTTGTGTAGCCATGAATTTTTGTCATTAAACAATATATCAAGTGACTAACCATGGGTTTGGGTAGTCCTGTGGGTACCCGGGTCCTACTCAGTGCCCACCCGACCCGGGTACCCAAGTAAACCACTCCAGCACTAATACAAACCAAATATTTTCATACAATGTCACTCAAAAAGGAATGTAACTGGCAAAAAACAAACATGTATGTACAGAACATAAATGGGGGATCATGGATTTGATGAGGCCAGTTGGGTAACCTAGTGGTTGGAGCGTTTGCTCTTCACACCAAAGACCCGGGTTTGATTCCCGAACATGGGTACAATGTGTGAAGCCCATAGACATAAAAAAAGCTTGAAACATTATTTTGGGATTGGTCATCTTATTATTTTTCATTTGAGTAAATCTGTTTTTGTCTGTTTCAGAGTCACCATGGCAACTGCCTCCCCATCTCATGTTAGCAAGGAGAAACTTACTGATGAACTGTCTTGCTCCTTGTGTCTTGAGTGTTATAAACAACCCAAAGTGTTGCAGTGTCAGCATACGTTTTGTCTGCCATGTTTACAGAGGCTCATGGATGCTTCCTTTCCTAGTATGCAAATCACTTGCCCACTCTGTCGAGAACAAACCTTTGTACCTAATGGAAACATTGAGGCTTTGAAAACAAACTACATCGTGGAAAGCCTTCTGACTTTCATGGCCCAGTGTACAAGCATGGGCGGACACAGTGACCTTGAGTGGTCGGGCCAAACTGTTGCGAAATATTGCCAACTTTGTCAAGAGGAAAGGGAAACTGACATTTTTTGCGACGACTGCAAAATGTGGCTGTGTAAATCGTGTTCTGTGCCACACAACAGGCTCCCTGCTACGAAGTCGCATCGAACCATGGCTGTTGCTGACATTGTTACAAAGGCCAAGGACAAGTTGAAGGTCGTTGAAAAAGAAATGCAAGGCTTGGAGGAGGCGATAGAGGAACAACACCAGAAGGTTCTCATGAATCAGGAATTTCTGTCGCAACAGGCGGGTAAGGTTGCATCGCAGATTGAGGCCTCATGGCGGAAGGCAGTTGACATTATTACGGAAAAGAAAGTTGCTCTCATGCAGGACATAGCTTTGAGTGTGTCACAAATTGATGCTAAACAACAAAGCAAGATCACCCTGTTGCAGGAAAATGCACAACGTATAAAGGAAGGCTTGAGTTTCGTGAAAGATGTAAGGAAGAGTTCCGACGCTCATCACATTACCAATATGTTCGGACATGTTGAAGCGGTGAGGCAGACTGTGTCACATGATTCTTTGGCTGAGGATGATTTCGAGAAATGTCAGATTGAGTTCCATGCTGTCGAACCGCTGTCTCAAGCGATAAGTAGCTCATCGCTTGGACACATCTTGTGTGGAAAATCGTCAGTGGATGATTCCCCCGTGTACCCAGACAACGCTGTGACAGTAGGCGAGCTGGTCCATCGTCTTGCATATGGGTACTACATTACCGGAATAGCTTCAGCATATGATGGTAGTATCTTTGTGGCTTCCAACTGCAATTCTCTTAAGAAAATCAAGAAAAGCATTTGTGAAGAAGAGATCTACCACGTTGTGAAGCCGTGGGGGGTTGTCAAAGCTCCAAGTAGTGAGCTGATCCTCACAGACTGTGGGAAGAGTCTTGGTGGGGGGTCAGTCAATATTCTTGACTTGGAGGGCAAATTTGCCAGAGTGATCGCAAATGGTCTCTCTCTTCCTCGTGGAGTTGCAGTGGACAGTCACGGTCGCATCCATGTCTGCGATGAAAATGATCGATGTGTTTATGTGATGACACCGGAAGGAAGAATTGTCGCCATTATCAAATATTCTTGGGATGGCAAGTTTCTGTTTGAGGCGCCAAGGTTCATTACCATCAACAAGTATGACTACATCTTCATTTCAGATGGAGGAAAGTTTGTGAAAATGTTCGACAGTAATTTCCAGCTCAAATGGACATACAAGTCTCCATTTGCTCGGGCTGAGTTCTGGGACATCTTAACGGCTGACGTGGGCGTACTTTATGTTGCGGACTGGAATCATGGCATACATATTCTCTCAGAGGAAGGAGAGTTCCTGGGCCTGCTGAAACAGCCATTTAATGATATTGTTGTCAAGGAACCCACAGCGTTCTGTCTCAATTTCAACAGATCCTCGCTTTTAGTCGGGACATCAAATGGAGAAGTATTTGCTCTTGACACAGTTGAAACAGAATAAAGATGGCCTCTCACAATGCCGTTATCATTGCCATGCCATGAATATGTTGCAATGGGACTAACTTGGCTGTCTTCCAGTCTCAGATCTGCACCATCATAAGACCTATTGTCTCCTGTCTCCAAAGTCTAGCTGATGTATCTAGTTGCTGAAAATCCATTGGCGGATTCAGAGGGGGGTACACACTGCCCCGTTTTTTTTATACCTTACATGTTAACTGTGCCCTTGATCAAGTCACTTAATGACTTGTGTAATATGTATGCACAACCATTTTCAAAATTCTGGATCTGCCTGTGAACTTGTAAAAATGTGGCCCTACTGCTCAACCCATGGAAGTCATACAGAATAACAGCTGTCATAGTTGTAGCTTGAAGCTTTGACCAATATGGCTGAGATCTGACTGAACACAAAAAAACTATAAAATAGAAATCAGAATTGGAGGACTTGAGGACAATTGTGACTAGGAACACAAACTTTGGGTGATCTTGCCGGGCTGTGACCCAGTTTTTGAGCTGGATTGCCAAATATAGACAGAATTATTTTCATTGCGATGGAAATCATATTCTTGAAGATGTCACTACATTTATTATACATGTATTGGGAAATTCAGCTTATTTTCAATGCTTGTACATACCAGAGCAATAAATTTGCATGATAAACCAGTTCTCATTTGTATTCCTTGTATTATTCTTATACTATCACTTGGGATTGATGCTCATATTAATCACTGGATTGTCTGGTCCAGACTCGATTATTTACAGACCGCCGTCATATAGCTGGAATATTGCTGAGTGCGGCATTAAACAACAAACCAGCAAACCAACTATTAATTGGTTCAAGGTCAAGTTTTTACGAGTCAACAAGGCTGGACTCCCACATTGAGCCGAAATGCTTTCATGTAACTGAAATACTACCAAAGGTGGCTTGAATTGCAACTCTCTCACTAACTAGAGTGAATATTCTTAATTCAGTGTTACCTAATATCGCATTACCTACCGTCACTGCAAGTCCTGGGCTTAATAACAGATTTTGCCTATTTTAATTGAGTAACATTTTTTCCAAATTTAAGCCCAGGGCTCAAAAACCAAACAGGACTTAAATTGATATGAGGAAGGAACATCCCTCATGCACAGCTTAATGACACAATTCTCACAAATGGAATGAGAGAGCAACACTTCAACATAAGACATGATTTTCTTTTACAACTTGAAACTGGAGTCAAAAACATGTTCAAAAGTGAAATGACAGCTCTCAATAAGTAACAACAAATGCAGTTATGCCTGTCTGTCATATGCATTTAAGATGTCCATGTGAGTTTCCAGAATATCACCTATGTTAGGGGTCCAGAGTGGCTTGTAAATGTAGAAACCTCTAACAGAGCTTAAGGTGCAAGTTGGCCACACAGAAGCATGCTACATGCTACCATACATGTTGGGAGTGCATCTGGTGTGGTCTGTTGGACCATATGGTTTGTCTGTTTGTAAGCCCATGGGCTAAATATCGAGGGGGTTGAAAAACGTGCAGCCCCGGTAATATAATTGAGCTCCTATATTCCTAGATTCCAGGTGAATTGGTCCCCAGCAACCAAAGCTTGTTGTATGAATTGACAATATGGAAAGGGTGTTAGGTAATTACCTCAGGTTATAGGCCATTTCATACATGCATGACAACACACAAATATTTTCTAAGTTTATCATCACTTTACCGGTAAAAGTACATCCTATGACTCGTATTTATTACATGAAGCCAGAAAAGCAGTTTTCTAACATGTCCGACAGAACTTTAGTTGTTTGGTGTTTAACGCTGCGAATGGCAATATTCCAGCTCTATGACGTTGGTCTGTAAATAATAAACTCTGGATCAGACAGTCCAGTGATTGACATCATGAGTATTAATCTACACAATTGGGATACAATAACATGCATCAACCAAGTCAGCGAGTCTCAACACTTGATCCCGTTAGTCGCCTCATACGACAAACATAGCCATGTCTTATGGCAAGCATGGGTTACTGAAGACCTTTTCTACCCTGGATCTTCACGGGTCCAATCACGACAAAGCTGAATGTTATTGAAGCAACCATGTATACCACTCAAACTAATTAGACATTTTTGGACAATGTGGCATGAAAATCTGCACTGGGGGTGAAAAAAAGACAAAACACTGACTACAGTGAGAAAATAGTTTATTTTTCAAATCAACACAGTCATCCTCAAAATCATATACGCATCAATTTTCTTATCACATTACAGGTTCACATCTTTGGTAGCTAAATCTGTAAAAGTTTTGCTCTGTCTCTGAACCATGAACTGTCTGTTAAACATGTTTGTGAACCTTGCAGTTTCATAATACGGTTTTAGGTTTGTGCTTAAAACTTTAAAGGCATTTAGAAAATGCACTCTCAGTCAATTTAAGTAAATAAACATTTGAGAGATACTGCAGATTGTAATGCAGCTATTCATTGCAATCATGGGTTTCATACACTCGATTAAGACAAACAATATTACATAAACTGACAGGATTATTTTCACTTGGATGGCACGAAACATAGTATCAAGACATTGATTCGTACATATCATTTGCAATTAAACTTTCAACAAGTCACACAAATATATTCAATGAAATTTTGATTATTTAAGGAAGAATGAATAATATTGTATAAGCTTAAGATATACCTTGAAGATACCTCACACTTTAAATATCAAGATGGCTGAATGTGAAAGCAAAATGGAACTGATTGTCTCCCTTTATCCCAAGTTATCTCCCTTGTGAACCAAACTTGCATTTTTATATTAACAATAATATATGCATGCTAATGCATTCCAATTGTTGTGAACAATATATTTTAGTACCAATTCATTTCTGAAAGGTATTTCATCAAAAACCACAATACCTGATCACGTAAAACATTTTCATGCGAACATCAAAAGCATACACACCGAGCACTAGGATGTCGTTCATAATATGTACAGTAATCTTTCGCTTATTCAACCACCATACATACAAGCATACATATATCCCCTCACTGTAACAAATACAAGTGTTTTTTTGTCACCATGTTGAATCTTCTGTCATGTAATGTGATTATTGAGTTTGTACAAAGTGTATTTACACAATATATAACAAAGCTGGATTATTTCGTAATGTTTCATGAGAAGAGATGATGTTTGAGTTTCCACAGAGAAAAACCTTTCTGAAAAATGTCATTACTTAACATGCTTAGCTACTGGTCATTTATTAAATGGGTGGGATGGGGGTTGATAAGGGTCATAAAGAGTGAGTGAGTGAGTTGGGCTTAACACCGCTTTTAACAGTATTCCAGTTATATCACAGCGTGTCAGCTTAATGTGGGAGGAAAGCCCGAAGTGATGCAGGTCTCAGACGTTTACCACTTCGGTGAAACCCACAAGCACAGGTATGGTGCAGACAAACCTCAAAACATAATCGGGGCAAACCAGGATTCGAACCCACAATCATAGGTTTCTGGCGTGCCCAGGGGATGCAACTCTGCACAGCGAATCGCGGCGCCTTAGACGACTGGGCCACCCGTGCCCCCAGGGTCATAAAGAAATGACAGTAAGAGGGGGCCCGCCAAATTAATCACAACATGGGGGGGGGGGGGGGGGGGGGGGGAGGAGGAGGAGGAGGAGAGAGTGAGGAGGAGGAAGATGAGAGGAGGCATGGGAGGCATGAAAGAAAATGACCCAGTTCTATTGTTTCAAATATAAAAATTTAGATATTCCAACATTTCTTTGAGAGGCATTTAGAGTGAGTGAATGAGTATGGTTTTACGCCAATTTTAGCAATATTCCAGCAATATCACGGCGGGGGACACCAGAAATGGGCTTCATACATTGTACCCATAAGGGGAATCGAACCCAGGTCTTTGGCGTGATGAGTGAACGCTTTAACCACTAGGCTACCATCCGCCCCCTGAGGCATTTTGAACTCGAAGTAAGGATAAGATCGTTCCTAATTGTAATGAAATTGTTCATCCATATATCTTATCCTTATCTATTTGTGTAGTGTGTTTTGAGACGGGTGTAGTGGAAAAACGCATTTGGGGGTCCATGATAAAATGTAACATCAAATGGGGGCTGTATCAGCAAAATATGATACAGTGCTGAGACCAAGGCCCCTACCACCCAAGACCACCATAATAAATGACCAGTCCTTGAAAGAGTTCAAAACAACAACAGCTTGAGCATGTCCTGAATGTTCTATGGAAACAAAGTACAGATACCTTTGGCAGTGACAATTTACAAAATATGACAGTTTTACTGAAAACAAGAAAAGAACAACATTTCATACTTCGTTTTGACAAACAAAATTCACGTATCTTTGAGCCTGTAGTATAGTAGAAACAACTTAGTTAATATTTTCCAAAGTTAAGACCGGGATGAAAGTATGTCTACCAATAAATCGGCAGGACAAAATCTGATTTCTGGTATCAATGTTTTACTGAACATTTTGTAATGACATGTACCGGTACAGCTCGTCTCAAATGAAGGAATGGGTTCTACATATGGTATCTACCCCTAAGGGGAATCAAACCAGCTTGTCTCGACAAGGAAACACCACAACCACCCTGCTACCCTCTGTCCCTTCATCGTTCAATCCACCTTGTCAGAACACCACCAGAAACTCAACACATGATTGATGATGAATCATTGCCGAACTTAATATTCTGGACGTAAAAAAAGACATGATATTTAATGATATATACAGATATATACAGAGATTACGTCTGCACCAATGATATATTCCATACGAATAGTTCTCACACAATGTTATGATGGCGAAATAAATTACATGATCTATGGCCATGCCCATTAGAGCAGAGATGACAGTATCGTAGTGCTTGTGAACCCTCCAACTGTTTAGTCACATGTCGTGTTACCACAGGGAGAAGCAGGTACCTATTTCAAGTCTAGCTTGAGATGGTGTGCCCAGAATACCACAGGTACTGAAGCTTGCCGTCACTAGACAACAAAACTTTGATGATGCAGTCCTAAACCATCTTTCCGAGGCAAACGTGTCCACTAGCCTGTATCAAAGCGTAGTTTCTACCCTAGCCATATCAAGGCCACTTTTCTTGGCTCGACCCTGGCGCCACTTCGCGTAGATCACAAGTTGTGCCCCCTGCAATATCCAGCAATATCACGGCAGGGACACCAGAAATGAGCTTCACACATTGTACCAATGTCGGGAATCGAACCCGGGTCTTCGGCGTGAATGAGAGAACGCTTTAATCACTTGGCTACCCGACTACCCCTCAGGTCTTCTTTTGACTAGTATATGTTCACTTTCCATGTGGATATCAAGCTTACTTGTAAAAAAAAAACAGTTATCACTGACTTAATATAATTAACATTTTTGTTAAAAATATGTGATTTCTAAGTGTGCCCTTTAGGCTTCAGGAACCTACTTTAACCGTGCCATTGTCACTCTCTACAAGGAATATCCCCCTATATAACTCGGAACCTCCTGTTGAATATGACACTTGAAGTTTGCATCATGCAAGTCCAACTTTACCAAACATGTTCCACAAAAACAATATTAACACTGACAACTATTTTGAAGGAGATGAATTTTCACGACAGACAAAGCCCTGTGACATAAGCCCAAAATGTGAGCTAACAAGTGCCAAGTTTGACATCTTACCATAAAAAAAATAGTTATTGCTGGATTGAATTTAATCACAAAACTTATACTGACTCTGAGCCAACCAGTCCTTATTTTAGCCCCTTAATGCCGAGCGCCAGACAGGGTAACAACACTCCCATCTTTTAATGTCTTTTGGTAAGACGTGGCCGGGGATCGAACCCCGGACCTTCCGCTCTCCAGGCAGACACAAAACTTAAGGACACCTCCTAGTTTGTTTCGTGTTCCCTGCACAACTTCATGAACCTTGTACTGCGTACTCCCCCCCCCCCCCACTATCTGCCTCTACAGGATATTGTAAATATGACACAGTATGTAACAGGCGTGTCTAGCAATAGAATGTACACTTTTCCCCTTCGTTTCTTATCATTACATCTAACAGATTTTAAAAATACAGATCTCAGAAAGTCTGATGTTCAGACCAGCAGACACCCTTATTAAACAAAAGATGAATCGGAACAACCAGGAATCAGAGTCACATTGTCAAAGACACAAAAAGGGAATTAATTCCCATGTTGCGGCAGGAAGTGTATTGCTAATGGCAAAAGTGATTTCGTGTGGGGCTCAACACTGCAGCTATGACATCGTTGCCTTGTCACATTGTTGTGTGACGTCATAGCATTGTGACGCCATCAATGGAATGTCGCTACAAGTTAGAAATTGAGGAAACGTGAAAGTATTTATCCATTTACTCAAACACCTGCACATTAACCTATAGAAAGGGCATGCATACTATACCCTTCTTTTTTATAAATAAATCCAGCAGTTTTTAAAGGTACCTATCCTAGAAAGTCCATAATAAAATTATTATCAGCATGAATTATTCCAGCTTGCAATGACTGAAATTGGGCATTAACCCCTCCCATTTGTAGCCTCTTACGACAAGCATGGGTTGCTGAAGACCTATTCTCACTCTGTCTACTGTTAAATAATTTTATGGTTTACAAATATTTGTTAAGATGTTAGCTTGGGTCCATTGAAATAAACATTAATTTAAGTAGCTCAATACCTTCTAATTTCGTTGTCACAAATGTCCTTGGGTTGGTCAGTTAAGTGGGCAAACCCCCCAAAATGCTAATACTGCACTGTGTTGGCTGTTCAGTGTTTTCAGAGTAATACATAAGGCTAAAAAATAAGTCTTGGTTCTCAGGCACGGCCTCATCATCATACAGTCTGCCACAAGTTTCGTTTTTATTTCCATTTTCAAACAAATTAAAAAATCCTAATACTTTAAAACAATGAGATCCAATGTAGCACACAGTTACTTCCCTTTAAATGTGCACTCCTTTACTGTGTATCTCGTGGTAGTATGGCGGCAAAAGGAGTTTGTATGCTTGTTTATGTAGGGAGGCCTTTTCCCAGGTTGATGGTACACAACTGTTTATTTGGTTACATACTAGCTTTTACAAGCAAAAAATCCCAAACCACCGCCAGCCTGCAATATATTTTCAAAAGTCATTGCCTGAGAACCAATGCTTCTATTTTTTTAAACTTAAGGGCTATAACTATTCACCAATACCTACGTTATCATCGATACTTAGGTACATATGATACTTGAATCGTCAGTTTGTGAGATCATGATATGTTATAAATAGAACAGGAACTGATAGAGTTACCTCCCTTAATGGCAGAAGCAGCATAGCGCCACCTGTAAGCATGGTAAAACACAAGGATGTGATAGCTGGATGTGCCGACTAACTGTCACATATAATAATCATCTCTTCATTTATAACTGTTTTGCTCTTGTGGTTTTCTTTGTTAAAGTATCTGAGATAACAATAATATATGAATGAAGAAAGGAGTTAGAGCTGTATTTCAGTATTTCATCATTTCTTATTATTTCATCTGGTGTATCATGACACCAGTAGTATCGTCAGTCTGTATCGTGATACAAATCGTATCGTAAGATACCAGGCAATACTCAGCTCAAATTATAGACACGTATTTAGATCTGGGATGGATTGTTCTGCCATAACTAAGATGCATTGTCCATAGTCTACACACAACAGGGATTTACCTTGACTTACAAAAGTGGGGGTCCCCCGACCCCCAATAACTAATTGTAAGGGTCCTGGGTCCCGTTCCACAAAGCGATAATAGCGGTAAGACGATCGTAACTCCCATACTTTAACATAGACTTACGACAGTCTAAGCGCTAAGATCGCTTTGTGGAACGGGGCCCTGTGAAGTATTAAAATGGTGTACTGTACATTTTGATAATTACTTCAGAGCCTGGAATGAATGAATGATCATGTGGACAGTGGTCATGATTGATAGATGAAATAACAGACACCCATAACTGCTGTTGATGCCCTGGAGTTACAATGAATATTACTGTGTGTCCTTAGGGACACAGTTAATTTTTATTCTACTTCCATTCTCTACATTTGTGCGTCATGTAAATACCTGATACAATAGACTGGGTCAGCTGCTCTGGGCAAAGTTAATGGCTACTTTATCTTAATATGTTATTCAAATATGCATTTCTTTATTTTTCTAACTGTTCAAATATTTAGCAGTTAATAAGAGATTACTTTAAAAAAAAAATCCTCAATAAGTTGCTCTTGACAAAGTTAATGGCTACTTTATCTTAATGTGCTATTCAAATATGTACTATTTTATTTTTCTAATTGTCCAAATAATTGGCGGTTAATAAGAGATAGCTTTAAAAAAAAAATTCCTCAATAATTTGAACTTTTTACTGACATCATCTTAGCATCTTATGTAGAAAGGAAGAGCAACTCATTGACTTATCAATCATGCTAAGTAACACGGCGACCACCGCTATGTAACACAGCGAACATACTTAATCTCATTACAACCATAAGGCATAAAATATTCTAAACTACTGACGGAACAGTTCTTGTATAGCATAAGTTTCACAATCATTTTGATAAAAATAAGCATAAATGACATGGCCTCCCTGATTATTTGTAGGCTAAGTTAACCTGCCTTCTTCAGCATGTGTCACATAAAGGTCACACAGGTCACACAAATATGGCCGCCAGAAAGCTGATGCCACTTGGAACCTGAAGTCATTCACTCTTCAACACGAAACATGATCTGACTTAGTTCAACAAAACTGGACATCTATAAATATAACATGTTTAAACAAGGATAATGTCAGGATTCACGTAACCACGGTAACTGTCAGCTGTCGGAACAGAATGAGGTAAGATATGATAACGACTACTACAGTTGGGGGGTCATTGTCACTGTAGCAATTTCTTCTTTAATATTTCGTAGACCATCCTTTTCCTGAAGTAGGGCATGTGTTCCTGCAAAAGAAGGGGATTTTTAAATAGCAAACATAATAATAATAATAATTATGTACATATTCATAATGTGCCAAAACCACTCTAAGTGAGTGAGTGAGTTGGGTTTAACGCCGCTTCTAACAATGTGGGAGGAAAGCCCGAAGTGATGCAGGTCTACGTTTACCACTTCGGTGAAACCCACGAGCACGGGTATGGTGCTGACAAACCTAGAAACATAATCGGGGCGAACCGGGATTCGAACCCACAATCATAGGTTTCTGGCTTGCCCAAGGGACGCAACTCTGCACAGCGAATCGCGGCGCCTTAGACAACTGGGCCACCCGTGCCCCACAAACCACTCTAAAGCATGCTCAAAGCCGTACATTATTACCCCGGCCAATGGATCAGTAGCATCACTTGGCATCATTTTCAGTAGATCATAGTGTCCGAGGAGACTAAGTGCTTGTTACAGACACCATGTATGAAGATCCGGGGTAGAATAGGTCTTCAGCAACATATGCTTGCTGTAAAAGGCGACTAAGCGTGCCGTTAGAGGCGAATAACAGGATCGGGTGGTCAGGCTCGCTGACTTGGTGGATGCATGTCATCTTATCCCAATAATTTTATTGCGTGGATCAATGCTCATGAAATCAATTGCTGGATTGTCTGGTTCACACTTGATTATTTACAGACTGTGGTCATATAGCTGGAATATTGCTGATTGAGGCATTAACCAACAAAGAAACAAACAAACAAATGTTGCAGACACATTGGGAACAATACATTATTTTGTTCAAAACTGAGGTATATTAAAGTTCTTATTTCCTTAAATCAGAGGCATTTTAGCCAGGTATGTTAACACTACATTCAATGCTATAACGTAAAACTAAATTTAAAAAACCTCTTCCTCTTTTTCGGTCCTAAAAAGCAAGACCATTAGCCATAAAATATTAATCATGTTAACATGAATAATCAATTGGTAATTTTTTTTTTACCAATTTGGGAATTTTTACTGCACACTTTTTACATTTGCTGCAGACTATATAAAGAGATAAAAGATGTCGCTCTGACCTCTGTTTCGAATGTGAAACCAGTCTAGTACCACCGAGGCCACTGGTGATCACCGAAACCCTCAATGTCTAACAATCACATATCATGCACACATGACAGCATGTTCACCTGTGTAAAACTGATGGGGGCTTCTCGTGTGATGTATTCAGCAAACTTGCAGGCAAACATTCCACAGTCACTACCATTCATCTGTTGGGGGATGTCCTGGAATAGATTCAAAACATTTCACAATCAAATTCAACAACAAACTGCCAGGTCACACAAATCAGTCTTGAAAGTTCCATGTCTTTCCCACGACTTCAAACCTGCTTTCAATGACCTGGGGTCAAGAAAGCAGAGCTACAGATAAGCTCCTAATTTGCGTAAAATACTCCCCAAAAATATTCAAAACCCAATTACTTTCAATTATCTTGCGTACAGAAACGCATGCATTAAATGAAAAACTCAAATGTATAAAAACAGCATGCGTATATACCCAATGAAGCTTTTTCAGCATGCGTACAAAGGAGCTCATTTACGAAACACAATTATGAGCTAATTTACTTTCTGAGTCAAGCCTATATGTTTAGAACAGTTATAAAACATTATTTTTTTTTTTTTTAAATCTTAAAATGTTTCCTTATTTTGGAAAAAAACCAACAGAGTGATGAACGGTTGAGTGAAAAAATATTGGTTACCCAATGAAAAATGTTGAATTGAAATAGAAACCCAAGAGTAAAAACTCAATTGCTCAAAAAGTTATCTGGAGCTCTGAGAAAGGTGATGCGCAAAAACACATGTTTAACATTGCATTACAAAATTATTGCACTTATATAGCAACTTGCTTTAACCAGTAGGCTACCCAACCGCCTCCTCTGGGGTTAGTTTTATTAGATATTCAGTCATAAAATGAACAGCCTACCAACATTTCTTAAATCAGATATTTGGCTATAAATAAGGTATTTAAGGAACAGAAATATCCACGAGCAGCTGTAGCAGTGATCCACACTGTTATCACATGTACTGGGGATTTCTTCTATCTCAGGATCCCCCTGGGCTGGACATGTCAAAACAGACGACACCACACAGATACAAGACACTAGATGTTTACCAGCAATGGGTACTAATATTCCAAGCACATTTTTCTATGTCTTCTGTAATTATCATCACAAAATACAAATAACATTACTTACAGATTCTATTTGGAATTCCCATCCAGTGAAATCAAAAGCTTGTTTTTTCTTGTCCAATGACTCGTCTGCAAGATATTTTCTGCAAACAAACACAATCACATTCATCTTCAGAGCATGTTAACAACAGCGACACAATTATAAAAAGTTTAAATTGTTGAATGAATCAATGTCTTATTGATTTTCAAGGATTGTTTGAACATGTTGAAAAGACGAGGAATGAGAAGAGCCCTGATGCCCCTAAAAATGCCCACATTTACAAGTTAACTAAACCTTTAAAATCTTGTCATAAATATTAATGTTAATGTGACTGAGGACCCATGATGATCCAGTTTAGAACTGTTTCCAGCAACAAATGCTTGTCGTAAGAGGCGATTGGTTGTGAAATCGAACGTGAGTACTGGTCCTCCATTTGTTTCAGAAGGCCATAAGAGCCATATCATATGGAAACGTATTCGTGCCACAGTCTTAATAGAATTTATCATCTACGTAGATAATACTTTCATCTACGTAAATGATACCTAATATACGTAGATAATATTAACATCTACGTAGATGATACTTTCATCTCCTTATGTTATATTATAATCGTACTTATCATTACTCAGACAGTGTATATCTGTGAATATCCGGGGTAGAATTGGTCTTCAGAAACCCATGCTTGCCGTAAGAGGCGACCAACAGGATCAGGTGGTCATGCTCGCTGACTTGGTTGATGCATTTCATCGTATCGCGTGGATCGATGCTCATGATGTCAGTCACTGGATTGTCTGGTCCAGACTCGATTATTTACAGACCGCCGTCATATAGCTGGAATATTGCTGAGAGTGGCTTTAAACAATAAACAATCAAACTCAGACAGTGTACCCATGAAGATCCGGGGTCAAATAGGTCTTCAGAAACCCATGCTTGCCGTAAGAGCCGACCAACAGGATCGGGTAGTCAGACTCGCTAACTTGGTTGATGCATGTCATCATACATCCAAACTGCGAAGATCGATGCCCATGATGTCAATCTCCGGATTGTCTGGTCCAGAGTTGAGTATTAACAGGCTGGAATTTTGCCGAGTGCAGCGTTAAACAACAAACTTGCTTTCTTTCTCCGTGCTCCGTTCCAAATTCAACTTAATGTGATTAATCTACATGTTACTTTGCTCTATATTGAAAACACATTACATCTACCTCCTAACTGTCTCTTTCTGTTCAGAGACAATGCTGAAACAAAACAGAACTTACTTCAAGCCCTGTAAACACTGTACATTTTTGCCTCCCATTGAATCGAAGTAGCTGACTTTCTTCTTTTTAATATCAATCACCTGAAAACAGAAGGGTTGGTGTGACAGTCCCAAACACTTGACATTTGTAACATGACACACGACATGTATCCAAATGTTATTAATGTTATCGCCAAAAAGTTGTAAATCAAAACAAATATTTTCAAGATTGTTCATGTTCAATAAAACATATGACAGTGTTAGAAATTGAGCATGACAGTCACAATTGATGGTCTTGCACACATTGATTATCATCAGAGACAATAATTATTCAGTATTCCAGTTTTATCACAGCATGCCAGCTTTCTGTGAGAGGAGCCTGAAGTGATGCAGGTCTCAGACATTTACCACTTTGGTGAAACACAAGAGCAGGGTAATGGTGCTGATAACCTCAGAAACATAATCAGGGTGAACCAGGATTCAAACCAAAATCATAGGTTCCTGACATGCCCAAGGCACGCAACTCTGCACAGCTAATTGTAGCATCTTAGACGACAGGGCCACCCATGCCCCCTCAAACCTTGTACTATTTACATGGAACATCAGTGGTGTCGTAAAACATGAAAATATGTTATCTGGCAAACTTTGAAATTTTTAAATTCAAATTTGGGAATTTTAACAACTTACAGCCATACACCAGTGAACTCCCAGATGAACCGGGACGAGAAGATAGTCATGTGAAAAGATGTCAATTTTCCGTGTCCATCTTCTCACTGCCGAGTGGCCACCGTTCATTAATTTGGAATAAAAGAATGTGTTGAACGCGTACACCTTGGGTCGATCCTCCTGCCCGCCTCTCTCTATTAGCATGTTCATGTAGAAGTTGATAATCTGTAAGACAACAATACCAGTTACCCAAGACAGATCAATGTTCAGGACATGTACAACTTGGAGAAATGGACTTGAACAACAATCGCAAGAGAATGACACAGTTGCATTAATCTTCACAGATGTTCCTTGTCTACTTAAACACAGAATATTTTATGAGATGAGAGAGCTACATTATCAGAGTAAAAGATCTGATTCTAAAAAGAATTTCTGATAAACAGGGGCAGTCTGGTAGCCTAGTGGTTAAAGCGTTCGCTCGTGACGCCGAAAACCCAGGTGGGTACAATGTGTGAAGCCCATTTCTGTTGTCCCCCACCGTGATATTGCTGGAATATTGATTAAAAACGGCGTAAAACCATACTCACTCACTGATCATAAACAAGCACTTAAAGTACAGGGACACCCAACCATCCTAACTGTTCTAGAATTGTACAGGGGATGATGCTTCAGTGAGTGAGTGAGTGAGTGAGTGAGTGAGTGAGTGAGTGAGTGAGTGAGTGAGTGTGAGAGTGAGTGTGAGAGTGAGTGAGTGAGTGAGTGAGTGAGTGAGTGAGTGAGCGAGTGATGGTCTTACGCCGCTCTTAGCAATATTTCAGCAATATCATGGCGGGGGACACAAGAAATGGGCTTCACACTGTAGTCATGTTGGGAATCGAACCCAGGTCTTCGGCGTCATGAGCGAACACTTTAACCACTCGGCTACCCCAACAGCCCTGATGATGCTTCAAGTCATCTCAGTAGGATCTTACTTCATCATTAAGCCAGTTCAGTCCATCTAACGTGGCCATGTCCTTCCTAGTAATCTGCAGTCGGTAGCCTTCCACCAGCACTTGGTCAGGGGGGAAGCCTTTCTTGGCACCGGCGATGATGTTTTCCATATCGCTTGTGATGTCTGCAACACAGGGACTTCAATAACAAACGATCCCAGGTAACCCTTTTACTAGCAACTCTACTAGCAATGATGTGACACCAACCAAATCATAATGAAACGTGATACTTTCGTTCACATTCTGAAAAAACATTTTCTTTTATTGTTATGCCTGTAAACGAAGGATAATGGATGGTAACTGCCCTGTTTGTAAATAAGTCATGTTTTGAAATGTACAAAATCTACTTAACATTCATTGGAAAACTTCCAATAACATCCAAAACAAGTGATAAAGATTTACGAGTTTGTCAACTTTTGCATTTCTTGTGGTCCAAAGATCTTCGATCCTTAAAAGATTGTGAAGCATTTCACTCTTTGTATTTTGTAAATGGTTAAGTGTGGAAATTAATTACAAATGACGCCAAATTATGAAATATCTGCATTCAATGTTAGGCATGCACGCATATTTTCTGCATCCCAGGGGATGCAACATAGGATGCAGGATGTTATGTCTGGTAAATCCCTGTGGCCATGAACGTGGGACCAACCTGGTAACCGTTCTTCCTTCTCCGGTTCTAGTGGCGGCAGTTCCTCTAACACCGGCGGTTCCTTATCTTCAAGCCTCATTCGTTCCTTAATCTGGAGCATGAGTATGAGAAGACTTTTTTAAATCTGTACACAGTAAGTCAACAGAAGTTTCACATTTTTTTCTCATGTCATAAGAAATGTACACTTCACAAGAAGATAATTCTGATCACCAAAATACTTACATACAAATGATAGAACTGTTACATTTATGGACTTACCATTTTCTCCAAATTCTCATCACGTTCTTTTCTCTGAAAAAATATAAAGATCATTTTAGACTAAGTGAGGGAGTAAGGTTTTAAGCTGCTTTTAGCAATAATCAAACAATATCACAGCGGGGGACACCAGAAATGGGCTAAATGGTCCCTAAACAATCCAGCAAATAAACTTATTAATTATCTTGAACCCATCCTGAATCTGTAAGGAAATGGTCAGTGTTGAGAACTGATTCAAATGTAATGATTGATAAAGGGTTTCAAAGCGCAATCAATGATCGTCTACCGATTGATTATAAAGTTAAATCACCAAAGATATGGCACTATACATGACATTTATCAAACAAAATATACTTAAAGATGTTAAAGCAGACTTTGTCTCCTTCATGTCGACTAAAATAACAGTAATCTAAAATAGCACAACCCCAAACTGCTTCTAAACCCTTCTCCACACTACCAGGAAACAGAAGAACATTGACATGCCTGTTGGTTGACTTCTGTGGTTTTTATACACATTTAAGACACATTATTAAAGTTTTCTACAATTTTTGGGACCTACCAGAGCAAATTTGTAACTGACAAAGTCATAACACCTAAGATAATTATGGTTGGTAAAAACTAAAACTAGCTTACCCTTTCTTCATGGACCTTGGCTATAATTTCGGCTTCAGTGATCTTCCGCCTCCTCTCTCTCGCTTCTGCTGAATAGCGACTTTTTCTACAAAGATTCATCATGGAATGAAAAAATGGAGGCTGCTTGTCATCTCTAGTGTATACAAGAGAACTGTGTGCAAATTCATGACTGGTAATGGTTTCATGATTAAGCCGACCATATTTGGAAAATTAAAAACGTCGCAGTTATGATTTCTGCTGATAAGATTTAGATTAAATTAAGAACGTGAGAACATTAATTTGAAAAGGAAAATAGGCAATAATTTGAAAGAAAGACATTTGTCATTTATTTGCAGTCATACTATTCATATTATTTCTATTCATATATCGTCTCATAGATATTATAGTACGGGCGGTTTCTACCATGATTCTAAGATGTGATTAATTCCAGTCGAGGTTTCAAATGTTAGACTAAGAGTCTAATCAACAGTTTGATGACCTCCAATTTCAAAGCATAGTAGGTATACACCAAATTCAGACGAGCACTTTGATTATCTTTGAGTGAGTGAGTTTAATGTCAGTATGAATACTTTTTTCGTCATATCGTGACAGCCTGAAGTGATGGAGGTCTTAGACATTTACTACTTTGGTGAAGATGTTGTTGTACACAACATTCCAAATGGCGTCTGGTTGTCATTCTACCAAGATTCACCGCATATCTTTCTTTGAGTTAACCATACACATGACCTCCCTTTTGAGCCTAAGTCCAAATTGTTTCCATGGAAATGGAGAAAAATTAAAATGCCCCAAATTTGTAAATAGCAAAAGGCAGCACTTCAGGATCTGTTTGTTTTATCTGGCAATTTTCGTTGAAAATTTTTGAACGGTTGGACCGGCACACAAATGGACAGACAGACAAGGCGTTGACTATTATATGCCGGGGGAATACAAAGGATTCAAAACAAAAGTATTGTGGAGAATGTGTTCAAGGTATGTTATAATAGAATGGAATACACCAGACCATCAAGGATGCCATGAGATGAAGAGTGTATTTCAGCAGGAATATCAGTGAGTGACCGTGGTGACAGTCAAACAAAGTAGTCAAGATTGGTGCTCTGTAAGTGTCGTAACCATTATTATTATCATGAGTGAGTGAGTATAGTTTTATGCCGCTTTTAGCAATATTCCAGCAATATCACGGCAGGGGACACCAGAAATGGGCTTCACACATTGTACCCATGTCAGGAATAGAACCCGGGTCTTCAGCGTGATGAGCGAACGCTTTAACCACTATGCTACCCGACCGCCCCTATTATTATCATGACATTAACCCTGCACATAGATTTCAGTACTTGTACTTGTGGGAACAATGAAAGTTTCCTTTTACATGAATTCTTGACCATCAACAACAATGGGAGAAAATCAACTCACAAGTCCTCTACCCATCCCTCGCTGGCGTACGGTGATGTCTGGAATTCATGAGATGTCCGGTCCAAACTGTCAACACAACAAATACATCAATATTTCTCCTACAGAATACACCATGGCTTGCCATACCATGCCTGCTGGTAAATAATAAAGGAGTGAGTGAGTGAGTGAGTTTGGTTTTATGCCGCTTTTAGCAATATTCCAGCAATATCATGGCAGGGGACACCAAAAATGGGCTTCACACATTGTACCCATGTTGGGAATCGAACCCAGGTCTTCGGCGTGACTAGCAAACGCTTTAACCACTAGGCTACCCGACCACCCCTAAATAATAAAGGAAAGAAGGATGGTAATATTTAACACACAGGTATAGTCTGTCATACAAACCCTGAAACAAATATATCAAATACAGCCCATGCAAGTCTATAATGTTTGGCAAGTCTAGATTACTGCAGTATCGGAAAATGAAGAAAGTCTCTGGGTTCCTTTTTATTATATTTTATAACTATAATTTAACAACTGTTTTTTTCTGTAAAATATGTTCATTTCAGAGACTAGATGTCAGTCTAACACAGGTATTGCCAGATAGATATAATTGACCACAAAACATACCACAAACTTGACATGGTTTAAACAAAAGTTGAGACACCAAATTTAAGGCCTTTTCAGGGAATATTGAAATTACAGCCTTTTCAAGGCCAGGACGCCAAATTTAATCCTTGCCTCCAATTTCAAGGCTTCTAAGGCACATTGAAATTACAGTTTTTCAAGGCCGGACCTTCAAATTAACAGCCTTTTGAAGCATGCGTGTCTTTGCCAACATGCCGGCCTGATATGATGATTATACATCAACATCCACAACAAGTTTCTATATACTCACATGGGTGATATCCTTTCTGAGATCTCATCATTCTTATCATCGGGAATCACAACTGCAAAAGAGCAACAACAACATTCATATAATAGAAAATACACATATATCAAACAAGGAACTCAAGAACCAGAGATCAACTGATCTCATTATTCAACACACCTCAACCAAATTAATCATTCAACTATTTCAAGTTATTTTCTGGTAAGAAATACACTCAAAGTTCAGGCTGTCAGTGGTTGATTTTCCCCAACCTAACATAAAACCCCCATCAATAATGCTATTGGGCTGTAGGCTTCTGAGCATGTGTAGTCTGGAACCCCTATATGCATGCCAAGGAGCACCTCCCCCCCTACCCCCAGCAACACCAGCTATATGATGCCGGTCTGTAAATAACTGAGTCTGGACCAGACAATCCAGTGACTGACATTATGAGCATCAATCAACTAAATTGAGATACCATGACATGCACCAACCAAGTCAGCAAGCCTGATCCCTTAAGTTGCCTCTTAGGACAAGCATAGTCGCCTTTTACCGCAAGTATTGGTTCCTGAAGACCCCTTCTAACTCATGGGTCCAAATATTACTGAGAGTCCCCGGGACTAAAACATAAATAGGCCAAAGTTAATCCACTGTCTGACCACAGATTTACATTGTCTTCAACGATTGTGCATTAACAATTCTGTTGTCCTTTGTTTTGACAATGAACATGAACAACAATTGACAGAATGCCTACCTGACTGTTGGTGAACTCGAAGCTTAGACATGTTCCTCTGTTCTTTCCCCGTCCGCGACAACGGCGTTGACTGGAACACCTCCAGCGCATTCTTCCTCCGTGTTGTCAGAAGTGTGCTGGAGATGGCGGGACGAGGAGTAGGGGTCTTAGCCTTCAGCTCAGAGGCAAACACACTGTTGTTGCCAAGGAAACTGTGACCAAGGATACTGTTGTTTCCCCTAGAAACCAGTATCAGATGTCTTTGATGGAATTTTGAAATTGTATATGCATAAGATCTTTTTCTTTAACTTCTTTATTATAGACAGGCACACAATATTAGTTCTTATTCCAAACATGGCACCCACAGAAGGAAGTAAAAAATTGTCTGCCTGTCAAAAATTGAGTTGGCATTAAATGGCAGTATTAACTTTAAAACTTAAAAGATGCATCGTGTGTTTGTCAACTGCAGATGAAGTACCTGACTAATGATTTTTCTATTCTGCACATCTCTTATTAGCTGTTGCTTCATTCAATAAAGTTCTGTTGTAAAGATTGAAGTTTTCTTCTTTTCTCTAGCAGGGCAAGTTGAAAGTCAAATTGGTCAAGGAGAATTTTTAAGTTTACTTGCTCTTGAGCAAGTAGAAAATTCTGGTAATTGTATACTAGTACTCCTGCACTTCTTACGATGTGTCTACAGGGAACAAATTCAACTCATACACCATATGATAAAGCAGTTCTAAAATAACTTTTATCATGATGATTGATTAAAATATTTTTAAAAATAATATATACTATTGTGATGAAATAAAATCTTAATTTATGGAAGCAGATTTGTTATTGTCCATTGCCGAAGACAGAAAGCAACTGATTTGATATATCCCAATGTCAACAGAGTAATCCAAACAAGCATGTCATTGACACCAGTGACGTGAAATATGTTGTTTTGCCTCTGAGCATTTTCATATATTCTGAAAGTTACCTATCGATATTTAGTTGATGATTATCGATCTCTAAGATCTATATCGATAGCCAGCCTTTGAACTTATTTTTTTCAATGTTTACTGGAATGAAGTTTTTGAACGTGAATTATCACTCTTCAATGATAAAACCAGCACCAATCTGTTGCTTACCCAAAATCGAAGGTAGATGGTATCTTCAACTTGGCGGATGAAGCATCTGCGGTCTTATCTCGGTTTTCTTCATCCAGACGGACAGAGGGGGCAAACGTCTGCAGCAATTCACGATATCGTTTCTTCTCATCGAGGCGAACACTCTGGAATTTGAACAAATCAGGTTTTCCTTCAGAAAACATAGATACAAATACAGCCACCACATAATTCTTAACAACATAGTGAATATACAACACTCTTCCTTATCTTCACAATCTCACTAATATCAGATCGTTTTCTCTACATGAAGATATGAGAACACCTCCATAGGAGTTCTAATCAGTCAATCAGAGTTAAGGCTTTTAAAAACCAGACAAGCATATCTGACAAACAAATAATAATGGGGAGTTCTGAATGCAAAAACATAAAGCTGTGCTATTATATTGCTTTGGATATTCCATAAATCCTGTCGTTTCTGAGTACCGTGGCATTTACACGCATGCGGAAATACCATCGTGGGTATATTTGTGTTCTGTTGCAGTTTTCAATTGCTAAAATTGAAATTTGGTATGTCATGAAGCTGAATTGTTTTAGAAAGAAGACATCTGATTGGCTGAAGAATCCATGATTCCTTTATTCAGATTGGGCTTTCAACATGTTCAAAGTTGGCTCAGAGTTCACTTGGCGCAACCTTCTATGGATGCACAAATCTATTTGGATTTTTTCTGTTTAACCAGTGCATTGAAATGAGTTCTTGACATCTCCTCGACTTTGTTCAAATACGTACAGTCTTTCAGTGCCCATGATTGGCATTTGGAAATTATGTATTATGTACATAATATCAGCAGTGTGGCCCCAACAAATTGTCTGTAAATAATCAAAAATGGGGCAGACAGCCTTGTGACTTACGTCACGAGCATTGATCTATGCAATTAGGATATGTTGACATGTATCAAGCATGTCCGCGAGTCTAACTACCCGATCCTGTCAGTCGCCTCTTTTGACAAGCGTGAATTTCTAAAGACCAATTCTAAGCTGGACCTTCATGGGGCGTGTCAATACGTCATTATTGTGTCTGAGATGGATGAGTGGTAACAGATATGCACAAACAAATACACAGCTGAATGGTTGTTGTCACCTCTTGTGCTGTGAAGAGGCCTCTACTGCGGGGGACAGTCGGGGTGACCTGGCGGCGACGGCTGGACCGAGACAGCTGGTCAGTCTGGACCTCCTGGTGATGGACGCTCTGCTCCCCATTCACCCGGGGAGTCTCATTCATAGATGTGCTGCAGGCTGTATCAAGGAATGTGACAGTTGAAGGAATGTGTCAGTTGAAGGAATGTGACAGTTGAATGAATGTGTGACAGCTGAAGGAATGTGTGACATTTGAAGGAATTAGTGACAGTTGAATGAATGTGTGACAGTTGAAGGAATGTGTGACAGTTGAAGGAATGTGACAGTTGAAGGAATGTGTGACAGTTGAAGGAATGTGTGACAGTTGAATGAATGTGTGTCAGTTGAAGGAATGTGACAGTTGAAGGAATGTGTGTCAGTTGAAGGAATGTGTGTCAGTTGAAGGAATGTGACAGTTGAAGGAATGTGTGACAGCTGAAGGAATGTGTGACAGTTGAAGGAATGTGACAGTTGAAGGAATGTGTGTCAGTTGAAGGAATGTGACAGTTGAAGGAATGTGTGACAGCTGAAGGAATGTGTGACAGTTGAAGGAATGTGACAGTTGAAGGAATGTGTGACAATTGAAGGAATGTGTGTTAGTTGAAGGAATGTGACAGTTGAAGGAATGTGTGTCAGTTGAAGGAATGTGTGACAACTGAAGGAATGTGTGACAGCTGAAGGAATGTGTGTCAGTTGAAGGAATGTGTGTCAGTTGAAGGAATGTGTGAAAGTTGAAGGAATGTGTGACAATTGAAGGAATGTGTGACAGCTGAAGGAATGTGTGACAGTTGAAGGAATGTGTGACAGTTGTAGGAATGTGTGACAGTTGATGGAATGTGTGACAGTTGAAGGAATGTGTGACAGCTGAAGTAATGTGTGACAGCTGAAGTAATGTGTGACAGTTGAAGGAATGTGTGTCAGTTGAATGAATGTGTGACAGTTGAAGGAATGTGTGTCAGTTGAAGGAATGTGTGACATTTGAAGGAATTAGTGACAGCTGAATGTATGTGTGTCAGTTGAAGGAACGTGTGTTAGTACAAGGAATGTGTTTCATTTTAAGGAATGTGTGTAAGTTCAAGGACTGCGTGTCAGTTCAAGGAACATGGGGAATGTGTGTCTGTTCAAGGAATGTTTGTCTGTTCAAGAACTGTGTGTCTGTTCAAGAACGTTGTGTCTGTTCAAGGACTGTGTGTCTGTTCAAGAACGTTGTGTCTGTTCAAGGAACATGGGGAATGTGTGTCTGTTCAAGGAATGTTTGTCTGCTCAAGGACTGTGTGTCTGTTCAAGAACTTTGTGTCTGTTCAAGGACTTTGTGTCTATTCAAGGATTGTGTCTGTTCAAGGACTGTATGTCTGTTCAAGGATTGTGTCTGTTCAAGGATTGCGGGACAGTTGATGGAATGTGGGACAGCTTAAGAAAAATAATACAGTTCCAGGACAGTGTTTCAATTTAAGAAATGTGTGTTCAAAGAATGTGAGTTAAGGGAACATGTGTCAGGTCAAGGAATGTGTGAGTTAAAGGTGTGACAGTTCAACAGAACATGAACAGAACAAGTTTCTTCATTCAATTGTACCATGTTTACACAGACAATAAAAAGACTCTTGCGGGACAGATTATTCCTGATCTAAATATCTGCATCCAACATAAAGGTTAAAACTGTTTTACATGTTTCAGAAACTCACAGATTAGTTCTATGCAGTTTGGGGCTAGAATCTGCAAGCAATCCTTTGAAAAAGAAACTTTCTGACAATACTGAGTGTGCATGACAAGTTAGTTTCAGATGCCAGTGAAACCCCTAATTGATGACACAGTGATAACTGTTGATACTATATACTGCACTCACTCGAAGCAGCTACCTCTGTATGTATAGGTGGTCGGCCATGAATCTAGAAGGAAAATCATATACAAGGATGAGAATGTATTTTCAAATGATTTTTTAAATGTTTTTGTTTAAAAAACACATGGTTTTATAAAAAAAACACACACTGAAAGTTAGCAGGGGTCTTGGGAATGGCATGTATTACAAAAGTGACCCTTCATGTAACGAAATGCATGGAATTCCGCAAATCCGCAGAAAGTTCTCATCCCTGGATACATGTTGAAGAAGCTCCATGTTTCTGCCTCCTCTCACATTCCCCTCACAATACCTGACACAATCAGTCTCAGTGAGTGGGGTTTAAAGCCACTTTTAACAGAACTCAAGCTATATCACGGCACGTACCTAATGATATACCCAAAGTGATGAATGTATCAGACACTTACCACTTGGGTGAAACCTATGAGCATGGGCATGGGTATACCTAGAACGTAATTAGGGTGAACCGGGATTCAAACCCTGTCATAGGTTTCTGGCATGCCCAAGAGAGGCAACTCTGCACAGCACATTGTGGTGCCTTAGATAATGGCCACTTGTCTCAGACACTAAAAGCTGTTTGACACATTGACTTTTCATGTTCACTGATGCAGTCAGAGACTCATCTTCCCGAGGCAAGAGAGTTAACTGACTTTAAAAGTCCAGTTTCCACCCTTGCCGAACTAGGCTGGAATTTCTGGGCTCGATCGTAGCGCCACCAGTGGCTAATACGAGTCATGTCCTTTCTATGCCTCTCCTCTGGACCAATCAGATTCCACCGATCATAGCACTTGCATTTGCTTCAAACCAAATGGCAGCGCCCAGTCAAGACGTTCTGACCGATAATCAAGATCTATATTGTGATAAAACAGGTCTTACATCGCAAAGTGCATCATATCATCTGAGCAGCTTGATTAAAAACATGAAAAGATTTGGAAAATATCTGTAAACGAGTTGGCGGTGCACATGCTTTGCAAATCCTGCAATCAACCGACATCTGCATGACAGTTTACGAACTGGATTTCGATTTCATTGCGCGAATGTGATTGGACTATGCATAGACTCGTCAGTCTAGCCAAAATGTAACTCCGTAATACCAGCCCAGTTTGGCAAGGGTGGAAACTGCACTTTTATAGTCAGATAACTCCCTTGCCTCAGGAAGATGTCAGAGACTTTATCCACTCGCCCGAGGTCCAGCAACATTCAGACCAATCTAGTAAGCTCAGCTAATATTAGACCATATGATAACACTAAAATGTGTAAAAATTGATTCTAAGAGCCAAGTTTGGTCAATATGTCTAGGGCACAAATAGCTGACGAAGAACAATTAACAAGTGAAGCTGCTTACAGAGGCAGAAATTAAGGGGTGAGTGGGTGGGGCATTAATTTAAAAACATAATGTAACCATGGTAACCTTCTCATAAGGCACACGTACCTGAGTATGTACAGAGCCTCCATTAGTGGTGGGCACTTTGACAGTGGGCCTGACTGCTGGATGCTGCTCCTGGTGATGTGGCCGCTGCCGCCATCGACTGTTTTCTGGCAACTCCCGCACACCAAAATCTGAGGAGAAATTGCCTGATCCTCGTTGCCGTACCCACTGGGCCATCTTGTTTACTGGTAGCTTCAAGTAAGTCCAGACTGTACCAGGAATAAACACAGAAAACTGTCTCATCATTTTATTCACAACCAGGTAGGTATCAACCAGAGGGTGAAAAAGTAGTAACTGAACCACGCACTGTAGCTCACCTGAATATGTAGTCGACACAACAGTTTAAGGTGTCAACAAAGCGATCCACTTAACTTAAGTTGCTGTTGTAGTCACATCCCAGTTATGTCACGGCGTGTCAGCTTAATGTGGGAGGAAAGCTCGAAGTAATGCAGATCTCACATGTTAAACACTTTGGTGAAATCCATGAGCATGGGTATGGTGCTGACAAACCAAGAAGCATACTCAGGGCAAACCAGGATTTGAACCCACAACCATAGGTTTCTGGTGAGCCCAAGGGATGCAACTCTGCACAGCAAATTGTGGCACCTTAAGACGACTGAGCCACCCATGCCCCCACTATCATAACAGTGAGTGAGTATGGTTTTATGCTTTTAGCTACATTCAAACACTTTAACCACGAGGCTACCCCGCTGCCCCTACTATCATAACAAGCCTAAATTACCCAATCATAAACATTCAACACAAACTGCTTGATAGCAATGGCCACCAAGTTGGGCAGTAATGAATATCATTTACATGCTGAAGCCAATCAAAGTAATGAATCAGGAAAAACATGATTTGAGTGAGTTGATTTTAACGCCACTTTTTACATATTACAGTTATATCGCGGCGTGTCAGCATAAATGTGGGAGAAAAGCCCGAAGTGATGCAGGTCTCAGACGTTTAAAACTTCGGTGAAACCCACAAGCACGGGTATGGTGCTGACAAACCTAGAAACATAATCGGGGCAAACTTGGATTCGAACCCACAATCATAGGTTTCTGGCGTGCCCAAAGTACACAACTCTTCACAGCGAATCGCGGCACCTTAGCAGCGTTAGAAATTGGCACTAGTCCTGTAGTCCTTACCAAACTGCCCAATAGTAAAGGTATCCTAAGGACTAGTAGAAATTGGCCCATTTTAAGGGTTTTGCTCTATGTTATCATTATAAGGACTAGTGGACAAAATCTGTTAGTTTCTAACCCTGCTTAGACAACTGGGCTACCCATACCCCAGAAAAACATAAAACTTACACGATGAGCCTGTGGATTCCTTCTTAGGTCTCTTAACTTCAACAATCTCAATATCGGAATCTTGACCATCACTGAAACAAAGTGCATACATGTTTAGCAATGAAGAAAACAAAAGTTGAAGGAAAAACAGCCTAATACTATACACGACAAAGCTAAACGCTTTTATTCTCATAACAACCTTTGACTTCAGAAAAATATACAAAGTCATGTGGAGATAATTTGTGACAAAATAACACAACCAAACTATTGTTGAAAAAGGTGTAAGGTTTATTAACATGATATTTCAATTAAGAAACCAAATGTTGATGCATTACTCAGCAGCTCAGGGCTCGAATTAAGGAACTTGATTTAACTTGCACCCAGTGCATGTTGACATGTAAACGTAGTAAGTAGCTGCACCAGACAAAACCAGGTTGCGCTCTGATACCAAAATGTATCATGCACCTAATCGCCAGCACACAAAGTCAGCGATCTAACCCACTCAGCCACCGGGGCTTCCTAAAAAATGAATGTCTGACAACTGGTAGTCTAGATCACGTACTTTGAGTACCCCTCTGACAAGTGTAAATTGGCACGGCTCCCATGGCCGAAAGCTATGAATACACAATGCCATTTAGACTACTAGCCTCAGTGGCTGAGTGAGTTAGATCGCTGACTTTGTGTGCTCGCGATAAGGTGCCTCACTCTGGTAAGTGTGGGGACGGACGGGACTCAACCCCAAAAAAGTACGAGAATCCGTACTTTACTAAGAAAGTGTTATCCCAAATATAACATTTGTTACTCTTAAATACAGTTTCAGCTTGACATTGAGTTAAGGTACTTAAACTTCAAAGCGTATTGCGTTTTCACAATAAGTTATCTGCGCCTCCCAATCAGAGTCGGCGAGTAAATTGGGGTAGGGGGCTAATTTCTAAGGTAAACTTGTTTTAACATTTCACAATTATGTGTGTTTTAAGAGATAATGTGAGTTTAATTTCATTAATTTTACTTCAAAGCATATTATGTTTTCACAATTAGTTGTGTTGCGTGTAGACTAAGGTGGAATATAGTTGGAGTAGAGGCTAATTTCTAATGTAAACTTGTTTTAACATTACAAAATTATTGGTGTTTGCAAGTTACCATGTAAGTTTAATTTAATTTATTTGACCGAGGTCAAAAAAAAAATAAGGTGCCGTTTTCACCAGGCAATAGTAGCTGTTTTCGCTTGAGGCGAGATGACGTTTTCGCCAATCAGTGCCTTTTCACCTGGTGACGTGCCGAGGTGCCGTTTTAGCTATAACCCGTAAAGTTTTACATCAACAACCCTATTTTAATTTCAAGCTAGTAACCTGAGTTCTGAAAAACATGTCAGTGAGCCTGACCACTCGGTCTACTTAGTGGGCTCTGACAACAAGCATAGATTGCTGAAGAACAATTCTAACCCAGATCTTCACTGGTTTTGTATACATGTAGCTGTGGTTATCTCTGACATGTTAAGTGTCTTGAATTATTTTCATAAAGTCAAAGGTGTCTATAGTTATACTTGAGATAGAATTTTTATTTATTTCAAGAATGCAAGACAGGCAATATACGTTTCACGTGGGCTTTAAAAATAATTGCGTAACCTATTTCAGCGGTACATGTACAAAATGCTACATTATAGTTTGGGTGATCAAACTCCCAGTGGGTCGTAATGAAACACCTTTTGGAAATACATGAGATGCTTATGTGGACAATTGATGAATGGCTTAACCCAAACACCTAATGTTTACAAACTGATGGAAAACGGCGCTGTTTTCATTATGATGTTTTGTACACAAAGTGACACCTGCAGACAACAGCCACTTACGTTTCATCAGCAATTCTTTTGCGTTTTCTTGAAACACTGAGGTTTGGTTCCTCGTGGGATGGTTGGAAAATAAACGACTTTATCTTATCGGACACTGAACTGAACATTTGTATTGTGTACGGTGTCAGACTGCATGGAAAATCCCTTTCTCGCGCGAGCGCAACCGGAAGTTTAAATGTCGGCTTTCTTTACAAAAGAGCATACAGAGTTACGTCCCTTGAAAATAGTTTTCTTTGAGTGGTCCGGTTTTCAGTCCACATAAGAATCATTATTGTGTGTATGTTTTATCGTTTCGGACCACCACGGATATTATAATTAGTTTATTATGCAAATATATTATATACAAATATATATTGTGTTGATATTTCGATTCTACAGCACTCAAAAAAAATGTTGTTGTTGTTTTTTGTTGTTGTTGTTTTGTTGGGGTTTTTTTGGTTGTTTTTTTTGTGTGTGTTTTTTTGTTTTGTTTTGGGTTGTTGTTGTTGTTTGTTTGTTGTTGTTGTTGTTGTTTTTTTGGGGGGGGGGGGGGGGGGCGTGTGGGTGGTGCTTTACTTGGTTTACTTGGCTTAAAGTAAAATTAATCATGATGGTTTAAGTTTAGTTTTTGTGATTGTTTGGGTAGGCTTTTGATATTACAAAGCGCCCAAGTGGAATCCCCATTTTTTCAAATTCCTGGACCTGCCCCTGTCTATCATGTTAGGATAGGATAAGTTTTATTCCATACTGAAAGGCCTCAGGCCCATAGTACAATTCTGTTTTCGGGAGTGGTTACAGATCCGTTTAACAGGTCATATTCTAATTAACATAACATGATAAATGAACATTGATAGATTTTTTAGAGTATCTTTATCAGTTGTTGACATGATCGTTGTAAATCTTTGTATAGTGGGATGTACATACATGTGTATCATGTTAAACTAACCACCCGTACTTGACTCCGTATTGCAAAATTATGAACGTAGTTGTAAGCCAATTTTTCAACATATTGCGGTGAACGTTTATTACATTATACATGTGGCGGGAATGTTGGTGATACTTATGTTTTGGGAAAATAGATCATCCTCCCTTCTGAATGAGACAATTCTCGGAGTGGGAATACAGCCCTGTTGAGGACTGCGAGGAGACACCGTCCCTTCTGAATGAGACAGTCCCGGGGTGGGTCGGTAGCCATGTTGAGGACTGCAAGATGACACCATCCCTTCTGAATGAGACAGTCACGGAGTGGGTCGGCAGCCATGTTGAGGACTGCAAGGAGACACCATCCCTTCTGAATGAGACAGTCACGGAGTGGGTCGGCAGCCATGTTGAGGACTGCAAGGAGACACCAACCCTTCTGAATGAGACAGTCACGGAGTGGGTCGGCTGCCATGTTGAGGACTGCAAGGAGACACCATCCCTTCTGAATGAGACAGTCACGGAGTGGGAATACAGCCTTGTTGAGGACTGCAAGGAGACACCATCCCTTCTGAATGAGACAGTCTCGGGGTGGGAATACTGTCTTGTTGGGGACTGCAAGGAGACACCATCCCTTCTGAATTAGACAGTCACGGAGTGGGTCGGCAGCCATGTTGAGGACTGCAAGGAGACACCATCCCTTCTGAATGAGACAGTCTCGGGGTGGGAATACAGCCTTGTTGAGGACTGCAAGGAGACACCGTCCCTTCTGAATGAGACAGTCTCGGGGTGGGAATACAGTCTTGTTGGGGACTGCAAGGAGACACCGTCCCTTCTGAATGAGACGGTCACGGAGTGGGTCGGCAGCCATGTTGAGGACTGCAAGGAGACACCATCCCTTCTGAATGAGACAGTCTCGGGGTGGGAATACAGCCTTGTTGAGGACTGCAAGGAGACACCGTCCCTTCTGAATGAGACAGTCTCGGGGTGGGAATACAGTCTTGTTGGGGACTGCAAGGAGACACCGTCCCTTCTGAATGAGACGGTCACGGAGTGGGTCGGCAGCCTTGTTGAGGACTGCAAGGAGACACCGTCTCTTCTGAATGAGACAGTCACGGAGTGGGAATACAGCCTTGTTGAGGACTGCAAGGAGACACCATCCCTTCTGAATGAGACAGTCTCGGGGTGGGAATACAGCCTTGTTGAGGACTGCAAGGAGACACCATCCCTTCTGAATGAGACAGTCACGGAGTGGGAATACAGCCTTGTTGAGGACAGCAAGGAGACACCATCCCTTTTGAATGAGACAGTCTCGGAGTAGGTCGGCAGCCTTGTTGAGGACAGCAAGGAGACACCGTCCCTTCTGAATGAGACGGCCTCGGAGAGGGTCGGCAGCCATGTTGAGGACTGCGAAGAGACACCATCCCTTCTGAATGAGACGGTCACGGAGTGGGTCGGCTGCCATGTTGAGGACTGCAAGGAGACACCAACCCTTCTGAATGAGACAGTCTCGGGTTGGGAATAGAGCCTTGTCGAGGACTGCAAGGAGACACCGTCCTTTCTGAATGAGACAGTCACGGAGTGGGAATACAGCCTTGTCGAGGACTGCAAGGAGACACCATCCCTTCTGAATGAGATAGTCACGGAGTGGGAATACAGCCTTGTCGAGGACATCAAGGAGACACTATCCCTTCTGAACGAGATAGTCACGGAGTGGGAATACAGCCTTGTCGAGGACAGCAAGGAGACACCATCCCTTCTGAACGAGACAGTCACGGAATGGGAATACAGCCTTGTCGAGGACTGCAAGGAAACACCATCCCTTCTGAATGAGACAGTCACGGAGTGGGAATACAGCCTTGTTGGGGACTGCAAGATGACACACTACCTTCTGATATATTGAGGGATTCATGGCGAAACAATTTATGCACCCTGCCTTGTCCGGGAAACATATATGAGGACATCCTCGGAAGACGGAGAGGACATTCCCGTTTCTGAAACACTCGCCCAACTTATGTTGATTAATACCCCCTCAATGAAGTGGGATGGGGGATTTATGTTTGGACTCCACCCGGTCATCCAACTTGGATACAAGGATGACGTTTACATACATCATTAGGGACAAGCATCATAGTTTCACCTTGACTTACAAAAGTAGGGACCCGTGAAGATTCCGGGATAGAATAGGTCTTCAGCAACCCATACTTGCCATAAAAGGCGACTATATATGCTTGTCGTAAAAGGCGAAAAACGGAATCGGGTGGTCAAGACTTGGTTGATGCCATCGATCCTAATTGCGTGGGTCGATGCTCATGATGTCAATCACTGGATTGTCTGGTCCACACTCGATTGTTTACAGACCGCCGTCATATAGCTGGAATATTGCTCCGTGCGGCGTTAAACAACAAACAAACACAGTTATGGCCCCTGGTTGATCATTGAACACAGTGTACATGCAGTAAACGCCAATTTCTTGAAAACCACTGCCTCTAACAGATGATATTTAATTGTAATTGTGAAGATGTTTTCAAGTTCGAAAGCCGTCTTTGAGAATTAGTATTGTCAGGGGTTGATGTATGTCCCTTCAAATTGTTTTAATTTCTTGTTGAGTTTGCTTGAATGAGGCTGGCGTTCAAGAGCATTGCTTCATATATTTTCATGAAACTGCACCATGCAAGTGATGAACTGGTGCCTTTTATGATTTGGAAAATGTCTTTATCTTTTGCTTTTCCAAGTCAAGACGTTCAAATTTGGGCATGTTTATGTCCGGTTCCAAACTTTACCAAACTTTGCAATTGTATTAAGCTAGTTCTATAGGACTGGAGCATATTGTTTTCACATTTATGGGGTATTATTTGTTTACAGTTGTAAATATGCAAAGATGCGGAGGATATGGATGATTCTGTCTTCTTGTTTTTAATGGTGATATCGAAAGGATGGGGATCGTAAATCTCTGTGGGAGCTTGCGTTTTGTAGTGAGTGAGTGAGTATGTTTTACGCCGATTTTAACAATATTCCAGCAATATCACGGCGGGGGACACCAGAAATGGGCTTCACACATTCGGGAATCGAACCCGGGTCTTCGGCGTGACGAGCGAACACTTTAACCACTAGGCTACCCGACCGCCCCTGCGTTGTGTAGGATCTGAGGTGGAAAATCGAGTGCACACTAATCCATTGACCGGGGTAATAATATGCAACGCTTTGAGTATGCTTTAGGGTGTAGATTTGGGCCGCTGTAAATATGCACATTATCATAGGATCAATCCATTGTTGAATACTATTAGTCCTCGAATAGATGTCTACGGGTCATATATACTGGCCTTTGTTCGGAGCCGACTTCTTCTATTCAAAAGCGATATGCTTTGGTTCCGAAAAGCAACATCTATGAAAAGTTCAAATTGCCCTCTGACATTCGATGCCGACTTTAAGAGTCAAGACCCGAGAACCTTTTATGGTTTTAACATATACTTTCTATCATAAAATGAATGCTACATGACGAAATCAAATAGATCTATTAACAGAAACGTTTCTATTCAAAGCAAATAGTCTCAACATTGGGGATTTGAATACGAATAGTTCGATCTTATCATTCACAGTATAATATCTCAAACTGAGGAATACTTTAGAGTGAGTATGTTTGGTTTAACGCTGCTTTTATCCGTTTTCCAGTTATATCACGGCGTGTAAGCATAATGCGGGAGTGAGTGAGTGAGTTTGATTTTACGCCGCTTTTAACAATATTCAAGCAAAATCACAGCGGGGGACACCAGAAATGGGCTTCACACATTGTACCCATGTCGGGAATCGAACCCGGGTCTTCGGCGTGACGATCGAACGCTTTAACAACTAGGCTACCCGACCGCCCCTCATAATACGGGAGAAACAGATACTAGCCTCAGACATTTACCACTTCGGTGAAACTCACGGGCACAGGTATATGGTGCTGACAAACCTAGAAACATTATCGGGTCGAACCGGGATTTGAACCCACAATCATAGGTTTCTGGCGTGCCCAAGGCACCAATACTTCAAAGATCGACCGGGCCTGGGATCTGTGTTAAAAAGAAAGTATTTTTGCCTTCTAGGGTTTATGCCAACCAAATATGCTCGCTGAACATGCCGGGTGTCCTGAAAAATATATAATGTGTTACTTGTGAAAAAATTAGCTGCTCGGCTCCTCTTTTCAGAGGAAAAAATTGTGTTTTGAATCAGTGACCGAAAAGAACATTATGTCTCCGGCATCCCGGCCCCAACATCGAGAAAATTACATGTCGGGCCCTTAAACGTAGATAAATCTGGAAAAATATATTCTTTTAACAAGGCAGTTAAGCAAAACTGAGCTTTCATATGCTGCGTTTACATAATGCCAAATATATGTAGGTGTGGTGAGATAGCCTAGCGGGTAAAGCATTTTCGCGTCACTCCGAAGGCTCGGGTTTGATTCTCAACATGGGTACAATGTGTGAAGCCCATATCTGTGTTCTCCGCCGTGAAATATATGGAACATTGCTAGAAGCGGCGCAAACCCCTATCATATGCCATGTACAATAATGATAATTTTTCAATCTTTAACTTTAAATAATTTTAATGTTGTCAATTTTTAAAGACCAAAAAACATAACAGTTGTATGTTCTTTGTCATATTCGGCTTCAGTTTCAGATTTCATAAATGCCGTGAAATATGGAAGTGGAAAGGAATTTACAAAAAAAGGAGCCAGTATATAACTTTTCCAACCAAACACTGTTATCTTATCGACACCCGAAGGATAAATTGGTTTTGATTCTATAACTACATGGATATAATCAATATATCAACTAGAGGCCGATTTTACAGTTATTTTGCACTTGACGGCACCCTTGTTTACGCGTTGCCATAACCACAGACGCGCCCTGACCCGCGCAAACGGGTCAATAGGTTTTTAACCAATCAGCGCTGGCTTATACCGCTAGCCCGTAAGTGTGTCAATAATATTCATAACAGATCAATGTGGGAGAGTGGTTTGAGAAGAGAAAGATGAGCAACGTTAAGCAAACACACTTTGATCCTATAGGAGTTACTTACGATGAGGATGGAAATCCAAAAGTTAGCTACAGGTCTGAGGCCGGCACCTCCTCACACCTTCCTTCCTTTGACGCCGAAGAAGATATAACAAATATCTTCGACATCGCCGGCGAGGGTTATGACGTCACACTGTCTCTGGCTCAAGGAAGAATCAGCTGGCGAGCAATGAACCCAAATGGTGGGTATAGATGATTGTTAGATAATATAAAATGAAAGAAGTCTGGTCATTTTCATAAATTGATCATATGGGGATTTTTGTGCATACGACTGCAGTTTTGTCTTGTCAAGATGGTAGATCATATAGAATTAGTGGAAGCTATAGCAGACTTTTGAAACTTCTTGCGTTGTTTTCATAATCATTGTGATGAACATAAAGAGATAAAACATGTAGATATCTAAATAATTTTACTTTATATAAAACGAAAGATGTCCATATTAGTTTCTCTTCCTCCGAATTGTAGATTTTGGATCAGATGGGCTTGTGGTTAAGTGAAGCTCTGTCTTGGTTTGGTTTGGTTTTGGTTTGGTTTTGGTTTGTTGTTTAACGCCGCACTCAGCAATATTCCAGCTATATGATGATTGTTTTTAAATAATCGAGTCTGGACCAGACAATCCAGTGATTAATATCATGAGCATCGATCCACGCAATTGGGGTCGATGACATGCATCAAACCAATGGGTTTAATGTTTACGCCACTTTTAAGAGTATTCAGTTATATCATGGAGTATCAGCTTAATGTTTGAGGAAAGTCCGAAATGATGCAGGTCACAGATATTTACCACTTCGGTGAAACCTACAAGCAGGTGTATGGTGCTGACAAACCAAAAAACAATCCTAGGTTTCTGGTGTGGGCAAGGGACGCAAGATTATAAAGTAGAGTTCTTATTAGTATTACATTAAATTATGTTATTTGACTCGTTAGTTGGCCTTGATGAAACTTTCAAAATTTCCTACATGTCTCAAATATTAATCTTTGAACTTACAAGTTACTTGTAAGAACATCCTGTGTATTTTATCTCAATTCTGTTATGATAACCGTGATCACGATTTAATTAGACTTGCTCAGAGTCCGATATTTGGCCCCAAGTCTGCAGCAAATGATAGTTAAAATTGAATTTGAATTATACATTTTCCAATTCCTGAGAGGTATTGAAAATATTAATAAAATTATTTTTTTAACAATATCACAATGTTGTCCCAGTTTGCCTGCCAAGGGCACTTAGTTTCGAATCCCTGATAAATCCCTGAATGAGTGAGTGAGTGAGTATGGTTTTACGCCGCTTTTAGCAATATTCCAGCAATATCATGGCGGGGGACACCAGAAATGGGCTTCACACATTGTACCCATGTCGGGAATCGAACCCGGGTCTTCGGCATGACGAGCAAACGCTTTAACCACTAGGCTACACGAACCACCCCCAATCCCTGAATGAAAACCCTGAACATATTCACCGTCGTACCTTCGTTTTGAGTCGGTGTTGAATGACACATCTTGAAAGTAGTCCGATACAATTTCAGGATGGAAACAAGAGGTTGTATCAGCAGTGCTCCGCTTGCCTTGCTGCATGACATCTCACAGACAAACAGCATGGGAATGTGTTGTAAAACAAAGACGTCCCTCCCCGATCTTAATACTCAGAAAATCCATAAATCGCTCCGATTATGTTTCTAGGTTTTTGAGCACCATACCCATGTGTTTCACCAAAGTGGTAAATGTCTGAGACATGCATCACTTCAGGCATTCCTCCCACATTAAGCTGACAAGCCATGATAAAACTGGAATACTGTTAACTGATACTCAGAAGAACATTATGAGCTAAATGTCAACATATAACAGTCTTTGCATTCAAGTATATCAGGGCAGTGTGGTAGCTCACTGGTTAATGTGTTTGCTCCTTATGCCAAAGTGTTGAGTTTGATTCTCTACAGGGGTTCAATTGTTTGAAGACCATTTTTGGTGTCCCCAAGATGGAATATTTCTAAAAGTGGCCTAATACCATACTCACACATGCATACACGCACCACACCCCAGGACTCCCACACCCTACACCCCAGTACTCCCACACCCTACACCCCAGTACTCCCACACCCTACACCCCACGACTCCCACACCCTACATCCCACACCCTGCACCCCACGACTCCCACACCCTACATCCCACACCCTGCACCCCACGACTCCCACCCCCTACACCCCACGACTCCCACCCCCTACACCCCACGACTCCCACCCCCTGCACCCCACGACTCCCACCCCCTACACCCCACGACTGCCACCGCCTGCACCCCACGACTCCCACCCCCTACACCCCACGACTCCCACCCCCTACACCCCACGACTCCCACGCCCTACACCCCACGACTCCCACCTGCACCCCACCCCTGACAGATTAACCATAAAATATGAAAGAATCGAGTGGTCCTTAAGTTTTGGCACTATGATGCCACCTTGTAGTGGGACAATACATTGATGCATTGGTGGATTGCGATTTATTATTTCTCGATACAATTATCGATCTCAGTCAGTCATTAAGTTAAAAAATATCGATTCTTACCTTCATTGTTTGCTTTTAATAACTGTCACACCAAACACTAATTAGTTGTGAAAAATTTGTAACTATTTTCATCCATTTCGCCATATGTGACAATGCCAATTGTAAATCGTTAGTGTGCTAGGTATTTGGCCATCCTAGCTATGAGAAAGATGGCTAACGTACCACAGGCAAGAGCACATGCAAGTATCGTGATACGTATCGGATCACACAGTTGGTGTATCGTCCAAGCCCCGATGCCTCTCTATATTCAGATCTGGCAAACATTACATGAAGGTCATATCAGGTGAACCCTGAGTGAACTTTGACCCCCCCACTCAAAATGAAGGATGTGATGGTTTTTGAGCAAATTAAATGTCAGCTTTCAAAACTATTTAGCTTCATTGCTTTATCACCGAGATTCGCAATGTTTGATCCCAAACAAAATGTCCCCACATAGTAAACACTTTTGGGTGTAGATGCCATAAACCTCTAAAAAAAAAAACCAGGGTATGAAAAATATCCACAAGAAATGCCTATGTTACAGAGCTACAGATAAGCAGCATATTTGCGTCAAATACCCCCCCAAATTATCAAAACGCAATTACTTTTAATTAACTTGCATACAGAAACATATGCATTAAATAAAAAACTCAAATGTATAAAAACAGCTTGCGTAAATACCAATTGAAGCTTTTTCAGAATGGGTACAAAGGAGCTAATTTCCGAAACACAATTACGAGCTAATTTGCTTTCTGAGTCACGCCCATATATTTAGAACAGTTATATAGATCAAAAACATTATTTCATTTTTTTTGAAATCTTAAAATGTTCACTACTTTTCGGAAAAACCCAACAGAGTGATGAATAGATGAGTGAAAAAATATTGGTTACCCAATGAAAAATGTAATAACCTAATGAAAATAGGAACCCTAAAGTAAAAAGTCAATTGCTCAAAAAATTATCTGGAGCTCTGATGTTATTTGATATTTGGCATTGCTCATTCTTATTCCTTTTTTAGATCTTTTTGAGAAATCCGAAATGTATTGCTCTGAATGCTTCGCTTGCATGTAAAGACAATTAGCAGTCTTGATGCTGATTGGCTGATAAGATCATTTGACGTGACCTTGTAACATATCTGAATAATATATCTGATTTTCATGACCTTGTAACCCCAGCTGCGTGTTGGGTGCAGATGTACTCATTTGTAGGGATAGAGTAAATGTAAGAAGTCTTCATTGTTGTTTGTTTGTTGTTTAATGCTGCACAATTGGGCAGTTTTGCAGGGACTATAGGACTAGTGCCATTTCTAATGCTGCAATTCAGTGATAACATCATGAGCATCGATATACGCAGTTGGGATACGATGAAATGCATCAACCGAGTCACCAAGCCTGACCCCATGATCCATTTCGTTGCCTCTTGCGACAAACATGGGTTGCTGGGGACCTATATTTTTACCCAGAATCCGCACGGGTCTTCATTACTAATCTTGTTGTAGGGGGCGGTGTTGTAGCCTTGTGGTTAAAGTGTTCTCCTGTCACCATGAAGGCTGGGTTTGATTCCCAACATGGGTACCATGTGTGAAGCCTATTTCTGGTGTCCCGCACCACAATAGACTAACACTTAGTCTCTACAAATACATAATTTTGATAGGAACAAATCACTCCATTTAATTTCGAAAGGAGCCTCAGTGAGATGGGAGATTCAGAACCTGAACCTGTAGAAAATCTAGACTTGCTTCTTGGAGGGCCATAGCATAAGTAAGGACTGGGTGAAAGGGAAACATACTACCTGTGCGTTTCTTATTACCCCCCGGGACGAAAAGGAAGGGAGATATATATGATGGTTCAGTGATTCTACGACAGACTATCACGTGATATTGCCTGAATATTGCAAAACATGGCGTTAAACCACCTCACTCACTCTATTGTTATTATTATTGTTGTGAGAACTCTCTTTGATTCGTTTATGTGTTTTATATGTGTAGGAGGCAAAAAGAAATCCAAGGGCTTGTCATCATTGTTCAAGAGCAGCAAAACCTCTTCGAAGGATACAGATGGTCTTGACCTTGAAGATGCATATGGTGTGAAAATACGGCGCCGACGGCGGGCAGACCAGAGTGAGGGAGAAGGATTCTGTCTTGGGTTTGGACTCTTTACTTATGAGATGAAGGAATCAGCAAATGTGTTGAAAGACAAGATTTTGTTCTTTGAGCATCCAAGTGAAGATGTTTGCATTCGATGGGTGAAACAAATAAGTTCTTACCTGTCTGGTAAGTACAACATCTTTTGTATATTAACAATTACTGATCCTAGATAAAAAAAGCAATGTTAACGCTATAATGGTCAAAAGTCTGGTAGAACAGTGATCTTATTAGGGATCCGGGTTAGAATAGGAATTCAGCAACCCGTGCTTGACATAACAGGCGACTATGCTTGTCGTAAGAAGCGACTGACAGTATCGAGTGGTCTGGCTTGCTGACTTGGTTTATGCATGTTATCGTATCCCAATTGCATGGATCGATGCTCATGATATCAATCACTGGATTGTCTGGTCCAGACTTGATTATTTACAGACCGCCTTCATATAGCTGGAATATTGCTGAGTGCGGCATTAAACAACAAATAAACAAACAAATTTTAGTAGGGATGGGACAGGTGACTCGGGAATACTGGTCAGGTGGGTACGGAGCAGGACCTGGGTACCCATAGTACTACCCGGACCCGTGGTTACTCACTGATATTTTGTTTCATGATAATAACAAAAAATGGTTGCACGTCAAGTCACTAATGTTCGCATTTCTTTCTGACTTAATTGAGTAAAGAGAAAGCTCCAGGTAAGTTCAGTGTATGCATGATCAGATCGTTTTATATGTGTATCTAAATAGTTTTTGCCAGTGCTGCGGTAAAACAATTCCCATTCAGACATTTTGTACCCAACTCTTGAGACATACAGCGGGCACCTGGGTAGGGTCGGGTAATAGGGTGTCGGGTACCCGGGTAGTAAATTTGGACTCATCTCAGCCCTAGATCTTATGATTGTTTTACTACTAAGATTGCTTTGTGGAGTGGGGCCCTGGGCCCCGTTCCACAAAGCGATCTTAGGGCTAAGTTGATTGTAACTTACTAAGTATGCAATCTTAAATTTTTGTTACGATCAGCCTCCCGTTCCACAAAGCAATCTTAACTAAGAGAGTTGTAAGTTAAGATCAAAATGCTAAGTTGCCCCGGACCAACTTAGGATTGCTAAAATCGATCTTACATATGTACCATAACAACAAAGATGGCGACTTTTATTATGGTGTGCAAGGAAATGCGTTGTCTGCTGAACATGACCAAGGGAGGCCACTCCAAGGGAAAATTTCGTATCTTTATGGCTGAAGATTCAGATCTTTGTTAAGATCGGCTACTTAAGAACTTGTAAAGTTACAATCACCCTAAGATCGCTTTGTGGAACGGTTGTAAACTTTAGCTAAGACAATTTTAGAATCGACGTAAGTCTCTAAGATTGATTGTAGTTACGATCGCTTTGTGGAACGGGGCCCTGGTAAGTAAAAATGGTGTCAGTCGGTTGAGAGAGACAGGGAAGGGTCAGCAAAATATATATCATGATATATAGACAATGCAGAATGGTAACAAAATACTGATTTGTGGTAATTAGCACCCTGGGATTTTGAAAATTGACCAATGGTGGCACTTAATGCAACCTTCACATGTTAAGTTGGTTGTTGGAGATCGAGCGTTGCAAAATGGTACTTGGCAAGTCTATACTTCTTCTGCACTGAACGGGTGGCCCAGTCGTCCAAGGTGCAGCGATTCGCTGTGCAGAGTTGTGTCCCTTCGGCACGCCAGAAACCTATGATTGTGGGTTCGAATCCTGGTTCGCCCCGATTATGTTTCTAGGTTTGTCAGCAACATACCCGTGCTCGTGGGTGTCACGGAAGTGGTAAATGTGAGACCTGCATCACTTTGGGCTTTCCTCCCACATTAAGCTGACACGCCGTGATATAACTGATAATACTGTTAAAAGTGGCATTAAACCCAACTCACTCACTCACTCACTCCTTCTGCACTGCTATTTAGTGTGAAAACAAGGAAACAAGGAGTTTTATGTAAATTTTCAAGCTTAGAACGGGAGCTTATAAACTGTTTACAGATTGGAGTAGAGGTTGGTCAGGGTGCTTATTATGACAACTAAGAGGGTATGTAAGTCCAACATCATCAATGTATTGTTATGCATACCAGAATTTTAAAACGTAGTATTTTTGTCATTTTAATCTAAGGCTTAACTGGTAAACTATCGCCAGTGACTGAAGGAATGATATAAATCCAGCCAGGGTCCATGCAGGAAGCAAAGGCACTGTAAGTCCCCATGGTCCCTGGTATGGTGTTCTCCCTTTAGTTACTGACGATCTCTAGCCCATTTTTATACTGTGTTGTTAATTCTTTCTGCTTTTATATGTTCCTCAACTAGTTTTAATACACTCTGTGATATTCTAGTTATTGTACTGTCCTTTGCTGACAGTTTTTTTTTATAAAGTATATATACTTATTTGTTAATAATGTATTAATTCTCGTCACGATATGGCTGAAATATTGCCGAGGTGACGTTAAATATTAACTCACTCACTCACTCACTATTATGACAAATATGAAAGAAATGGTAGAGAAGTATGCACACTTTTAATTTGGGGTCATGAACAGTATGAAAAGAAATTTGACAGTGATAAAATTTATAAATGTAAAAAATAAATGAATAATTCATTCCCAAAATCATGTTTACCATGTTTACATTTGTTAAGATTACCATGGTAACGATGGACAAAGAGAAGGCAGAAAATTCAATTTCAAATATTAATTGGATCAGCCTGGTTCATATTAGCATTAAGTTGATTAACTGCATGTCCGGAAAGGAAAGTTATATTTTTACATGTACAGAATAATTTATTTATCATTAATCAATATGTGTCGTTTTAGAGTCATACTTTTGAGTCAATATTTCGATGCTAAAATTTCCAGTTAAGACACCTCTTGACAGAGGTCAGGAGAAATCTGTTGCAATGAGTGAGTGAGTGAGTATGGTTTTACGCCGCTTTTAGCAATATTCCAGCAATATCACGGCGGGGGACACCAGAAATGGGCTTCACACATTGTACCCATGTCGGGAATCGAACCCGGGTCTTCGGCGTGACGAGCGAACGCTTTAACCGCTAGGCTACCCGACCGCCCCCTGTTGCAATGAAGTCTTGCTTCACTGTGCCTGTTGATGCTGAGCAAGGAGTTAAGCCATCTTGCATCACTGGAGGTATTGATTGTACCTGCCTCTGCAACTGTGGGAGCTTGCTCTGGGAGACCATCACCAGATAACAATTGTTGGTTGTGTCAATAATTAACAAGCACTCGCTCTCAGTGTCAAGTCCCTGAAGCACTCTACAGTGGTAAAGGCAGATGGGATAAAATATCATTAACATTAGATAATGTCCATTCTATGATACAAGAGACATCCGTGATGAGTTCCATCACCTATTAATCTGTACATGTTTTATAGAACAGAGAAATATTTGTGTTTCATTATATACTGAAACGCATTGAAAACGCATCAGAGTGAAATTGAATCCAAATGATATATGGTGTTGGTTGTCTACTACAATCACACTCGACCCGTGAAGATCCGGGGTAGAATAGTTCTTCAGCAACCCATGCTTGTCGTAAGAGGCGACTAACAGGAACGGGTGGCCAGGCTCGCTGACTTGGTTTAAGCATGTCATCGTTTCCCGTTTCCCATCGAAATAACCGTTGTCTGTGCCTCGGTGACCATTGTAGATGTGCATTTCGGTGCTTTAGGGTCAGAATTGACGGGCACGTTAACCAGAGGCGCAGAAAAGGAAAAGAACGAGTACCGAGCAGTCATCAAGTTTTTAACTTTAACCCCAAGAAATTTCATGACCGTATGTCACAAGTGTTTGGCGATAAGTGCCCCAGCTAATCCACTGTGAAATGTTGAGTTTAAGGCTGGGAGAGCAAGCCTTGATGATGACCCTAGGTCTGGATGTCCCTTTACTTCCATCAGTGAAGATTCAATCAAGGAAACAGGAAACCTGTACTGTCAGATAGACCTGATACCATTGCTGGATTTGAGAAAGACACAGGTCTAAACCCAAGATCTATTGAAACTATTATTCATGTACATTTTCAGATGAATGAGATATCTGCTCGTTGGGTGCCAAAGTTTCTAAATTCTTATCTTCAGGAAACAAGAACTGACATTATCAGAGAAAATTTGGAGCTAATTGAGGGGGAATTCATCGAATTCAAAAAGAGATTAGTAATGGGTGATGAAATATGGGTGTACCACTATGATCCCAAGTCACAACCACAATCCATAGAATAACACCATTCCACTTCTCTGGCACTAAAGAAATTTAAGTCTTCTAGTTCATGATCAGTGGAGAAAGTTATGGCCACCTGCAAATGGTGTGATCCTGTTTATTACTTAGAAAGTCAAATGACGATTACTGGTGCATTATACTATGCTGATTTCCTTCATCACCTGAGAGATTCTATCAAAGTAGAGCGGCAAGGAATGCTGACTGCTGGAATTCTACTACTTCATAACAATGCCTCTCCTCAGACCTCTCGACTTGCAAAGACTGCTGTGCAACATTGTGGGTTCGAAGAGCCTCCTCAGCTTCTGAACTCGCCAGACCTGGCACCAAGTGATTTCCACCTGTTTCCTGAACTGAAAGAACACCTTCGCTGAAAGCGCTATGACGACAACAATGACCTCAAAGGCTGTGAATGGCTTTTCAGGGTGGCTTCAGAAAACTTATTCCTGACAGGAATTGAAAAGCTTCACTATCAATATGAGTAGTGTTTTCAAGTGCAGGGAGATTCTGTTGAAAAATAAAATTAAAAGCTTTTGATTGTCAGACTTAGAACTGTTTGACCAGCCCTCGTAGCAGTTGGTTAAGCTGAGTTACAGATACAGAAATTGGCACTACTCCTATAACCCTTGTCAAACTTCCCAATAGTTAAGGTATCAAAAGGGCAAGGAGATTTCCATTTCCAAAGGTTTTGCTATGTGCTATCATTATTAGGACTAGTGGACTAAATATGTTAGTTTCTATTGCTGTATCTTTAGATTTTCATCATTGCCTCCTCCTGTCTTGCGCTTGGCATAAGGGGATAAGATAAACAAATAAACAACACTCAAACACACACTTTCTCGCACACACACATGCACATCGCTAATAATGCTTTCAATGCTACTGTCGAACCCATTTGACAGTGTATGTCGCTAGCTGTGCCGCTACTGTCGAACCCATTCGCCTGGCGAATAACATGAGCACATGTCCAATCAAACTCATAATAACTGTTTTCGGAGCAGGGTTTCATATCATTTAAATTATGTTTGATGTACTCGGCTTGCTAAATCTTTCAGATGTATGTTTACCTCAAAAAGAAAATTCTGCAGGTTAAAAAAGTATCGGTCAAATGTATCAGAACACAACCACCTGAAACGGCCATTGATGACTTGAGTCAATTCAAGTGGAGCGGCATGCAATCCGATATTATAAAAATCTTGAATGAGAAGTTAAACCCGTTTTCACCTCACATCACCAGACTATATATATATTCATATGGTGGCTATATTGTTTTCTGATAACTTAGAGCAGCAATCTTAAAAAGCAGAAACTTTGTTTTGAGAAAGAGTGAAATGGAAAGCTACCAAAAACTGTTTGTTCTGTCTGAAAAAAAACATGCTGCAAGCGACAAGTTTAAGCTTCTGTGTAAATATATTGGTTACCATGGTGGCGAAGCTTTGTTTATGATATTTCTTTCATAATGATATATGAATGAAGGCAGGTTGGATCACCACGGGGAGAAGTTTAAAAAATGTTTTCGCTTGATTCCATAAATGAAATATTCTAATTAAGAGCATATATGTAGTAATATATAATTTATATGATATTATGAATGCTTATTATGTGTAACCTATTCCTAGGTGCTTGTTTGTGAATGAGTTTTCTTTGTTTCAGCAATCAAAGGAAGGCCCAAAACGATCAAACTGTTTCTACAAGAACACGCTGGACATAAGAATGGCCGCTCCTTCTATCGACACACAATTTTACCAATGTTCAAAAATGCTGATGTCAGTGTGGACATGACAGGTTGGTACTCTTCTCTTCATCCACAAGTACCTCATCTTCCCAAGACCACCTCCGCCGTCTAGTGGTAGAGTGTCTGTCCGGAGAGCGGAAGGTCCGGGGTTTGATCCCCGGCCACATCATACCAAAAGACGTTAAAAGATGGTACTTGTTGTTACCCTGTCTGGCGCTTGACATTAAGGGGCTAATAGAAGGACAAATCGGCTCGGAGACAGCATACTGTGTCTGAGGGGCCAACCTTGCAAATGTGTTAACTGTAATAGGATTTGTTGATGTTACTAGCTGCCCAAATTTAGAATAAGACAGGTGCACAATGTAATATTTTGGCAACATATTTCTCAAATTATTAAAATATGGCCCAATCGTACAAAAATGAAATTCTGTTTCTATACATGGAATGACACAAAGTGTACAAAACCTTTGATCTTAGGCACCCCCAAGTCTTCTGCATTCTTTTATCATTCACCTGTGATAAGAACATCGAAACTTTGTCAAAGCAATTCTATAAATAGGAATTGTTACAATTGATAAATATTCTTCAAAGATAAAGTACATTTTTAATGCCCGATACATATCAAGCTTAGAGTTAAGTGCTATTTCTGCAAACCATATTTGAATAGCTATTGCAATGCATCTTTCTTTAAAAGCAGTCATAAAAGAATTATTACACCCAACATCCTGGTTTTGACATATAAACCAAAATCCATATCCAAGCTTTGAATATTTACGGGCCTTTTGATTTAAACCTTTAACCACGAACCTAATGGGCTATTGAACCTTTCATTTCATGGCATTATACAAGTCAATTCTTCAGTCTAATTCATTATACAGTCCTAAAATACCAAACCAAAAATTAATATTGACTAGGTATTCACTATCTTTATGTGAATAATTGAATGTTAGCTCAGCCAGAGTAATTACAGTTCTTGGCCAAAGAATATTTTATTAAATGAAATTTGCCAATAGCTTTTGGCACTAGTTTATGGTGATGGTGGTTGATTAATGATGTAGAATTCCTATTGCAGGGAGAAGCCGTTAATAGCCTACAGGGAAGTTGTTTATTGAGTTTTCTATTCAAGGGATGTTCCTGTTTATTTTGAGCCATTATTGCGTTAATGTATCGGCAAGTCAAATCTGACAATCAGTCAGTATCGCTGTCCTGTGATTTGTGTGTTTGGGAGCAGGCTTCAATCCAGGTTAGATCCAACACTACATGTTGATGTTAAAATTTAAATTTAAAACTGAGATAGACAATTTTAACACACCATATTCAACGTAATAAGCGCTCTCATAATTAGATATAGGAGGCTATTATTAGAATATCATTTTGGTGAAACAAACAGAGTTAAAGGATAAATTTTGTGGTTTATGCCGACAGCCTGAAATGTTTATATACGACAGATATATTTTTCGAGAATTTAATTGCCCATAATTAAGGGTGCAAACAACACACGAGTGCGTATTATACGCAAATAAATAAGTCCTGTGTACATTGATCAATCGGAAGGGGTCTAATTGGGATTGTTCACTAGCCAATATGTTAGCAAATATTGCCGTGGGCGCTTATTAGAGTGGGGCGCTTATTACGTTGAATACGGTAAACTGTTTCCTTTAATAAATGGATGATTGAAGTTGAGAGAAGTGATTTGATTTTTCAGATCTTCAGGGATATTTGTTGTTATCAGATATTTTTATTGTTGATTTAGATCAGAAATCAAAATTTTCTCAAAGAAATGCTTTTCAAACATTGATACAAACAAAATCAAGTTTTAGCTTTGATATGTTATGTGTGATATAGATCAGAAATCAAAATTTTCTAAAATAAATGCTTTTCAAACATAATACAAACAAAGTCAAGTTTTAGCTTTCATATGTTATGTGTGGTACATTTACACCTATTGTGAAGCTTGTCAATAACGTGACATACATAAAAAAAAACAATTTGAGTTTGAAATTTCCTTGTTTTTTATATATAGAATAAATATATGTAAGAGTTGACTTTCACATTGTGTGAGTTCATTGGAGTATGAACCTTCATAGAATCAGGGCTCAACTGTATGAGGGACTGGCGATGACATTCATACAATGGTTAGCTCTCAACGGTGAGTGAGTGAGTGAGTATGGTTTTACGCCGCTTTTAGCAATATTCCAGCAATATTACGGCAGGGGACACCAGAAATGGGCTTCACACATTGTACCCATGTCGTAAATAGAACCCGGGTCTTCGGCATGACGAGTGAACGCTTTAACCACTAGGCTACCCGACCGCCCCTCTCACTCTATGACGGTTCATACTCCAATGAACTCACAAAAAGAGAAAGTAAATATTATTAAGTACACAATTTAATGTTGTACGTGTGTCTTCATGTTTACACTGACAGCCATACAACAGCCAACTGTATAACAGAATAAAATAGTTCATCAAAGGAGAGGTAACATGAACGTTTATCATACCTCCATGTCAGAATGATGAGATCTGATTGGTCCAGTGATCGTGATAAAATACTGTTTAACCTGCCTTGGAGGGTAATAAATTTCTAAGCGGGGGTATAAATCTCTTATACCCCGCCACGAGCAACACAGGCTGCACATGGATTTCTGAGAAGCAGACTATATCCCTCATACCCCGCTTCGGGGCGGTCGGGTAGCCTAGTGGTTAAAGCGTTCGCTCGTCACGCCGAAGACCCGGGTTCGATTCCCGACATGGGTACAATGTGTGAAGCCCATTTCTGGTGTCCCCCGCCGTGATATTGCTGGAATATTGCTAAAAGCGGCGTAAAACCTCACTCACTCACTCACTCATACCCCGCTTCAAAGCAAAAAGCTGCACGCTTTTTCCGAGTCAATCTGACATAGTCATGTGACATTGTCATGTGACATTGCACAAGTTAACCTCATCTCAATCGAAAAACTGTTTTCCTCAGGCTCGTGGTATAAAACCATATAATATGTGGGACACATAAAACCCCATCTACCCCTCATGATCCTGCTACAACTTATAATGTATTCTTAACTTGCTTCACACTTATGAACATCATACACTTATGAACATCATTTTGTTGTCATGTGACTGACCTCTCATCCAATGCAAATCCTGCATATTGTCAAAACTTCACATTAAAATATTATTGTTTCATTGTGCATTGTGCAGTAATTGTAACCCATGTTTGAAAGAATGGTCAAAATTTCTGTCAGATCATTTTTTAACAGAATGCATTTTATGAACACACAATGCCATTTAGAAAGTGGTCAAATGTGACAAATGTTATATTTGGGATAACACTTTCTCTGTAAATTACAGAGCCTAGTACTTTTTTGGGGTTGAGTCCCACCCAGGATTTGAACCCACACTGCCAGAGTGAGCCACCTAATCATCAGTACACAAAGTCACTTAGTGGAAGCCTCGGTGCCTGAGTGGGTTAGATCGCTGACTTTGTATGCTGGCAATTAGGCAGCTCACTCTCGCAGTGTGGGTTCAAATCCTAGGTGGGACTCAACCCAAAAATGTATAAGAATCTGTACACTCAAAAAGTGTTATCCCAAATATAACATTTGTTATAAAAATACGCTTAGAGACCGACCATTTAATACTTAGGTGTGGTGGGGTGTGGTCGAGTCTGGGGATAGTTAAGGTTATGGGGTCCTCCTACATGCTAGTGTAGAAACTATACAAGGACTCACGATCTGTCTTAGCTTAATTAGCAAATTAATATTGTTAAAAGTTTGCTGAGCGGGTTATCAAATAATGAGTAATATCTTTGACTATTTTTCAGAGGTTCAGCACAACGAACACATCAAGCAGGAAATGATCCACATGAACTTGGAGGACTTTGATTGGTATGTTTACAAACGTATAACACCAGTAGGTATAATACATTCATTGTATATGAAGGGGAGGATGTTTTTTAATGTATAATCTGGCCAGTGAAATATAGGAAAAAATTATTGTACTCCATATCTAAGCTGTGATATAAGGGGCATTTTCCTGTGCAGAGTTCTGTCCCTTTGGTGTGCCATAAAACTATGATTGTAGGTTCGATGCCAGATTAGCCCTGATTTTGTTTCTAGGTTTGTCAGCTCCATACCCTTCCTCATGGGTTTCATTGTGGTAAATGTCTGAAGATCTGCATCACTTCGGGTGTTAAACCCAACTCACTTTATAAAACAATTGTCAGATGAATGAATGGATGAGTGCCAACTAGAGTCCTATCATCCTGAAAAGTAGAATTGTTGACTGAATGATGAATTATTTCATCTAAAATATTTTATGACAAATATGTCTGGAAAATATCCCATTTCATAAACAAATAGAATGTTTTGAATTTGAAAAGACCATAAATGACTTTGCATGTAAATAGTTACCATATTTTCTTGAGTATAGTGCGCACCAATGTATAATGCGCACCCCCCTCTAGCGGATTCAATATTTTGGAAAAAAAGAAATTTGAATATTATGCGCAGAAAAAAATTTCCACCGTACCCCTTCAGCCGAGTCCGGCAAACGAACAGGTGATGAGAAACTTTTATCAGTACAAATTCGAAATTTGAGATAAAAAATCACCAGACATGTTGATTTACTGTTTAAATTATATTTTTTGTTCTACTAGGCATTGTTTTATATCCAGGGATTAAGTTTACCTTGTGTATTTTCTCGTAAACTAAGCCGGACACAGCAATCAGCTGTACACACGTTCTCTTGGAATCTACCGGTGATTCGGTCAAGACACACCCAATGATATAACTTTACAGTATTTTTAATGCAAGGATCGGCAAAAATTGTATCTGCAACTTTTTTTTATCAGGAATAATATATTCCAATATCTTGTTAATTTAGATGCAGCTTTTACTAAACATATTTAAAATAATAATAACCATAAGCGAAGCAGCTGATCGTTATTGCCGGGTATTATTTTTTACATGGAACCAGTCTGACAATTCACCGTCAAGGCTCCCGTGCACGTGATCGCGAGAATTACGTGTTGACATAGAATCGTCCAACAAAAACAAATATGACTTTTAACGATTCAAAGTATGGTATGTATGATATATGTATCCATTCTCTGTCAACTAAAGTTTGTTTCAAGGCGTCAATAGCAGTAATCTGACCGTGGTTGCTGTTAATAACGGTGAGTTGTTCGATCTTCCGATCGCTTCACACACGATTTCGCCGCAATTAATTAAAACAATATTAAAAGGAATTTTGAATAAAATTAATGAAATAAGTTACAAACATAAGTCCAGATATACAAAGAACACTTTTTATAGCCAGACAGTGTAATTACATGAATAATTTGCGTACTTCAGTATGGATTTGTTGACATGGTATTTTCCGGTGTTTCGTGCTCACGGTAATGTCTTTCCATGGAAAAAACATAAAAACTCATAATTCGTGTATAATGCGCACCCCCTTCTACACAGCTGTGTTTCTTGGAAAAAAGTGCGCACTATACTCAAGAAAATACGGTACATATCATATTACAGGTGACAAGTGATATCTGAGAAAATAATGTCACGATATGGAAGGCTGATAGGCTTGTCAGTGCAAGTTTTCGATGTTGATGTGATTGCCCTCAATGACAAGGTTCTGTAGACATGAAAGACTGATTCACAGATAACATGATCTCTCTTAAAGAAGTGGGTTACAATTGGTCTTCAACAACCCATGCTTGTCGTAAGAGGCGACTAACCGGATCAGGTTGTCGAGCCCACTGACTTGTTTGATGCATTTCATCGTATCTAAATTGCATAGATTGATGCTCATGATGTCAAGCACTGGATTGTCTGGTCCAGAGTATTAACAGACCACTGTCATATTGCCAAAATATTGTTGATATATCGTTAACCAACAAATAAAGAAAGAAAGAAACAAACTGTTAAGATGACATCAATTTAGCCCTGTTGCCAGTAAACTCTACATGTGGGAACTCATTTGGTGATTGTGTGGCCACAATAACTCCTGAATTCCTATGGACCTTAGTGATGCAGCACTCTACGCTGTGACCTGTCACCGTGGCATGCTCATGCTTTCAGCCTCTGGTTCTCCTGCTCCAATCAGAGTCCATATTGGAGGTCATGTGATCATAATGAGTGACCCTTATTCTCCTTGATTTTCGACCCACCCTTGCAGAATCATTGTTTATTTATTTTATTTTCCAGCATTGTTGCATGTGGTGGAGATGGGACTGCATGCAAGGTGGCGGATGCTCTACTCAACCGATGGCAAAAAGACAATGATATCGATGTGAAGCCAGGGTTTACACCTGCCAGGTGCCATATTCCATTAGGCATAATTCCCCTTGGTAAGTAGCTTATATAAGGTATAATACCCACAGGTAAACAGTTGGTATAAAGAATAATAACCACAGGTAAACAGTTGATGTTAGGCATAATAACCACAGGTAAACAGTTGATATAAGCCATAATACCCACAGTTGGTATAAGGCATAATACCCACAGTTGATATAAGGCATAATACCCACAGTTGATATAAGGCATAACACCCACAGTTGATATAAGACATAATACCCAATGTCAAATAACTAGTTCTTTCCAACTGTAACTGACTTATTGAATGCTTGAAATAATGATGATGATTATTATTACAATTACTCTGATTATGTATTTGGATGAACATGTCACATTGTTATATTCCCAGGTCTGACCAATCACATCGCAGGGTCTGTCGTTGGCACAGTGGAACCTATCTCAGCAATACTGCACATCTTATACGGTCAGTATGTCAACGGGTGGGGATTACAGGGCACACTGGGTTCCTAGTGAGTCAACAATACTCGGGGTTGGGGGATACAGTATTGGGTGAGTGATATAAAATAGGTCTGGGACAAGTCCAAATTTACAACCCGTGTGCCCAACGTCCTATTACCCGACCCTACCCAGGTACCTGCTGTAGGTCTCAAGAGTTGGGTACAAAATGTCAGATTGGGAATTGTTTTACCAGAGCCCTTTCAAAAACTATTTAGATACATGAATGAAACCATCAGATCATGCGTACACTGAAGTTGACTGAAGCTTTATCTTTACTCAAACATATACAAGTCAAAAGGAATGTGTGCATCGTCAGAAAGAAATGCCAACTTTTTGTGTCTTGTGTAACGACTGAGCTATAGTGAGTTTTTGTCATTAAACAATATATCACGTGACTAACCACGGGTCCGGACAGTCCTGTGGGTACCCAGGTCCTACTTAGTACCCACCTGACTGGGGTACCCGAGTTACCCGTCCCATCCCTAAGGAGGGATGCATAAAACCCCATCTACCCCAAATGATCCTGCTCCAACAAATTTATCCTACCGACATGTTTTAATATGACATTTGTAAAAGAATTAAAACAAATTCAAAACTGATAGAAAACAGCGGTTTCAATTGAGCTAAGGTTAACTTGTGCTATGTCAGGTGACTTTCACTGGCTTGGAAAACGTGTGCACGTTTTTGCTTCGAAGCAAAGTATAAGGGATTTATTCTGCCTGTCAGAATCCAATGCAACCTGTCTTGTTCATGGCGGGGTATAAAGGATTTATTCCCCTGCTGAGAAAACATTTTCCTCAAAGTTTGGAAAATAGTATTTGATCACGTGAAGCAATCAGATCTCATCATTCTGACATGGAGTTATGATAATGTGTGATGTAGATGGCCTGTACAGAATATACCCCATCTGCCTCTGTTGTTACCCATCTGCTCCACATTCATTAACAGGATGTAATTCACCTGTAATACGACTGATTTCAACATCGACCAACATTAACTCAGTCTCTCCTTCTTTGATCACAATAATGTTGTTATGAAACTGAAATATTGTTCTTATGAAACTGAAATATTGTTCTTATGAAACTGAAATATTGTTCACAGGAAACTGAAATATTGTTCTCATGAAACTGAAATATTGTTCTCATGAAACTGAAATATTGTTCTTTTGAAACTGAAATATTGTTCACAGGAAACTGAAATATTGTTGTCATGAAACTGAAATAATGTCGTGAAACTGAAATATTGTTCACATGAAACTGAATTATTGTTCACATGAAACCAAAATATTCTCATGAATCTGAAATATTGTTCACTTGAAACTGAAATACTGTTGTCATGAAACTTAAATATTAATCACATGAAACTGAAATATTGTTCACGTGAAACTGCAATATTCTTCTCACGAAACTGAAATATTGTTCAAAGCAGTGTTACAATCAACTCACTCAAGCTCATAAGCATGATATGTCTGAATAAAATATGCGTTAAGAAAATATTGTTTTTCGGGAATGTTTTGTTATCAATATATAACAACATGTTTATGTGTTTTATCACAGGTCATAAACAACATGTAGATGTGTGTTCCGTGTATTCCGAGGACAAGTTTCTCCGATGGGCATTCAACTCCCAGTATGGGTTTGCTGGCAATGTACTGTCTTTCCGCAGCCGGTACAGCTCACTAGGGGCCAAGAAGCTGGATGTTGCATTTATCAAAGCTTTAACTAAAGCAAAACTCAGGTAAAACATACAAGGATGATTGCTAAGTTATAAGCATCACAGTCACATGGAAGGAATTGCTTAGGCTTAAAAAATAAAAGAATTCGTTCTCAAGCAATGGCTTTTGAAAATATAGTATGGGCGGTGTTTTTTAAAATATTTGGTTGTTCAAGTTCCTATGTAACCAAATTTTGTTTACTATAATGTCGGCGACATATTCATGTTGTTCTTAAGTATCTACATATTAAAATAATCCTATATTGTGAGAACATCCATTTGGTGTTAGGGACATATTCAATAAGGTGACATAAAATATTTGTTAGAATTGGTCTTCAGCAACCCATGCTTGTCTCCATCCACGAAAATCTAGGTTAGAATCGGTCTTCAGCAACCCATGCTTGTCTCCATCCATGAAAATCTAGGTTAGAATCGGTCTTCAGCAACCCATGCTTGTCTTCCCCCATGAAGATCTTGGTTAGAATGGGTCTTCAGCAACCCATGCTTGTCTCCATCCATGAAAATCTAGGTTAGAATCGGTCTTCAGCAACCCATGCTTGTCTTCCCCTGTGAAGATCTGGGTTAGAATGGGTCTTCAGCAACCCATGCTTGTCTCCCCCCATGAAGATCTGGGTTAGAATTGATCTTCAGCAACCCATGCTTGTCTCCCCCCCGTGAAGATCTGGGTTAGAATTGGTCTTCAGCAACCCATGCTTGTCTCCCCCCGTGAAGATCTAGGTTAGAATTGATCTTCAGCAACCCATGCTTGTCTTCCCCCGTGAAGATCTGGGTTAGAATGGGTCTTCAGCAACCCATGCTTGTCTCCCCCCATGAAGATCTGGGTTAGAATTGATCTTCAGCAACCCATGCTTGTCTCCCCCCCATGAAGATCTGGATTAGAATTGGTCTTCAGCAACCCATGCTTGTCTCCCCCCATGAAATCTAGGTTAGAATTGATCTTCAGCAACCCATGCTTGTCTTCCCCCGTGAAGATCTAAGTCAGAATTGGTCTTAAGCAGCCCATGCTTGTCATCAGAGGCGACTCACGGGATCGAGTGGTCAGGCTCGCTGACTTGGTTGATGCATGTCATCGTATCCCAATTGCGTGGATTGATGCTCATGATGTTAATCATACTTGGGTCTTCAGCAACCCATGCTTGTCTCCCCCCCGTGAAGATCTGGGTTAGAATTGGTCTTCAGCAACCCATGCTTGTCTTCCCCCGTGAAGATCTTGGTCAGAATTGGTCTTAAGCAGCCCATGCTTGTCATCAGAGGCGACTAACAGGATCGAGTGGTCAGGCTCGCTGACTTGGTTGATGCATGTCATCGTATCCCAATTGCGTGGATTGATGCTCATGATGTTAATCATACTTGATTATTTACAGACTACTGTCATATTGCAGGAATATTGCTGAGAGTGATATAGTCTCCAGCCATGCTAAAGCAATGTGATATTTGTTTTCAGATCTTACCACTGTGATGTAGAATATATTCCGGCTACCGGCATCAACACGGCCGTGCTCAACACACCATGTCGAATAGGGTAGGTCGTAGTTCGAAATAGCCATCATTGTCAATACTCCATTGGCTTGTCAATGCTTCATTCCTCCTTCAGACAGACACCTTTAGCCACCACAAGGTAGTACAGTGATATTTGTAACCAATGATTCACACCACAGGACGCTGCCAATGAGGGTACTGACCAACCAATGCTCCATTAAAAAACAGATGAATAATCTACCTTACCAAATCTGATTGAGATTGCAGGGCATCTGTTTATGTTGTTCCTTTCAAAAGATAAATCAAGGGCTTGACCACAAGGCTAGGATTAGTAGATGATGCATGTGTTTATATTGTCTGCATGTCCAACCCATGATCCACACTGATGTGTGTGATGTTGCAGGTGCCGCGTGTGTTGGCACGAGGACAGCAGCGACCAGGACAGCGTCACTCAGGACCTGGTGGAGGAGCTGGACCCCCTGGCTAACTCCGGCTCCAGCAACTCCCTCATAGGTGACTCCCACATCTACAACACACAACCTGTACAATACACAACCTGTACAACACACAACCTGTACAAAATACAACCTGTACAATACACAGCCTGCTCAATAGATAACCTGTATAATAAACGTGTTCAATACACAACCTGTTCAACACACAACCTGTTCAATATACAACCTGTTCAATACACAACCTGTTCAATATACAACCTGTTCAACACACAACCTGTACAATATACAACCTGTTCAATACACAACCTGTTCAATACACAACCTGTTCAACACACAACCTGTTCAATATACAACCTGTTCAATACATAACCTGTTCAACACACAACCTGCACAATATGCAACCTGTACAATACACAACCTGTACAAGACACAACCTGTTCAATACACAACCTGTTCAATACACAACCTCTACAAAATATAACCTGTACAATATACATCCAGTTCAATACACAACCAGTTCAATACATAACCTGTACAACATGCAACCTGCACAATACACAACCTGTTCAATACACAACCTGTACAATATACAGCCTATACAACACACAACCTGTACAATACACAACCTGTGAAATACAAACAACCTGTCAAATACAATCTGTAAAATACAAACAGCCTCAACAACACACCACCTCTACACATAGGAGCACTAATTATATGAATCATTCAATTATAGCATTTTCTATTTTCTTTTGCCAGAAATTGATCATGACAGTCCCTGGAAGACAGTGAAAGGATCATTTCTGAATGTTGGTGTGCTGACCTTACCTGGGCGCAGTGAGTTTGCCCCGAACGGTCTCAGTAAGTTCACCCATCTGTGTGATGGCAACATGGACTTGGTGCTGGTCAAAGACACGGACAGGAAAGAATTCATTCGGTTCCTAAGAAGACATGGCAATGCCAAAAATCAAGTAAGTCGTTGTTTCAGGACACCACTACTATGAGAATACCTATACATTTATTCTGTGTATTCTTCTTCTTCTTCTTCTTCTTCTGTTTCAGGACACCACTAGTATGAGAATACCTATACATATATTCTGTGTATTCTTCTTCTTCTTCTTCTTCTTCTTCTTCTTCTGTTTCAGGACACCACTAGTATCTGAATACCTAAACATTTATTCTGTTTCTTCTTCTTCTTCTTCTTCTTCTTCTTCTTCTTCTTCTTCTTCTGTTTCAGGACACCACTAGTATCTGAATACCTAAACATTTATTCTGTTTCTTCTTCTTCTTCTTCTTCTTCTTCTTCTTCTTCTTCTTCTTCTTCTGTTTCAGGACACCACTAGTATCTGAATACCTAAACATTTATTCTGTTTCTTCTTCTTCTTCTTCTTCTTCTTCTTCTTCTTCTTCTTCTGTTTCAGGACACCACTAGTATCTGAATACCTAAACATTTATTCTGTTTCTTCTTCTTCTTCTTATTCTTCTTCTTCTTCTTCTTCTTCTGTTGCATCAGAGCAGTCAATAAATGATTGTTTTGTATCTTAACAAATTTGAAAAGGTTTCTCTCAACATGCCTGTAATATGGGTTTGATTCTTAACAGAGATGTTAAATTTAAAGTTCATTTCTATTATAATGCGTTGATAGCCCATGCTGAAGATGTTCCACACAACGATCTTAGTACATATATTCTGTGTATTTTCCTGTGAAAAGGTTGTATTAAGATTGTCAATGTGTTGTTATTTGATGATCTTTCATGAAATTGTGATCCTGCAGTATATAATGTGATCTTTCATGAAATTGTGATCCTGCAGTAAATAATGTGATCTGTCATGAAATTGTGATCCTCCAGTAAGTAATGTGATCTTTCATGAAATTGTGATCCTGCAGTAAATAATGTGATCTTTCATGAAATTGTGATCCTGCAGTATATAATGTGATCTTTCATGAAATTGTGATCCTGCAGTAAATAATGTGATCTGTCATGAAATTGTGATCCTCCAGTAAGTAATGTGATCTTTCATGAAATTGTGATCCTGCAGTAAATAATGTGATCTTTCATGAAATTGTGATCCTGCAGTATATAATGTGATCTGTCATGAAATTGTGATCCTCCAGTAAGTAATGTGATCTTTCATGAAATTGTGATCCTGCGGTAAATAATGTGATCTTTCATGAAATTGTGATCCTGCAGTAAATAATGTGATCTGTCATGAAATTGTGATCCTGCAGTAAGTAATGTGATCTTTCATGAAATTGTGATCCTGCAGTAAATAATGTGATCTTTCATGAAATTGTGATCCTGCAGTATATAATGTGATCTTTCATGAAATTGTGATCCTGCAGTAAATAATGTGATCTGTCATGAAATTGTGATCCTCCAGTAAGTAATGTGATCTTTCATGAAATTGTGATCCTGCAGTAAATAATGTGATCTTTCATGAAATTGTGATCCTGCAGTATATAATGTGATCTTTCATGAAATTGTGATCCTGCAGTAAATAATGTGATCTGTCATGAAATTGTGATCCTCCAGTAAGTAATGTGATCTTTCATGAAATTGTGATCCTGCGGTAAATAATGTGATCTTTCATGAAATTGTGATCCTGCAGTATATAATGTGATCTGTCATGAAATTGTGATCCTCCAGTAAGTAATGTGATCTTTCATGAAATTGTGATCCTGCGGTAAATAATGTATCTATAAGCTAACTTAATTGGTTTGTTTTCTTCTTCTTCTTCTTCTTTGAACCCATGTCGGGAATCGAACCCGGGTCTTCGGCGTGACGAGTGAATGCTAGACTACCCCACCGCCCTATAGCTAATTGTAGATGATGATGATGATGTTGCCTCAGAGCAGTCAATAAATGATTGTTTTGTATCTTAACAAATTTGAAAAGGTTTCTCTCAACATGCCTGTAATATGGGTTTGATTCTTAACAGAGATGTTAAATTTAAAGTTCATTTCTATAATCCTCAACCATTATAATGCGTCGATAGCCCATGCTGAAGATGTTCTACACAACGATCTTAGTGCCAGGGTGATCGTAACTCCCACACTTTAACATAGGCTTATGACAGTCATAGTGCTGCAATCGCTTTGTGGAACGGATCAGTTGATTTTATTCATGTATTTTGTTCTTTTTTCAGTTTGACTTCCCATTCATTGAAGTGCATCGTGTAAAGGAGGTAAGATTCCGCCCCCGATTACCGACCAGCTGGAAACACAGAGACCACAGTTTCAGTGAGATTGACTATGAAATGTCAAGACTCAAAAGTAGGAAAAGTAGCAAGTCAGCTGAGGTGCTCAATGACTTTGATCTGGACGAAACCTTCATGACACGCAGAGCATCTCGATCTGACTTCAGAAGGGCAGACAGTGTGAAGGCTTTGAACGGAATGAGTGATTCGGATAATGATGATGACGACTCTGGTGATTGTTCTGATGATCTTGATGGCGACAATGATGATCGACAGAGGCGGGGAAATCCAAGACGGCGACAGAGTGAGGTATGAAGATAAAGGAATTTGATTTCATCAACTTGTTGAAGTAGCTAAATATGAATACAAAGTTGGCAGCCAGTGACTATATGGGTCACAGATTGGCCACTTTTGTTGATAGGACAGTGGTTTAAGTGTTGGCTTGCTTCACACAAGGCCAGGTTCACTTCCCAAATATGTAGAATGTGTGAAGCCAATTCCTGGTGTCCTGTCAGGGTTTCAGTGGAATCGCCAAATTCTGTTTTGTGAGCTTCATCTTGATTATCTGTATGATGTAGATGAGCACAGCAAGCTGCACGAACTGTGTGACTGGCAATCTAGAGTGAGTGAGTGAGCGAGTGAGCGAGTTGGGTTTAATGCTGCTTTTAACAGTATTCCAGTTATATCGCTGAATGTCAGCTTAATGTGGAAGGAAAGCCCGAAGTGATTCAGGTCTCAGACATTTTACCACTTTGGTATGGTGCTGACAAACCTGGAAACCTGGAAACATAATTGGGGCAAACTGGGCTTCGAACCCGTAATCATAGGTTTCTGGCGTGCCCAAGGCACGCAACCTAAGTTGTAGCAGGATCACTAGAGGTACATGGAGTTTTATGCATCCCACGTTAGGTTTCATACCACGAGCTTTTCAAGGAACTTTTGTTTCCTGGATTCTAAAAGATTTGTAGCCGGTTCTAAAAGAATTAAGTTTTCCACTGTTATCAAATATTACTGCTGCCGTGCATATGCGGTGGGAAATGTTACCTGCACTTGGTGCAACCTGGCAATACACGTTACCTGCACTTGGTGCAACCTGGCAATACAAGTTACCTGCACTTGGTGCAACCTGGCAATAAAAGTTACCTGCACTAGCAATGTTTTACCTGCACTGGTGCAGCTTGGATATAGCGAAATCGATCCCTGTATGTACAGTACATAACTTGGTTATATCGAACAAGGATATAATACATTTTCAGTATAAGGAAGTATTTAAAAAGTCAACTGCATTAGTATATATTATCATATTAAATTCACGCGAGTAACGATTTCTTCAGAACGAGTTAACGGCTATATAGCGAGCTGATTTTTTATCCCAAAGAAATATAAAACTCAATATAGTGTAACAGGAGAAATGAACCGGTCAAACTCAATCCCTGCAACCCTTAATGTACATTTATCAAAAATATCCCTGCTGTCTCTACAAGTGCATGCTGCATCAGAGTCAACCTTGGTTATAAAAGATGTAATTTGTACATTTTTACAGATTTTCAGATTTGAACCTCAGCATCATCACTCATTATCCACATGATGGCAAAGCAATGATTCTCCAACAGAGTTATCTCCCTTCTATTGTCAGCGTTTGATGAAAAGGTTCAAATAATGGACGCAATTTTCTTGTGCTTGTCCTCCACCGATCTGTTTCACTTTCAGCCTGTGAATCCCCTGCACCAGAAGCCTCGCTACGTGGGGCCCCAGTACAGGCTCACCTTCACCGAGCAGGAGAGAGCCAAGAGGCAGAAGGCACAACGAAAAAAGGAAGAAAAAGCTAAGAAAAAGGAGGAATCCCGCCTGAATTCTTATTGGAATCTTGACAACGAGCTCTGCCAACAACGAGAACTTGATTTCAGGTAGGATTTTGTTTCATAGTGTTCTAAAGTTTGTGTGTGCCTCGTCAGATTGAGTGAGTTGTATTTAACGCTACTTTGAACAGTATTTCAGTAATGGCTTGTCAGCTTGCTTTTGGCCATCAGGAAAGGAAGGGACTGACTGACAGACTGAGTATGGTTTTACACCGCTTTTAGCAATATTCCAGCAATATCACGGCGGGGGACACCAGAATTGGGCTTCACACATTGTACCCATGTCGGGAATCGAACCCGGGTCTTCGGTGTGACGAGCTAACGCTTAACCACTAGGCTAGAAAGGGATGAGGCAGTCTTTTCTTACATGTGATGCAAATATCTTTCTACGTTTTTCTGTCACTTCCTCAAAACATGCGATTTATTCACTGAAATGAGGACTTAAACAATTTTCTTTAAAGCCACAACCAGCTGTCCAGTAAACAAACTGTTTGGTTTTGTAAAGCCTGAACCAAACTATTCCCCCCCTGCATTTTCGGGAGCAAATTATATTGTTCCAAAAACTCTATCCCCAAGACTATCAAATAGGAGGTCTCTAATGGGATGTCCCCATATGTGTATTAATATGTTTGTTTCGTTCCTCTCTCTGATATTAACTGTTGTAAATGTTATGAACAGGTTTGATCTGCTGACTTATGTACATGTAAACAAGTACTTATAAATGTGTTTCCTGTTTCCCTTCAGAGTACACCATGGCCTTCTGCAAATATGTGGAGAAGGCGTGTCACCTGACTGTGACAATGTGGAGGTCACTATGACTTGTTTACAACTTGTCAAATAGGTCATTTCATGGACATCATTGTTCAGGGTCATCAAGGATCATTGCCATCAAGGGTCATGGCCATCGAGGGTCAAGGTCATCAAGGATCAAGGTCATCAAGGATCATTGCCATCAAGGGTCATTGCCATCAAGGGTCATTGCCATTAAGGGTCATGGCCATAAAGGGTCAAGGTCATCAGGGATCATGGCCATCAAGGGTCATGGCCACCAAGGGTCAAGGTCATCAAGGACCATAGTCATTAAGGATCAAGTCATCAAGGATCAAGTCATCAAGGATCAAGTCATCAAGGATCAAGTCATCAAGGATCAAGGTTGCAATAGATCTAGGTCAACGATCATTTCATGCTTTCATTCTCATTACTTCATCATTATATATTGCATTAATTGTTTCCCCTGAGGTCTATGACAATGAGTTGATTCAGTTCTGAAGGTCACAGTCAGTGTGTGGAAGATCTCATGATGGATAATCACCTGGTTATGATCACTGATGTTAGCACACTATTTCAAGTACATTTTGCGGTTTATCATTATGATGAAATCTGGGATAACTTTCTGATACTGTTTTGAAATTGAAAACATTAAGGGACTGGCCATTTGCTACTCTAGGGATTATATAGGAAAACAGAAATTGTCCCCGAATATTCTTGGAGAAAATAATATTGCTTTAGACTGTTGAAAAATAGAAAGAAATTTCCTGCCACAAAATGACATTTTTGCAAGGTTTTTTTTCTTACAAAATACATTCAGGCTCATAATTTTAAGTAACAGAATATCTGGTTTTGTACATACTGTAGCCGAAAATATATCTAATCTGGATACAAAATCCTCGGTCCCCTGCCAGAATATCAAATGGTCGGTCCCCAATGATTGTCATTAAATCATGATCATATTCAAAGATTCACACTCAAGTCTACAAGGAAGTTGTCATATGTACAAATCACATTGTTCATCATCTGCTGAGATTTTAGTACTAACTATCATATTCAGGGTGTAACAATAAGCCAAACATTATGATATGATATCAGTATTTGAATGGTGCTGTGACGTTTTGTGTGACATTTTTATCACTCATAATCAAGTTTTATATAAAGAACCCATTGAATATCACAGGAATGCTATCCACACAGGTCAACTTTGTGAGTTGCAGCAAAGTGTTGTGTACGGTTTTTGACATCCTGAATCAGCCTCATCGGTAGCCATGGTAACCATTGTCAGAGATTACATCTGGAACCTTGTATTTTGTTCCATAATCAAACATTAGTCTTTTACTAGGCAGAATACTTTTTTTGGTATGAAAGCTCTGATAAGATGCTTTCTTGAATTGGTGCTTTACTGATGGAGGACCTATGAAGATACAGGTTAAAGTAGGTCTTAGCAACCCATGCTTGTCGTAAGAGACGACTAACGAAATGGGGGGTTGGCCTTGCTGACTTGGCCGATGCAAGTCTTCTATCCCAATTGCATAGATTGTGATGTCAATCACTGGATTGTCTGGTCCAGATTCAATTTATTTATAGACCACCGTCATATAGCTGGAATATTGCTGAGGACAGCATTCAACAACAAAAAAATAACAAAGAAACAAAACTGAAAGAGGAGCTCTGGCAACCAAGAAGTACTTTATATATTCTTTAAAGATTGTTAACAAATACCAGAAATAAAAAATACTGATCCATGAGTATGGCAGACTAATAGCAAAATCGTTTGTGCTTTTGTGTATGTTATAAGTTGTAGAAGGATCACAAGGGGCACAACCTAACGAGGGATGCATACAACCCCGTGTGCCCTGTGTTAGGTTATACCACTCACCTCCGGCTTGTGGTTAAAAAACCTAACGAGGGATGCATAAAACCCGATGTGCCCCTCCTGATCCTGCTACAATGAATTTATCTTTCTGACATGTTTCAATGTGATGTAAAAGAATTAACAGCTGTTCGTTAGAGCTGAGGTTAACTTGTATTATGTCACGTGACTTCCATTGACTCGGAAAAAGTGTGCAGCTTTTTGCTTTGAAGCGGGGTATAAGGAATTTATTCTGCCTGTGAGAATTCCACGGGCAGTCTGTGTTGCTCGTGGCAGGGTGTAAGAGATATATTCCTGACGTAATAAGCGTCCAGGGCGCTCTCAAAATTAGAAATAGGGGGCTCTTATTAGATAATTATTTTGGTGAAAAAAACGGAGTTATAAGATAAATTTCGCGGTTTATGATGACAGGCTGAAATGTTTATATATGACAGATATATTTTTCCAGAATTTAATTGCCCATAATTAAGGGTGCATATAACACACAAGTGCGTATTGTATGCGAATAAATAAGTCTTTTGTACATTGATCAATCGGAACGGGTGCTAATTAGGATTGTTCACTAGCCAATATATTAGCAAATATCTCCATGGGCGTTTATTAGAGCTGGGCGCTTATTACTTCGAATACTGTAAGTTCCCTTGGCAGGCAAATTGGGAGAAAAATCATTTTGTTTAAAATTTGGATTCTTTATTTTTTAATTCTTACTTTCTGCATTCAGGGCAAGGATGCAAGACTAAATGGAAATGGGTCTACCATCACTGGTCCTTTTACCGGTGAAATACATGTCACCTCAACAAGGCTTTAATGTCAGTTGAATATTATGACATGGGAAAATGTTATTCCAGTTTGTAATTGTTCACTGACATTTGTTGCAGATTTGGCCTGTGAGCAGGACCAGATAAATCCCTGTGATTTATATCAATCTTTAAGTGGGAGAAACACATCAGAGGGTTTTTATGAGATTTAAATCCCAAATCCAAGGGATAAAACCGAGGGTCAGGAGCCCCATGGTTTTATCCTGAGGATGAGGGTTTTAGATGTGATAAAAACCTGAGAGTAAGTGTTTTATCTAGCTTCCAAAGTGAAAATCCTGGTGTTCTGGTACTTGAAAAAGACATTGTGAAAAGCATTTTGATTTATCAGTGCGTCTGTAGCCTAGTGGTGCACTCACTGGACTCAAGATGCAAAGGTTGTGTGCTCGATCCAGGGGAATGTAAAGGACACATTTGTCATAGGATTTTTACATTTCATTACATTGTGTTCCAATGCCAAATAAATTTCTGGCAAGAAACATTCATATGTAACAATATAAACGGAAGTTGTATTAATAAAATCCCCAGCATATAATACAAAATCCTGGTGATATTGCAACATTCCTGGTTATGAGATTTAGTCCGACTGGAGAACAATAACATGTGTTCCAATGCCAAATAAATTTCTGGCAAGAAACATTCATATGTAACAATATAAACGGAAGTTGTATTAATAAAATCCCCAGCATATAATACAAAATCCTGGTGATATTGCAACATTCCTGGTTATGAGATTTAGTCCGACTGGAGAACAATAACATGTGTTCCAATGCCAAATAAATTTCTGGCAAGAAACATTCATATGTAACAATATAAACGGAAGTTGTATTAATAAAATCCCCAGCATATACCGTATTCGACGTAATAAGCGCCCAGGGCGCTCTCAAAATTAGAAATAGGGGGCTCTTATTAGAATATTATTTTGAGTTGAAAAATCGTAAATTTCGTGGTTTATGCTGACAGCCTGAAATGTTTATATACGACAGAAATATTTTCAAGGATTTAATTGCCCATAATTAAGGGTGCATATAACATACGAGTACGTATTATACACAAATAAATAAGTCTTGTGTACGTAAAACCCTTGGAAGGGGTGCTAATTGAGATTGTTCACTAGCCAATATATTGGCAAAAAAACGCCGTGGGCGCTTATTAGAGCAGGGCGCTTATTACGTCGAATACGGTAATACAAAATCCTGGTGATGTTGCAACATTCCTGGTTATGAGATTTAGTCCGACTGGAGAACAATACGATGATGTCACTGGAGGGTGATAAGTTGATGATTTGCTCAACAGCGCAAACACCACAGAGACACAGTTACCGGTACCTTTGAAACTTTTAATTTGTTCTCGAGATACAGAAATCAGATAGGCTAGTTTGAATCTGGTGCCACCAGAGAGTTGAAGTTTTGTCCCTTTTTGTAGGATTTGAATGTTCAAAGTGATTAATGTTTGATATAAATTTGATGGTCGAAGATTTGATTTTTTGTTTGTATATTATTATAATGACAGAGATGCTAATGTGTGTGGTACGTTTTTAAAGTTGCTGTTTTGTTCTATTGGAATATACAGTCCTGCTTGTTGATAGTTGTTGTTGGTTTGTTGTTTTTTACTGCTGTTTGTTGTTGCTGCTGAATAAAGGCATAGATATTTATTTGTATAAATACATATGATATGATACATATGTCAACTGTGTGTAACAATAAGTAGCATGTCATGCACCTGAAATGATACACATGTCAACTGTGTGTCACAATAAGGAGCATGTTATGTAACTGAAATGATACATATGTCAACAGTGTGTCACAATAAGGAGTATGTTATGTAACTGAAATGATACATATGTCAACTGTGTGTAACAATAAGGAGTATGTCATGCACCTGAAATGATACATATGTCAACAGTGTGTCACAATAAGGAGCATGTCATGTAACTGAAATGGTACATATGTCAACTGTGTGTAACAATAAGGAGCATGTCATGTAACTGAAATGGTACATATGTCAACTGTGTGTAACAATAAGGAGCATGTTATGCACCTGAAATGATACATATGTCAACAGTGTGTAACAATAAGGAGTATGTTATGCACCTGCAATGATACATATGTCAACTGTGTGTAACAATTACGAGTATGTTATGCACCTGCAATGATACATATGTCAACTGTGTGTAACAATAAGGAGTATGTCATGCACCTGAAATGATACATATGTCAACAGTGTGTCACAATAAGGAGCATGTCATGTAACTGAAATGGTACATATGTCAACTGTGTGTCACAATAAGGAGCATGTCATGCACCTGAAATGATGCATCTGTCAACAGTGTGTCACAATAAGGAGTATGTCATGCACCTGAAATGATACATATGTCAATAGTTGGTGACAATAAGGAGCATGTCATGCACCTGAAATGATGCATCTGTCAACTGTGGGTCACAATAAGGAGTGTGTCATGCACCTGAAATGATACATACATCAACTGTGTGTAACAATAAGGAGCAGTCATGCACAGAAATGATACATACATCAACTGTGTGTAACAATAAGGAGTATGTCATGCACCTGAAATGATACATACATCAACTGTGTGTAACAATAAGAAGTATGTCATGCACAGAAATGATACATATGTCAACAGTGTGTAACAATAAGGAGTATGTCATGCACCTGAAATGATGCATATGTCAACTGTGTGTAACAATAAGGAGCATGTCATGCACCTGAAATGATGCATATGTCAACAGTGTGTCACAATAAGGAGGACATCAAGCTTGTGGATGTTGTGGATGTTGGTACTGGGGAGTGATGACTCAGATGAACAGTTACGTTCCCTTCTGATCCCGGAATTACATCATTCATCTGAAAAAAAGGATATTTGCCAAAATTGTTTTCATAACATTTTTTTTTTATGAATCAATGTTTACCATGATCACATATTTGTGTTGTTGATAATGTTTTGAATTTGTTCAATCCTTTATGTAGAACAAACTGATCACTTGTTCTTGAGATTGTTTTGATGCCTCAACAGATGGAATATTTATTGACCTGTGTAGATCTGGAGTAGACTAGATCTTCAGCAACCCATGCTTGCCGTAAAAAGCGACTGTGCAATGTCGTAAGAGGCGACTACCGAAATCGGGTGGTCAGGCTCGCTGACTTGGTGTGATGCATATCATCGTATCCCAATTGCATGGATCAATGCTCACGATGTCAACCACTGGATTGTCTGGTCCAGACTCGATTATTTGCTGACCGTCCTCATATAGGTGGAATATTGCTGAGTGCATCGTTAAACAGCAAACAAAAAAACAAACGAACAAACAATGACTATTAATCTTGCCTATTGTTTATGACATGCAAGTATAGTAGTTTGTCAAATATAATGAAAAAGATATTTTCTCATTTCCTAAGTTACAGAGTCTAGTGTGTCCAAAGTGTCTGCTTAATACAGTGTTTATTCCTAATACATCACATTAACCATCCAAAAACACATTCACATGATATTCACCTATATTTATGTAGACTATATGTGTGCGTTTAGCAAAATCTTTTACTGATATGATTTTTGACCGTCATTTCGATTATATTTGATTGTTTATATAAGGTCCATGTTCACATTCTGTGTTCAATATATTTAATCCGTCCATGCACTAATATGTTCCGTCCATGTGTTCTGTCCAGGTGTTCCGTCCATGTGTACCTTCGAGACTCTTCATTACTGGGTGTCATTGTTCAAAACAACCTTAGCGCTACGACTGTTGTAAGTCTATGTTAAGGTATGGGAGTTTCGATCACCTAAGCGCTAAGATTGCACCCAGGGTAGTGACAATAAGGGGCAGTTGGGTAGCCTAGTGGTTTAAGCGTTCGCTCGTCACGCCGAAGACCCGGTTCGATTCCCGACATGGGTACAATGTGTGAAGCCCATTTCTGGTGTCCCCCGCTGTGATATTGCTGGAATATTGCTAAAAGCGGCGTAAAACCATACTCACTCACTAGTGACAATAAAATGGATTGACATGTTGGCC